AACATATGTCACGCAGAATGGTGAAGCTTCTGCCTTTCTCGGTCCCGAAGCGACAGAGAAAACTGGATATAACATGAGAAAGGATATCTAGGAAGCAGAGATTCAGCGCTCAGCGCTCAGGGTTTCTGCTGGAGTTCTGGGTGCACCGCGGTGCTGGTTTGACTCTTACGGTCAAGCGGCGATAGTCCAGGTTTTCGAGCGTTGTCCAGTGAAGATAAGATTAGATTGACGTGGCACGTGCTTTCTCAAAAGAGTAACAAGAGGGAAAATATGTGTGCGGTGTCTCCGGTCTAACCTAGCCTCTGTCTTCAACGCCGACTTACATTCGAACTTTGGCCGTCTTCATATTTCTCTTTGAAATCGACTTTATTTGTCGATTTCACTGCTTTCTGATAGGCAAAAGCTTCCAGAGAGATGGCCCCTCCGCTTGCAAACGACCCGTGGCTGGCTGGAAGACACTTCGGTATCGTTATCGACGCTGGTTCGTCAGGTTCCAGGCTGCAAGTATACAGCTGGAGAGACCCTCGCTCCCTCAACATCCCCAAAGGAAGTCCGCTCGCGTCGAAGCTTCCAAAAGTCGAGAAAGGGACAAAGGACGATGACCTATGGGTGACGAAGGTTGAGCCTGGTACGTTCATTCCCATTTAGGCTGAAAAGTCTACAACGCAAGGTGTTCACTTCGACATAGGCTTGTCGTCCCTGGAGAACGACCCGGAGGCCGTCGGAACGTACCTGCGCCCACTGCTTAGCCATGCCCGCGACCTTATCCCACCTTCACTCCACAAGGACACCCCGCTCTTCCTGCTTGCGACGGCTGGTATGCGCTTGCTATCACCGAAGAAGCAGGCTCAGATACTGCGAGAGACGTGTCGTTTTCTCGTCACTCATTCCAATTTCAAAATAGACGAGCCCTCCGACATCGGACCCTGTGGTTCCAGCGTCCGGATAATAACCGGAGAGGAAGAAGGTTTATTTGGGTGGATTGCCGTCAACTATCTTATGGACGGGTTCTCGGCGTCCAGTCAGGACAGGACGACGTATGGGTTTCTGGACATGGGCGGGGCATCAACCCAAATTGCATTTGAACCAAGCAAGAAGCATCAAGACGGGACGAAGGACCTCATCGACGTCCGTTTGCGACTGCTCGGAGGCGAAGAAATACACCACAAAGTCTTCGTGACTACGTGGTTGGGCTATGGTACGAACCAGGCTCGAGAGCGCTACGTTGGAGCGGCTATCACGAAGTACGACACCGCTCGAGCGGCGGATGACCGCGACGATGACCGCGACGATGAAGAGCACCACATTGTTCCTGATCCTTGTCTCCCAAAGGGTCTCATGCTCACAGAATCACCCGTCCACGCCACCAACCCAGAGACAAAACACCTCATGAAGTCACACAAGTTGCTTGGAACGGGATCTTTTGAGCAATGCATGAAAAGGACGGCCCCGCTGCTGAACAGCAGTAAACCTTGTCCAGACACCCCCTGCCTGATGAATGGCGTCCATGTACCACCAATAGACTTCTCCGTCTCCCATTTCATTGGCGTTTCAGAATACTGGTACTCATCTGAACACATTTTCGACCTTGGCGGCGCGTACGACTATGTCCAATACGAGCGCGCTGCCTCCAACTTCTGCTCCAGAGACTGGGCGGGCATTCTCAAGGAGCATGAAGAGTCGCGGGTGCAGCACCGGCTGGGTGGAGACGGCGAGGTGGAGGAGGGCGGGAAGGTCGTGGCGGCCGGCCAGTGGGGTCCGCAGGTCGAGCTGCCCCGACTACAGATGCAGTGCTTCAAGGCTGCGTGGATTGCCAACGTTCTCCACGAAGGCATCAAGATGCCGCGAATCGTGGACCCAGGCGGCAATTCGACCTCGGACGACGGTGATAAGGTCGAAGAGGAGGCGGCGAAGAAAGGCCTAGGACGGCCAACCTTCCAGTCCATGGACTCGGTCGGGGACATTGCGATCAGCTGGACCCTTGGCAAGATGGTTCTCGAAGCGAGCAAGGAGGTCCCTCCGCTCGTCAAAGCTGCAAAACCGATACTGGACCCCATTGATGATATTGAGAACCCGGATGAATTCCCTATCAAGCCGATTCGACCGCCTTTCCTTTCGTTGGATGGGCTCGAAGAGAGGATAACACCTCATTTGCCGTCGTCGCTGAGCAGAAATTCTTTGGGTTTCTCGCCCGTCCTGTTCCTCCTCTACCTCACAATCTTTGTCCTGCTCATCATTGCCTGCCCTATGCGAAGAGTACTCCGAGCATCGTGCCTTCGCTCAGTCCGGAGCCTCACCAAACGCGACACCATGTACGGCGACATGGAGGAAGGCAACTCCAAGCTGGGCAACGGCCGGCCTCCTTCACCCACGTCGGCGACGTTCGGCGGACGCTGGCTCTACCCCGTTCGACGCGTTTTCTTTGGCAACAGCCGCCCAACACCCAGGTCACCTCTGTCAGTGGTAACTTCGAACAAACCCATCCTTCGACATATGATGCCTAATGGAAGTGGGCTAGCCAACGCCAACGGCAGCGTGCGCGCCTCGCCCACGCGTTCGTTTACGCTCCCTACCGGGGGTTTCGCAGCTACGGCGAGCACAACTCAGTATATCTCTCGGTCGCCCTCCCCCGGCCCGAGCTTTGATGATGCAAGCTTGGTACCTGGGCAGATGCAGGCGCAGGCTTCTCTGATGACGTCGCGCTCAAGGAATGCAAGCCAGATTAATTTGTCGAGCATGGCGCCCCGCCCTGGGGCTATTTCGCGTGCGAGCAGCTCGTATCACGTTAATGGGATGGAGATGGAGTGATGAGGGAAAGTTACGCCAATGCTAATGCTGATGACTGGATGAGTGCGAGATGAAGATGATGATTACGATGATGAATCACGAACGAAGGTGAAGACCTTCCATGGTGCACAACTGGCGGCACTTTACCGCCTCTCCTTGATCAACCCTCCAATCCGACATAGGTGGCTCTATACACTATGTTTGGTTGCGGACGACAGGCTCCAACGTTCGCCACTATGTGTACAAGAGCATACACGACGTTGCCAACGTTTGTTTTCCCTGAGAACTCTCCAGACGGATGGATCCTCATCCACTGGATGGGCTTAATCTCAGCCTCCAACCTCAATCAGAATCTACAAATCTATACACCGGATGCTGACCTATTCTTGGCTGGCAAGCCGCAAAACCGACGTCGGCGAAATGTCTGCGCCCAGACATAACGACTGGATGGTGCGTGTTTCTGTCCAATCGGGTTCGCGGGGTGGCCAGTGCTTCGTTTGCATGGTGCGCCGGCGCCGATCCTTGACGTTGGTGGTGTTGAGCCCTGAAGGTGTTTAAACCGCCAGAGGAACGTGCATTTCGACAGCCGTCAAACTGGTTAATCCTCATCAGATGTTTGGCGGGCTTTGTGTGGTCCTCTGGCTTCTCCCAACTCTGCTACGCGGCCAGCGTTCATGAGAACGATATCTACTTGTCAGTGAGCCTGACAAGCTTTCCGGTGGGAAAAGGGTGAGAAGATTGGCGGCAGGATCGTCCCTATTGGCTAAAGACGAGGCATCGAGAGATGTACCTCTAGCGCACCGAGGACAATTTTTTGGTTTGGATTGTTGCTTATCTCAGGTCATTTAATTAGTTGGGTGCATAGACATGAAAATGGACATTTGCTATTTGTAAGACCGACAACTTGTGCTTTATCTCAGGGCTATGAAGTTGGCACCGCTCGTTCCTGTTATGGGCCTCTCCGCGCCAGTACAAGAGATGCTTCAGCCCCCCTCCGAACTTAGGTGATCCTCATTGTCCAGATCCAAAAATTGACCACGGATACTGTAGTCAATATCTTGCCTTACCTCGAACATCGCTCCTGTGAACATGCTGCATATCGAGTCGGCATGCCTGAAATCTGTTACTTTCAGCAAGAGGACACCAAGCCATAAAAATAGCATCGCTGGTTTGCATTTCTAAAATGTACTGCCGGATAGAAATATTTACAACGCGTCACGATAGGCAATCCAACTTGACCCACAGCCCGCCCAGATCCCCTCAACTTTCATCAAGCCGTCGTCGGTGTTTGGCGGCCAAACTTTGATAGGTGTTGGCACGTCCTTGGTATCACCTGTCCCGAGGTTCCCATGTTCGTTCCACCCCCACCCCCACACTTCCTGTCGCGCAGACGAACAATCATGCCCCTGAAGGATGAGGACGAGGACATGTTCACTTCCACAAGCCAGTTGAACGACGGTTTTCTGGGTATCGGAGTCGTAAGGGAAGACGACCTTGCCTATACGTTTGTCTAAGTTAGTGGTAGGCATCCAACCTAATTGACTGTGCGAGTTACTCCCAGACGAATACACGCTGGACACGCCGAGATCGTCTTGAACGATGGCGTAGGTGCCATTCCACGTACAGCCGACGAATTGCACACGGCTTGGCACGGATGAAAAGTGGTCGACGACCTGTAGTTGATTCTTGCGATCCGAACCCAGGGCAGACAGCCGACCAACATTGCTAAGAAAGATGGTGTGATGCAGGCCGGCAGAGTAAGACTCGATGCCGTCTGCATCAGGCGAATGAACAAGCTGGGGTAGCGGTTGAACTGGCTTGAGGGAGGATCCTAGCTGGCCGTGTCGAGAGGAGCCCCAACCAACAAAAATATGGCTTCGAGAAGACTTTGAATTTGGCTGGGGGAGACGCAATTGGATCACGACATGTCTTTGTCCTGAAGAAATGGCTTCCACTTTCATATTATCAAAGCGCGCACCAGAGGCTGAGAGGTGGTCGAACCGGATGATGTGGAAGTCCTGAGGATGGACCATTTCCTTCCCTTCCCTTTTCGCAGAGCGTAAACCACCAACACCCAGGTCGCCATAGTCGTCTGATCCCAAGGATATGACGACGTCTCCCTTCTCTTCATGTTCCAGGGTGATGTAGGTCGTTTCCCAAGTTGCTGCAATGAGCTTGAATACGTATCCTCCCAGACCAGCGGCTTCAAGTTTAAGAACTAGCCTTGTGAAAGAGGTCTTCGATCCGTCTTGTCGGTACTTCGAGCCTAGTTGTCCCTTTCTCCCATCTCCGCAACCCCATATCTCTCGACACGTTTCATCAGCCTGCTTGACTTCAAGGAGAAGAATAGTGTGATTTGCACCACAAGCAACGTCGATAATCCGAGTTATCTCTGGTGCATGTGTCCCAAAAGAAATCGTCTGAAAGGTATGTGCGTCATCGAAAGATCCGTTTCCGAGCTGGCCTTGAGCATTGGAACCTGACGAACATAAATGAATCATGTTGATAGATTGAGAGCCTGAATACACTGCTATGTTTAAAGAATATCTTCGACACCGAGGTTTGAAGCTGGAAGTTCGAAGTGGCAGCAAAAATGATGGTCGGACCGGGCGGTAGTCACGTGCAGAACGAATCTAGAGCCCCTATTCAGAACCTGAAGAACAGCAGACCTGTCGAAACCAGAGGAAAAATCACTTTCTGTTTCGCGTTGAACGCCGAGTTGGAGGGTTGGAATTTTTTTGTACTGATTCCTTGCTTTTCTCTTCTCGCCTCTGCTTCGACGTTGATGGTTTCTCCTCGTCTGATAGGTTTGAAAATTCTGCCTCGTCATGTTCATCTCCGTCTTCTTCCTCTATCTTCCTTTTCCTTTTAGTCTCCTTCTTTTCTCGCTTCGCCTTCGAGCCATCTTCGGAATCCTTCTCCTTCGCCTTCCTTTTTGCGGGGGGTTTCTTCTTCGGGTTCATGTCCAATTCATCCCAGCCTCCTTTCTCCGCGAGAAATTGAATAGCTTCCCAAGCGTCTTCTCCCACGCGTTGTACGCTCAGTCGTCCGCGTGTTACAAGATCCATAGCTGAGTGGCAATATAAGACTAGGCCGTAAAATTGTGACGATTGGAACATACTTTTGATAGCCTGCACACCTTTCTCTCCTAGATACGAGAGCTCTTTAGGAGGCTGCGAGAATGGTTGATCTGCTAGGAGCCGGAGCAGAGCAAGTGGTACAAAGTTTGCCGCGCGCGCGGAGAATGTCAAGTCGACCATGAACCATTTTGGATCGTCTTGATTGGATTTCTGCCAAATAGAGCGTTAAGCAGGGGCCAACAACGAAGAATAAAAGGATACACGAACAGGATCGAAATATGGGTGTGACCTGGCAAGAACAATGAGTCGATCATTAGGGCGAGGTACAAATCGGAGACATACAAGTCCCATGCTGTGTCTGAGCAGACGAATGTCATTCAACTCTGGGAATTGACGGAGAAAATAATATAGTTGCGTACAATCTGGGTAGGCTTCTTTCGATACCTGATACCTAGAACATGAGAAGACCAAAGGAACTGCGAGAAGCACCAACGAACCTTGGCAAAGGCAGCGATGCCTCGAGAACAGCAATTGTGAGTTGGAAATAAGGTAGTCTAAATTTTAGTAGAGGATCTACCTGGGGACTTGCAATTAGAATGGTAGAACAGAGCCTGGATGGCATGAGTTCGGAACGAGTAAACAAATTTGACGGTTAGCGAACCTGTTCACCCTCCTTCATTTCCTTCATCAGGTTTCGAGCCTCGTAGTTCCTCACGCCCTCCCATGGCGACGTCTTGACTTTCTCAAAGTCATCTACGCTGAACTGATGCGAAGAAAAGCTTTATGATTAGGCACAACACGATCGCGACGCGACTAAGACGCGATTGAGGAGTAAAACTCTCTTGTCTGTCGCGTCTTTTTTGAATCAAGACCCACCTTGACGTCTTTTCCCTTCACTATACGCGAATCTGGTTCCGCCTTGAGAAGCCAATACTTGCTTTTTGAAGTCGACATGGCGGTCGTGAGTAAGCGGCGAAAAGTGTTCATTGTGGCGGTGTTCCAAAATTAGGTCGTTTAACTTCCTCCTACAACGACGATGTCGATCGACCTTGAATGGGCGAAACTCGACTCCTCACTGGCGTCATATCTCGTTGAAGTTCTCAACAGACAGCTCAGCAATGCAGAACGGCCATCATTTATAGGCCCTGTTGAGGTGACCTCCCTCGAGTTTGGTTCGACAAGCCCAGATGTCGAGCTTGTCGACCTACGCGATATCTACCGCGACTTCCTCGAAGACGACGACGACAGCGACCACGGACCAGTCAAGGTCACAGAAGGCGCTGAAGACGACGAAGGCTTCGAATGGGTGTCGAGGCGGGTTGCGGGCCATGAGGAATCCCTCGCATACCAGCACCTCCCACCACACGTTCGCTATGGGCGCGGTGGGCCGACGGATCTGTATGCGTCAATTCCTACACTTCGCTCGCCGATGCCTCTACCTTCTGCGGACATATTCACCAAGGGTTTCCCTGAATACAGGCCTCCACCGCAGCCTCTATGGCAGAGCACGCCGATGTTTCGGAGTCCAACACCCTCAACACCGTTTACCGCTGGTCCATTCCGGAGAACAAGTGGCGAATACGAACAGCAAGACGAGCTCCTCACAGCTGACGCAGATTACTCTCAACTGCCGAGCGACAACTCCCTGAGCGACCCGCCATCATTCGGTGCAGAAGGACCCACAGTTACGACACCTCCGCAACCGCCACAACCACCGCAGAACCCCCACCCGAATCTCCAACTTCATCTCCACATTAATTGGCACTCCAATCTACGGATTACCCTCACGACTTCACTGCTCATCAACTACCCCTCACCCATGTTCATGTCGCTCCCTATCAAACTCTCTGTGACCGGGCTGGTATTCGACGGCGAAGTCGCCGTGGCCTATGAAGGCGAGCGACGGCGGGTGCATATCTGTATTTTGGACGACCTCGATCCTTACGGTCCCGCTGCTGCTGCAGACAGGCCTAAACGAAGCGACACGAATGTTACACCCCCTGACATCGACGATGAGTCTCCACATAGCGGTATCCCTCCTCGCCCGTCGAAACCGTTGCCAGTTGGTCAAAGACTGCTACCGTCAATATACATCGAGAGCGAGATCGGGCAGACGGACAAACATGTGCTAAAAAACGTCACAAGAGTGGAACGGTTCATCCAGGATGTGATCCGTAAAACTGTGGAAGAGGAACTTGTTTTCCCCAACTTCCATACGCTGGTCATGGGCGAGTCATGACACGACGCCATCAGTGTTGTAGCCCCTTTCGACCTCTTCGATTTGATACCCTCTTGCGTGCATTAGCAGCAAGATTGAGGTATTGTAATACTATCTGTGACTATCGTACACTACATACCTAAATCTAATTATACAAAAAATGTACTTGCCGATCGTACAACTCCTCGTGTATAGATGGAATCTCAATTATATCAGGGATTTGCTCATATACGGCCCATCAAGTTCATACCCCAGCTTCCTATAGTAATCCCGGGTACCAACACCTAATGAAACACAGAAATGGGCATGGGGTAAGTGAATCGCCATCTTGCTTCTCATACCCCACAGGAATATGAACCACTTACCGGAGATGACCGCCAATTTTATACTCCCATGCTCCTCTCGTGCTATCCGTTCCGCTTCCTCCATTAGCAAAGTGCCAAAACCCTATTCGAAGATGAATTCATTCAATTGTGAACACGGGCTTCCATATAGCGGCAAAAGCAATGACCGACCTGGTGCTGGAACTTTGTAGGATCTCTTCCATGCACGGGCACGGCCGTGCCATACACATGCAGCTCTCGGACGATGCTGCAACCTCCTCCCTCCTTGCGCACTAGTTCATGCCGGAAAGTACCCTCGTCAGAGCACTTGCGCAGTCGGAGCAGCCCGATCAGGATGTCCTTCTCCGGATCTTCGTACGAAAGGAAGGTCTCCCAACCCCCATTTGCGGTGTAGTCACGTCGAAGCAGTTCTACCGACTCTGGACGAACTTTGTGGTGGATCTCATGGATCTACGAAGAGTCAGAATGGGTCAGAATGGGGACATGCCAACCAGAATGGATGAATGGTAACTTACTCCGACCTCGCGGAACCGCACATCGCGACAGACAGCACCGAAGTCTTTCATACGATTGAGAGCAAGCTCTCGTAAATTACCGGAATTCTCGCATCCGCTGGTTACGAGAGGCAGTGGAATATCTCTAAATTTGAAGATGATCAGCCTTGTTCGTGTAGCGTGCGTCTGAGCGTCGTACCTTTGTACTCGATACACTCTGGTCCACGGAGGCACCAACGCCAAAATCCTCGCCACAACATCCACAAGCACATTCGCTGTATAGTTCTTATACCTGCCTGTCCGCCATAGCTCATACAACCCAGTCCCACGAATGACAAGGGTCGGGTAGATCTTCAGCCCATCGCTCCTGAATGCAGGGTTCTCAAAGTACTCTTTGAACTGCTCCAGGTCGCGCTCAACGCCTACGTTGGGCAGGTCGGGCATCATGTGCGCGACGACTTTGAAGCCAGCGTCTTTGGCGAGGTGGAAGGACTCTGTGACGGCGCGGACGGTGTGTCCTCGGTTTGTGTCGCGAGCGACGTCTTCGTAGACGGATTGCACGCCAATTTCGAGGCGTGTGCAGCCGTACCGGAGCATCTGGCTGTTTGATATTTGCTCATTAGCGGATGAAAATAACTGAGTGATGAAATAAACAAGACCTCAGATGCGGCCGTAGACAGTAATCTGGCCGTGTCTCGATAGTAATACCGATGGCTTTTGACTTGCTTTGTTCCGAAAATCTGTCAAGAGACATAAATACCCAGGAGCATTAATAGGAAAATTTTACTGACCTCACAGCCTCGTCCACGTCTGTTCCGGTAAAACCTGATAGTGCATTATGCAGCTGAGCGATGAACTTCCCTCGATAGTCTTCCGGCATGCTCATGAAAGTGCCACCCATGACGATGAACTCGACCTAAGAGCCGTCGCATACATTCTTCAGAGATTTCCCAACACCTCATAAAAAGATGACTTACCTTGTCCACACTGTGTCCCAGACTCTTCAACTGCTCCACTCTCCCTCTCGTCTGCTCGTAAGGATCGTATCGAGCGCGAATAGCGCGCATGCTCGTGGGTTCGTATCCTGTATAACTCTGTGTGCTGTAATCGAAGTCGGAATCTGGGCCTCCTGGACAATACCTGTCAAGAACTGCTGCTAAGCCTTTCGAGTTAGGGTGTTTCGAGCAAAGCTGACGAGACGCACACGCAGATATTTCCCGTCATCGCAATATGCGGACACCGATGGGGCTTGCACATCACCGCGACGACAGCGATCTATTAACAAAACGTCTCAGCAAACTCATCCTCACAAGCGCGTCCCAATTACACAACTCACTCCACTGGCAGTTCGGATAGGCCGTGCCTTTAACTTGGGCAACAACGACTTCTTGTACTCGTCTGGAATGGCGCTGATGATGTCCACGAGCCGTGGTACACCCCCGTATCCAAACTTCTTGCTCATCTTCGCGCGAATCTCGTTCAATGAAACAGATTCGTTCGCATCTTGGGCTCTGATGAGCTCTGCGGCAATTCCTGATGTTACGCGGAGAAGGATCTCTGCTTGCGATGGGCCTATTTAACAAAGGAAAGTTAGTTGGTTTGAGAGGAACTGTGCTTCACGAAACCTACCATTAACTTTTGACCTTTGCACCATGGTCGTTCGTCTCCGAAATTGCGACTTATGAGATAGGTATCGTTTGGGGGCACGCAGACGCGTTAAATCGTCTCGATGAGGCAGTCCGGCCTTCAGAAAGCAGGGTATGTGCACTTGTGAAAGAGCTTCAGATTAAGATGGGCGAACCAGTGAGCATCGAGTCTTTACAAGATTAGGGCAACCAATCAGACTGCGCCTTCAAATGCACGTGACGAGGTATTAGCGTATTTTTCACCTCCAGAGAAAAAGAAATAAAAATCTAACGTTGCTTCGACCTTTTAGCATAACTATTCTTACAGTACTCAGCAGAGCTGATACTGCTGCCTGGAACATATGATCATACAGCGTGGTCGGGTGCATTATCGTCGTTGGGCCAATAATGATCTTCGAGGATCGTCGCCGCCGCATCCGACGTGCCCCGTTGCCTACGTTGCTCTCGCGGCTAAGTATGTGCTCGTCGACCACCAAGAACCTCCCAAGGTGGTCGCGTAATATTAAGAATACATGAAACTGTCCATATGGTCAACGTTGGTGGATACAAGCTTAGCACAAGTCTCCCTATCCCAAAAAAAGAGAGTCGAGAGACCATGCAACAATTACCTCTCCGTGGCCTTCCCCAGCCTGATCTGTAGGATAGTATACCGAGCCCAAACGCAGTAAGTGTAAGAAGAAAGCGAACTTGTGAATGAAGGGGCAAACAGTCCGGCTTGTGCGCTATAAGTGTGAACGAAAGGAAAGTAGGGCGACTTGGGCCCTAATAAACAGTGTAAAGAGCGGGACAACACAATTGTGTGATAGCAGACTGGCGAAGAGAAGTAAGTCGATAGAACGATAGTTAGGAGGGGGCACTCACCGACGCTTATTTTAGGCCATACCGTGGCTATTGGTAGGCCTTCAAGGCCTTCGCGTTAGGGTCCAGGCTGCTAACTCTCCGACTTCTCCTCACTTCCCTATCTCGAGGGACACCCAATCCACCAGCGGTAACGCCAGACTCACCGCTACTTCTAAAACTCCCAGCCTGCTGATCCAGACACTCTAGCGGGACCATACCCTGCTCGCCGTTCATGCTCATGCACAGAGCCCACCCATCGTCATACTCCGCCAGCACCCTAATCGTATCTCCAATGTTGATTGAGAGCTCATCCGGCAGGCTAGGGAGGAACGTGCACACGACGGTCGTCGAGAACGGGGAGTCGAGCTGTGTACCCTGAGAGTAGACTGGCAGGTTGGAAACGGCCGGCGAAGCGCTCAAGGTTACGTTGCTATACGATGCTGGGGGCGGCGCGACCTGCACGATAGGGACGGGAACCGGTGCCGAACCCAGTGTGCTGGGATTCACTTGCGCCGTCTGCTCGTTTGGCGTGAATGTGTATGGTTTTGGCTCGAAGCCTCCCATGATGCCAGGGAGACCCGGAGCCGGATCCTTGCTTGCCCACAGGCTCCTTAGCCTGGCTCGATCCCGCTGATATCTCTTCCGTGTGCAGAGGGTACAGAGGAAGATTGCAATGACGAGGGCGACGACACATCCTATCACAACGCCCACAATGGCGCCAAAAGAGAGCCGGGAAGACGAAGCGGCGGAGCCTGCTACAGGTTCGATGGTCGTAGATGGAGAGGAAGAGGAAGATATGGTGGAGGTGGGCAAGGATGAAGTGGATCCACTGGGAGTGATAGGTGGTGGCACCGTTGTGGATGTCGCAGTTATCACGGAAGAGGTGGTCGTAGATGAAGAAATCGAAGTCGAAGAGAATGAAGTGGACGTGCTGGACGTGCTAGGGATAGAACTCGTCGAAGTGCTGGCTGGGATTATCGTTCTGACCACCGTTATTGTGATGGGGCCCGTGAGTTGTCTGCGTTTCCGAGGGACAGCACGCTCTGCGTGGTCAATGCGACGCTTGAATTTTGCATACATCTGTCTAGAAGAAAAAGGTTGAGTCTACGCTCGAGAGGCGAGCGAGGCCGAAGAGAATGGAGACCAGATCCAGGATAGATAAAGGAAAAAGGACGGGGTACGCTATAGAATCATGAGTGGTGAGGGAAAGGCACAGTCGTCAACCACCCGATCAATGGAATTATAAAGAAGGGATATCACTGCGGCATTAATAGTCGCTATTTGTAGGTCCAATCAATGAGCCAATCACGGCTTTGCCGGGTCTCCTCCAAATCAACGCCAAGGCCGCATTCTCTCAGCTGTTCTCAGGAGAAAAGGTGCGGGTGCGCATTCCATTTCGTACCTTCGTCGTCGAGATAAGACGGAATAGCCTTGGGCGCTGGTGTGGATGCTGTCCGCTGCCAACTGTCGCTCAAAAATACTCGCTTGATTTTATCTGTGATGAGGAAGACAACGAGGCCTAGGACCGGCGTCAGACAGAGTACATTTGCGATGGATGGATGATGCTCGGATGACGACGTCCGGCGTGGAAACCACGACCCGTTATTTCTCCTCCTTCGAAGACTTTTGAATACATTTCGGCTCTTCCAGCTTCGGAGGTCCTGAGCGATCTGTATTGTCGACGTCGTCTCCTCGTCGCCCTATACAAACGGCGAATGGCTACGCAGTTGCGGTACTTCGACGAGACGACGGATCAGCGGGTGCCTCCCGCTCCGGCTCCGTTCACAATTGAAGAAAATTCACCACCGCCTCCGGACTTGGGAGTAACCACCGTCGCAGCGATCTCGCACTACAGCCACTAACTCGGTCGAGGATTAACCGTGCTGCGAGACAAAAACTTTGAGCCTCGTGGATTCCACTCCGAGTCGTGAGCATTACGACTGTTGTTGCCATCGACATGGCTTGCAGGTTATATGTTCTAAGGCTCCCGCGAGGAAGCCTATAAAATGTTGCATCCGTCAAGAGCCTCCATGCTCTTCCTTCTTGTCACGCCTTGGGCAGAATATGCCTCACAAGGCGTGTCGCAGAAGCCGCAGAAGGACTCGGACGGGCTCAGAGATCCCCAGAACTCGAAGCATTGTTTCAATACTGCATATATTTCATTCCGTAAAACGAACGTCGGCGCCTTGCGAGCACCGGAAAGTGGCGAGAAAAACACCCACGAAGCACCTCTACTACCTCCTTCCAATACGCAGAATGCCACTCGACCTCCATGGACGACAATTTCCCCTTCATCTTCGATCGAGTTCGAGAGGCTCCGAGTTCAAGTTCGACGGGCGCAGCGCCCAACGTCCCCAGGCATCGATAGGCAGAGCGTAACCCCACCTGCCTAAATTACTAGCCAACTATTAGCGTCTCCAACGGACAAAGGCATCCCACCAATGAGGACGCTATCTTCACGGTAAGATATCTATGGCCATGAAAAACCTTATTGAAACCTCTTTTCTCCTTTACCTTTAGCCTCTCTCCCTCCTCACCTACCTCTGTTCGATGGATTCTATGGAAACACTGTTTGATACCCGATCGAGCTGACAGATCGGACGCATGGGCAAAGGCTCTGCATACCGACCTTGACGGGGTTTAAACCTTCATTTTCTGTTTGTGGGTCGTACGAACGCGTATTGAGCGTCGCCGAGCTGTAGTGTCTCAACGCAATCGGTCTGTATCGAGCTAAACTAGGATAGCCAAATGGGGTATGTGAGACTAGGCCGGACCGTGTGGCGCATCCGATTGATGGCACGGCTCGTCTTGCGGGCGTTTAACTATTCCTTTCGGCGCTGACTGCGGTCTAGGCTAGGAGAACGCTTCATGACACTTCTCTCGTTACCAGGGGAAGAATGTGTAAATGCTCTTATTCAAAAAGTCCATGAAACCAATATACAACATGCTACGGAACGTATTGTACAACTTCAAGGAGTGTTTCGAGTCTGGGCTATGGTACATACATGGCTAATCCGGACGGTTGAAAAGAAAGAAAAGTTTTACAGCGCTTGCGCCAAACTGTTTGAAATTTTTGTGATGCCTCGTTGCTAACCGCCACCCATTTACTTCGCATTTTCAGCATTTTCCTTCTGGACATCCCGCTTGTGGATTCTGACGAAATGGTCGTCCTCGAGTTGGGCAGGGACAGCTTCGATTGGTCCTTCAATAATTCCGCGCTGGATGGGCATCGTCTTCTCCCGCTCGGAGCGAATCAGGTCAAGGTCGTGCGACAGGAGTCCATGACCCGCCACAGGGCCGTAGTAGGAGGTTCCGGCCAAAGAGCCAATAATGCTGAGTCGGTCGTTAAACATATCAGCGATTTCCTTCTCCCGAGAGTTAAACAAAAGGGAATAAGAACGCACCAGGTACCGACGAGGATGGAGAGGTAAAACCTGTATTGAGAATACCATTTCGGTGCTAAAGTTTGAATAAATATCAGTCGATCAGCTCGGTACTGAGATTGAAGAGGTGTAAGTACATACTCCATCCCGCCATGGTAGCCTTAGAGTCTGCATACCAAAGGCCGGTATACCCAAGCCACTGGAGGCACAGCGCCATCATGGGCTGCATTCCCAACGTCGGCCACGCGACAAGCATCGGCGCGGTGCCGAGCGCGAGGCGAGCGTAACCCTTGTGTCCGCCATAACCGGCGATTTCCATTCCCCAGTGCAAGGCGCCTACAAGTTATTTTACCGGGTCCGGTAATCTATTTAGACGAGGAAGGTACGCGAGGAAGGTGGACCCACTGACCTAAGAAGGACAACATCACCGCGCCGTAGGTCACTTGGAGGTTGAGTGCCTGGTCGAGAATAGTGAGCGCGACGCCGGGGTCCATTCCTATCGCCTGTCCGGTCGTGGCGAGCTGGGCTTGATGTGCCAAATAAACCGTAGTGGCTGAAGCGCCGAGATACGGCAAACCACCTGCACAGTGGAGTGGGACTCAGCAATCTACATTGTGCTCAAGAAGTAATCCACACTGACCGGCTAGTCCGAGCAGGAAGATAGGTTGGGGGACCTCCGAAGCGACCTTGTAGGTGATACCAAGCTGTATTGGGATGGATGCAAGCAAGAGGATGCAAAGACAATAAAGACTCCATGAGATCGCCGTCCATTATCATCAGCGAGAAGCACGTACAAAAGTAGCGTTCGAATCAGCGACCGCGTCAGAGGTGACGTTGGCAGCAGCGATGACCTTCGCGAGATCGGAGGCCGAATTTCCAAGCTCTTCTTTGACGTTGGTGGCCGCATGGTCGAGTGTCTGGCTGCCTGGTCTCATGGACACCGAGCTGGCTACGGTGCGTGCGGGGAGCAAGGTGGGGGTGAGGCCGAACTTGAGAATCGCAGGGCGGGCGATGGGCAGCGGGCGACGAAAGGCGAGCGGGCTGTTTCGGACGGCGACCGAGCGCAGGAGTGGGCGAAAGGGTGAATTCATGTTGGTAATGGTGGGAGATGTGATTGGACGCGTTCTAATTGCACTGCAAGCTTCTGCAAGACATTTGAAGGATCACATAGGGGTCTTGTGACGCTGCACATGACGTCAAGGCAAGGGTCTCGTTCTATTTTTAGTGGAAGACGGGCAAAGCATAATGATAGAGTAGTATTGGCTACACGAATTTAACTCGGTGCTCTAAGGATAAACATTATAAGAGACGTCGAAGAGCAGAATATTGTCGTGCCAGGATAGTCGTGTTAGAAGCTCGAAGGTGTAGGGTACGCTGCAAATATTAAGTGTCTAATAGGGGTCTGGACCTCAGTTGAACGAAGTTAAGGTTGGTTAGGTTATTTTGCAGCTTCCAAAGGTAAGAGCTTGACAAATCTATGCTTCTTGATGTCTAAGCCGTCTTTGCCGAAATACCGTTGGGTTTGAAAACTCCAATGCAAAGAACTGCGCAGGAAAGACATGTCAATAGCAGTGCTTGGCTAGAGGAGAAACACTTACCCAACAATCCAGTCCTGAAGACCCTTAACGTAACGAGCAACCATATCGTCGATTTCGGGACCCCAAGACGGAAGACGTTCCTTGTTTTCGCAAAAGGTGTCGATGGTTTGCGCGCATAACTCGCCAACATAATCAACAGCACTCTGCAGGGTATGACCATGATATTCCATAAGAATAACAATCATATTATGCGTGTCGCCTCGTGATTGTTCGACGTTATAAGAGAATATGTCCTAGAGGAGAAGACGTCAGAAAATCTGCTTTTAAATTGCAACCTAGTGTCAAGTAAAACGAACATTAGACCAGGTTACAAGGTCATTAGTACCTTGGTTTAGCGCTTGCATTATCGGATGGTCAACGACATGGTCCGGAAGATCAATTCCGAGTGCATATCTTAATGAATGTCTCGGCGTTAGAAGGTATGCAGGCGCCAAGCACCGAAGCCGACGTACTCGATTAGCACCCAAGATGGTTTGCACCCTATATGACAGGAAGTATCAGCACCGTACGGCAATGATTCTAAAGCCACTTTAAATACCTGACGTGTCTCTCCGGACATCGATATACGACTCCAAGTCCGGTATGGTGTCTTCATCTCGCATTCTAGCCTGGATGTTGACGGCTTCAAAGAACAGTCCCATTGTTTCTTTGAACCGGGCTTGCACTCCAACTCCACAGTCTGCAATAGCCCGCGACCAGAAACTATAGATAGTTAAATGCAAGGTTGCCATCAAACGTCGATCCCATTACGAGAGGCGACGTGCAACTCACTCTCGTGCCAGTTTGCCAGGATTAAGCTCTTCGTCCAGCTGTTCCTTTCCGGGGCCCCGAGTCGGCATATACTTATCGGTGAACCAAAACGCATTCATGACGACGTCTGCGAGCACATCCGTCTCGCGCGTCATCATTCCATCGCTGATGTTGTCCCTACGAGAGAACACGCGTCAGCCTCATGCTACAATATTATTAGAGAAGAAGACAAGCTCACAAATGAAAGAGGTATGTCAGAAAGTCGGACACGACGCGTAGGCGTTCTGGGGAGGTCGCCTGGTTATAGCAGTAGGCTGTGAGTTCGCCCGACTGCAGGACACGAAGCGCACGCCGCTGTTTCGCGGTCAGGTCTGGGCAGCTACTATCGAGCCAATCAACAGACTCCTGCGCGATCTCGTCCCCGTTGGGATGATAAGAAAGCGGGAACTTGCAGTGCGAGACGAGATCAGGAAGCACGAAGGACGTGGGCCGCGTTGGCGAAGACTCGTTCAAGAAAGGCGATGCGTTCATGATCGTAGGTTGGCGGTGGCGGTGGAGAAGAGCTCGAGGATGAAGGGGTAGAGTGAGAACGAGTACTTGCAGCAGGCAGGGAATTAATGTGAAGGAAACCTGCGCAGATTAAACTTCGAGTCAGGTGGGAGAGAATTCGCTGAACCCGTTCGAAGAAGAGCTGCACTTCTTAAAGAGTCGTGGCACATTTACTGGTATCCATATCGTCTCCGGTGTTTCCGCCTTCAAGACCGTATTTCCTCAGGGCCGCTGCTGGGTACACAGGTGCTATGGAGTCCATCGGGCCCCGATCGCAATCTAGATACCATTCGGAGGTAGAGCTCGTCAGTGCAGCGTTTGGCGCTACTACAAAAGTCGATTGCCACAACAGGCGCCAAGCCTCATTCTGTAGACGGTTCAGGAACGCAGCAACGAGTAAGAATAGTTAAAACGAAAAATGAAGGTGAGAGGGAGGACATAGCGCACACAGTGCGTCAGCATCTTACCCGATCCGGGGCTGCCAAAGGTCTACACATCAATTAACCAATGTCGATTTAACGGCATTAGACGAGAACAAAAGGGAACAGAGGATTCCCAGACATACGCCTTCGGCAGGGCTGCACGTCGCTCATGGGAGAACCCAAGCTGCGCCGTGCAATGATACTGTCCTTGGACGCGAATACTAGTACCGAATGCATGAGTAGAACACGCACTACAGTTAACGGACGACACCGTGGAAATAAATCATGTCGTTCGAGGCCTTCAGTATTTTCAATGCTGTCTATGACGCCGCTAGAAGAGTGTTTTGTTAGACATAACTTATTTCAACGGCGGACCGAACCTGGACTCACGTAAGGCGGCCAAGAGCCGAGATAATAGGAATTACGCTGCTACCTCCCCGTGCTGAGAGTTACTAGTTTATTCTGGGGTACTCGGCCGTCACCTGGAAATGGATGGAATGAAGTCCGAGCCGGATAACCGGAGTCTGTATTTTAGAAAGAGTGAGAAGATGGAAATTGTTATGCGAAATACGGAAAGAAACATGCCGGTGAACGTGTATCAAGGGTGAGTCCGGAAAATATTCAATTCTCATGCCTTGCTATGCTTCTCTGCCGGGCCAGTGCAGGCTTATTGTCCTCTTCATTGAAGGAGATAAGAGGGAGCCAGATCACGTAGAAATTTAGAGCCTTCGAAGTTTGGATAAGTTTACGAAAGGAGCTGAGAAGAGTAAAACGAAGAGAGAGGTTCATGTTGGTTGAGTTGAAGGATCCGATACTCGGATTAATGCAGGCCGGAACTAAACGAAAAAAGGAGTAAAAAAGCGGTAAGAATGGGTTTCATATGGCATAAGGAGGATAACTTGCCTACGGGCGTCAAATACTGGTAGTAAGGTCCTTTAGGGTTGCAGCGCGAGACATACCCCAGAGTGGACAACTTTAAAGCACAAACATCTACTCGGCAAACAGAAAGTAAACTTCGGTGTAAGTCAGGCACACAACTGTAAATCCGAAACAATCGCAGTGGATAATACTGAATGCCGTGATTTCTCTTGTCATGAACTCTACTGGTGAGAGCATCTGACGGACCAGGTAGTCACCACAAGAATGTTACATTAACAACGTACATTGGGCGTCGAATTCTAAGGTTAAACGTGAGCAGAAGAAGCCTTTCGGAGCGACGCAAAAAACCTGACACAAAACTGATTTAACCCCATTCAATACGAGAAACCGTCAACTCACAATAAGTAGTGATGGGAAAGCAGTTGGCTACTGTCGCAAAATGAAACGTCTGTCCGCAAGATAGGCTCTGTTCGCTCGGGTCAAGATGAAGTCCTGTCGCAGAGACGAGATCTTTCTGACGAGAGTTGCACCAGGAGAATGGAAACTCATGAAAGAGGGAAATCGGCAATCCTCCATGATAGAAGGTGGAGTGGGATAGAAAGTTTGAAAGTGGGTGGTGAGCTCACGGAAATGGGAACGATCCTGCACAGTCCTGCACTATTGTGCTCTGGAAGCCTGTAAAATGCGAGCATCGCGTGGAGAGAAACCCAATTCATGGACCAACGTAAGGTTAAGCCGGGGCCATGAGGAGATCCTGCGTAAAGCGAATGTCATCATCTTGTCGAGATCAGACTCTCAGAGGCTGGACAGCGGCCTCGTCGACGCGTTTTCTACTTCTGTCCCTGATTACCGGTTGCAAGAACCTCAATCAGAAAATTCTCGAACGGCTGTTTTCGATAACAGTGTGAATTCAGTGATGTGCAACGGAAGTGAAGTCATTTTCCCTCGAACCGGTCAAGTGTTGACTTTTATGCCTTTCAGGTGCCTTCATATCTTGAGTCCGCATCGATAATGTAGCCGGAGAACAGGAGGGTTTTACTCGAAAGGTGTAGAACATCATGGAAGTGGACAAGCAACGCGGGCAAATAAAGGCGACTGGAGTAAATACGCGACGTCAACATCGTGGCGAACGCCGAGTCCTTAGATCTCTTCATCGACCATCTCCTTTAGATCCCTCTCACCTCATCTAGACTCTTCAAATGGCTGCCATCCCCGCTCCACTTCCTGCCTCGACCGCGAACTGGCACTGGAAGAACAAGAACATCACCCGTTGGGGTACGGAGTGGTTTGAACACGAACTTACGACGATCACCGTCACTGGCGAGCAAGAAGGCGAGGTCGTGTCGGTCTCACAAGTTAAGGAGGTCGATGGGGATATCGAGCTCGGACAGAGAAAATCGAAGTGCGTAGACTCGGTTTTTTTCCCTTGCCACCGGACTGTCAATTTTTTCGACCTCTGGCTGGTCTTTCCGCTTCGTCGCTTTTCTTGTAAACTTGCTCATTTTGATCGCCACGAGTTCAGGAAGCTTATACTGACGTGTATTATTTCGCCTCAGGTTAATCACGATCTTCGATTGCAAGGTGGTCCTGGCGTGGTCTGGCACAGCCAGCGACGGCACAGAAGTTAATGGCACACTGACAATCCCAGAGGTCTCGCATGAGATTATCTGCGACAAACTGTCCGACTTTGTGGTAAGTCTACGTTTTGACGCCTCGTTCCATCACCCTTGCGGCGCCTGTTAAGCATTTTCTATTCTTCCGTTCTAGTTTAACTGGTCACTGTCTACGGCCGCCTCTCCAGCAGTTGATGCCTTGTTCGCTCTTGCCCGCAGTAAATTATCCACTGCCTTGGAGACTAAGCTTTCCACGTTCCCGAGCGCGATAATCGACACCCACGGCAGGGATCTGACTGTCAGCGCTGATCCCAGCCGATCCGCCACTCCGGCTATTCCCAATGCAGCTGCACCTCCAGTTGCTTCTTCCTCGTCTATTGCCTCTGCTCCAGCCCCGGCCAAGCCCAAGGTCGCAGAAAAGAAGACGACCATCAATTCGACCACTGTGGTGGTCGAAGCCGATTTTATGGCTACTGCTGAGGACCTCTACAACCTTTTGACGGACGAGAAGAGGATCCCTGCATGGACTCGTGCCCCAGCTCAGGTACTTTTCCCTTCCGTTCGTTTTTAATTTGTCCATTTTAATTCGAAAACCTTTTGTAGTCGTTGGCCCAACCTGGAACCGAATATTCACTGTTTGGCGGTGGTGTGAAAGGAAAATATGTCTCCTTATCGCCTGGAAAAGAAATCGTACAAACCTGGGCACTTCAAAGCCCATCATGGCCATCGGGTAATTGTCTTTCCCTACAGATGCGAACAATTTAATTGAATATTCCGTCTTCTTGCTACAGGTCATGAAGCGACTTTGACAACCACGCTCGATCAATCAACTGACTCCACGAAAGTCAAGTTCTCCCTCGCTGGTGTCCCATCTGGTATGGAAGAAGAGATTAAACGGAACATCGAGGGGTACTAGTGCGTGGCTCCTCCATTTCCAACTCGTCCCCTCTCATGTTGACATTTGATATAGCATTCATGGGTTTAAGTCCATTGGGTACGTGCACCTCATCCCTTCGACACCTGTCCATTCGTCGTCATATGTCCGAGACCAAACACAATTGGCCACTGAACGAAACCGCCGCGCTGCCCAATCTGCCAAGGCGTCGGGTACGTCGTCGTACCTGCCAGCCATCGCAATAGCCACTCTGGTTCTTGTCGCCGCATTCGCGATTCCCTATCTGTCGTCTTCTGGCCTTGCTCCCTCGTCGAGTCCTGTCTCTTCCCACAAGTAATCGTTATTGGTATTTGGAATAATCTACTGAGCTACTCCTTTACTTTTTCATTTCACTGTTCTACTCTAGGTTGGGAACTGAGCTATGAAACCCGAATGGACTTTCCTTGCTCGACACTCGCTCGTCTTTCGTCGCGACGCGTGGGATTTGGCGCCTTCTCACGATGCAACATATTCAGTTTCGCTTCGACCATGGACGGATGGGAGAAAACAGGAGCTGGAAGTTGGCTTCAAGCAAGGGAATAGAAGAGGCATTAGAACAGGAAGAGAGAAGTGTTAAATTGCGTAACTGGGCGACTACGACATAGGCATACATCTGGTAGTTTTGAAGCATTTACAGTACAGACATTTTCCAACCACAATTTGCCGTTCCCTGGTGGCTTAATGTATGAAAGTCGAGGGACTTCGAGTCGAAGAATTCCATGTGTCGGCGTGGCCGTCGCTGGCCGTCGGTGACGAAAGAGCTGACACGCCACATCAGCATCAATGTGGTCATGTTTGGCCACTGCTTGGCCGCCAGTCCCTAGCCAAACTTGAATTTCGCCCGCCAACCAACCACCTCCAAAGTCGTGTCGCTTCGTTCTCGACGGTACGAGTCGCCAACCCTTACTGCCCACTCCTTCGTCGTCTGCTGGTTCTCTCTAATACGTGAGTAGTCATTTCTCGGTCCAAAGGCGCGTTCAAGGGAAGTTGCTACTGGGAGGGTGCGAGTGCGGACAGGAGGGAAGGCTGGTAGTGTTGGCATGTGCAAACTCGGCGCACGGATTCCATGAAGTGGTATTGGACGACTTGAGTGCTCTCCGAACCCCCTTCAATACGCTTCTCTCGTCTTCTTTCTCCCTCTCCCCTCGTTCTTGTTAGCACCAGGCGCTGACCTCTACCTTGCTTTCTCACCCCATATGTAGACCCCCCCACCTCCCACAAAAATGTCGACCGATGAAATCCGCGCCCAATCGTATGTCGGTTTCGACAGCATCACGCAGCAGATTGAGCACAAGCTCTTGAAGCGTGGTTTCCAGTTCAACGTCATCGTTGTTGGTGAGTTTTCGTTTCCGTTTTTGGCCACGATTCTGTATATTCCTTGTTCTCGCTTTCTGGAGGCGGCATTAGTATGGAGGGCTAGATGGTGCAGGCATGGAGAGGGGAGGGTGTTTGAGTCTGGACTTCCTTGTGAAGTGCCTCCTGACGCGTCTCTGTCGCCATATGCTAGCCTATTTCTTGCTGGACATCTTGCCCTTCAGGCTCTGTTGAAGAGGTTCAAGTCACTGTTTTGTCCGGATGCTAACAATCCTGTGGTTTTCTAGGTCCTACTGGGCTGGGCAAGTCTACCCTCATCAACACCATCTTCGCCTCGCACCTTATCGACTCGAAGGGGCGTTTCGCGTCGGATGAGCCTGTTAGGCAGACAACAGAGATTCAGGCTGTTTCTCATGGTGAATCCGCTTTCTTGTCCCAAATTCTTTATCTTTCTTGCCTAGTCGGGTTTGTCCTTCTGGCATCATCACGAACTTGTAATTGCACCAACTGTGGCGCCTTAACGGTGGGCCTCCTGTTGCAGTGCGGTGCTTCCTTTACGTTGTCCCGCACATCTAGCTTCTTCCTTTCCGCTTTTTACGTGTGTGGGGTTTTGAGCGGGATGCTGACGCCCTTCCTTTTTAAAGTCATTGTCGAGAATGGTGTCAAGCTCAGGCTGAACATCGTCGACACTCCAGGATACGGAGACCAGATCAACAACGAGGGATGGTGGGTGCTGCATCTTCATCTACTCAAAATATTTGTGTTCAACAGATTGATACTTTAGCTGGGACCCTATCATTAAGTACATCAAGGATCAACACAGCGCGTATCTGCGCAAGGAGTTGACCGCCATGCGAGACCGCTACATTCAGGACACCCGCATTCACTGCTGCTTGTACTTCATTAACCCCACTGGCCATTCATTGAGGCCCATTGACGTGATTGTGATGAAGAAGCTAAGCGAGGTCGTCAACGTTGTGCCTGTTATTGCGAAGAGTGATTCCCTTACTCTAGAGGAGAGGGAAAGGTTCAAGGTCAAGGTGTGTGATGTGATGGATTTCTTTTTCTGGAAAGTATCTCAACAATATTTTTTGGGCAGATTCGCGAGGAACTCGTCTACAACAACATCCGCTTATATCCTTTCGACACGGACGAGGATGACGAAGAGGAAGTACAACTCAACGAGTCAATCAGGGTACATCTACTTTCCTTACTGCGGTTTGTCACGGCCTGACCGCTCGCTTTTAGCAAATCATCCCGTTCGCCGTCGTCGGCTCCGAGAACAATGTCATTATCGACGGCAAGTCTGTTCGTGGACGCAAGAACCGCTGGGGTGTAGTGAACGTAGAGGACGCCAACCACTGCGAGTTTGTTCACCTGCGCAACTTCCTCACGAGGACGCACTTGCAAGACCTCATCGAGACGACCGCCCAGATCCACTATGAGGCCTTCCGCTCGAAGCAGCTGCTTGCGCTCAAGGAGGGTGTCAACCAACGGCCTGCTAATGCCCAGTAGGCGACTGGGGACTCCGTTGGTGGATGGCGACAGAATACGATACCCCTGCTGTGATGGCTTTTTGAACAATATCCCGCTCCTTCACTATTTTTCGGTGGCTGCTATGGAACTAGTTACGATTTTTTGACCAGTAGTCTCTCCTTTTTTCCGTATTTGCGATGATACCTTATACATCTATTCTCTTGGCCGACGTGGACCACGGTATCATCAGCCGAATTGCAGTGCGTGGACAGCGCGCCGGGGATTTAATGAACGTGTACAAGGCTTACGTGGTGGGTTTCGGCACCGGCAGAGCTTGTTTGAGAGGTAACGAAGAAGTCAAGCAAGTGCGTCTTCGACCGACGAAGCATCGAGGAATAAGCCAGGAATCAAGGCTCTCTGCCAGGAATGTGATCATGACACTAAATTTCAGGATTGGAGTGGTGGCAAAGAGGAATGGAGTCAGCGCTGAGGTCAATGGGCTGAGTCATCACTAATGATCTACCCTTTGTCAGCGGCTTGGATTTGAACAGGACCAGCTGGGACCAACTCTCCTCCTTTTCGCGCGACCCGTAATGCCCGCGTGAGCCCTTGCCAGAGACGACCACCACACGTCTATCCGCCGACACGACATCCCCACCTTCTTGTCTCTGTCGTCCCCCGTCCCCGGCGACTCCCCATGGCCCCCGCCCATATCCGCCATCAGTCACGCCTCGGTGCCTGGTATGCTCGGGTCGCCGCGTTCAAGGTCGAGGACCTCTTTTCGAGGAAGAAGACGCCCGGACCGCGCAGGACTGTCTTCATCAACGAGAACCTTCCTGACGACTACCACGACTCTCGAGGAAGAGTGAAGAAGGAGCATATCTATACCAATAACCAGGTTATTACCTCCAAGTACACTGTCATCACGTTCCTACCCCGGAATCTGCTCGAACAGTTCAGACGTGTTGCTAATGTGTGAGTTTCATTTTCTCCTCGTTTTTCTGAGCGCAGTTGTGGGCACCCGGTGCAGGTGATGGGTCGTGGTCATTGCATCATCGTCTGTGGAACCAGCGGTGACATACGCCCATCATAAAGCCTATATATTTTGCTTTCATTTTTACTTCGATGTCAGTCGGTGTTGAAAGCGTTGGATTAACCTTTGTGTTTGCTTCCGCGCAGGTTCTTCCTCGGGATCGCCATTCTGCAGTTCTTCCCAAAATTCTCGACTATCTCTCCCGGGCTCGTTATTCTACCCCTTCTTATCGTTGTCGGAATTACGGCGCTCAAGGATGGCTATGAAGATATTAAACGGCATCAGTCCGATCGCAGAGTTAATAATTCGCTCGTCCGGGTGCTTGGAGGTGGGGATTGGGTCAACCCGAATATCATGCAGCGGAAGAGCAAAACATTTGTGCGAGGGGTGATGAAGACGTATGGAAGGAGCATCAAGAAGGTGAAGAAGACAAACCCTGTCGGCGAAGAACTTCAAGGCGTCACATCTCCGATGAGCCCTCCCGTCGAGTATGATGACGATGTCGTGGAGGAGCGCCGTCGTATCTCGGGCATCTTCACACATCACCGGCGCTCGTCTTCTCGCCACAATGCACCAACGGAAGGAGAGCCTGTCAAGGATGAAAAAAGTGCTGACCGCCCACACTGGAAGAAGAAAGCATGGGAGGACATCGCTGTTGGAGACTTCGTCAAAATTTTGGACAACGAATCTATACCAGCGGACATCCTTGTCTGCGCCACCTCTGAAGACGAGAATGTCGCTTTTGTGGAGACCAAGAATCTCGACGGCGAGACGAATCTGAAGTCACGGAACGCTGTCCCCGCTCTGACCCATCTACGAACCGCAGGTGCCTGCGCCTCGACGCATAATGCCTTCAGGCTGGAGTGTGATCGACCTGATACGAACATGTATAAGCTCAATGCTGCGGTCAAGGTCGGGAAGGAGACCTTCCCAGTAGACATGCAGATGGTGCTACTACGTGGAACGGTACTAAGGAATACGAAGTGGGTCGTCGGAGTCGTGATGTACACTGGTGAGGACACGAGGATCGTCATGAACTCCGGTGGGACGCCTAGTAAGAGGAGCAAGGTCGAGAGGCAGATGAACCCTCAAGTGTACGCCCCTTATTGTTTCTGGCCCTGTTTGCAGAACTTGACTGATGCTCTTCCTTTTGTTCTGTACACAAGGTTCATCAACTTGGGTTTGCTAGCGCTCATGGCTATGGCTTGTGGCGTGGTCGATTCTGTGCTTCAACATCGGGATTATCCTACTGGAGCACCTTGGCTGTATGGTGCCAATCGGTCGGATGATAACCCCACTATCAATGGACTGTTCACTTTCTTCTTTGCTCTCATCACGTACGTCTTTTCCTGTTGCTCTCGAGCTTGTGGCCTTCTGACGTTGCGTGCTGCTATAGTTTCCAAAATATTGTTCCTATCTCACTGTACATCTCCATTGAATTTGTGCGGACTTGTCAAGCAGCATTTATTTATTTCGACTCGAACATGGTTTACAAAGGACAGGCTACGTTGGCTCGGAGTTGGAACTTATCGGATGATCTTGGACAAATCGAATATATCTTCTCCGACAAGACTGGCACATTGACTCAGGTAAAGTGTTATGAAATTTCGTATTCAGCGCGAGATCTGACGTGTCCGCGCTATTGCAGAACTCTATGGTGTTCCGGAAATGCTCTATCGGGGGAAAAATGTACAACGGAGACCCGATAGACGAAGAAGAGGAAGAGAGCAGCATACAGAAAGGAGGCAACGTCACGGCGGAGGAGAAAGTCATCAGCGAGAAGCGAACTACGCACTCTCCTGATATACCCCTAGAGGACATGCGCTCGTCAGGATCGTCAACAGCTGCGTACCCGCCAAAGCAGGCCGAAGGGGTCAAGAGCACCAGTAACACCAGCACCGGAAGTGAGGGTCAACCAGACTCCAAAAAAGATCCTAATGGGCCGACGTCGACAGCAAGTCCACCGAAGGCCATCCACCACTTCCGTGACGCGGAGCTGACACGCGACCTCCTCGACGCAGTGCACGCCGACCCAGACTCGTCCAACGCTGCCCACGCGCGCCAGCTCAATGGCTTCTTCTCCGTTCTCGCCTTGTGCCACACCGTGCTGACAAACGTCGACCCGGAGGCTGGTAAAATCGAGTACAAGGCGCAGAGTCCCGACGAGGCTGCACTCGTGCAGGCAGCGGCCGACATGGGCTTCGTGTTCAGAGGCAGAGAGAGGGAGACACTCTATTTGCAGACGCCATTCGCTGCGCAGGGTGGGATCGAGGAGGTCGCTGGCGCGGGTGCCGATCCCGGCTCACCTGCGTCGTCAGCGCATGCACAGTCATCGGGCTCCGCGACGGCGGCCGGGCATTCGACGGTTCCTCGAGCGTTGGCTGCTGGCGTCGAGGATGGTACGCTCGAGCGATACGAGCTGCTCAACATTCTCGAGTTCACGAGTGCAAGAAAGAGGATGAGCGTCGTTCTGCGGAGGCTCGATTCTGAGGATGGACGGTTGTTCTTACTGACGAAAGGCGCGGATAATGTGATTTTCGAGAGGCTGAAGCCCGGCGCTCGCGAGGAGCTGAAGAAGGTCACTGAAAGCCACCTGGATGAGTATGCAAGTCAAGGGCTGAGAACGCTAACTCTGGCTTATAAAGTCATCAATGGTGCGTTCCTTCTTGGCAGCTGCTAATCTGTTGATTGATTTTCCTTCCAACTTGTAGAGGACGAATATAACGCCTGGAGCGAGCGATACCATGAGGCCACTGTCGCGATGGACGACCGTGATGCGAAGATCGAGGCCGTCTCTGATGAGCTGGAGCAGGACTTGCGGTTGCTCGGTGCTACAGCCATCGAAGATCGTCTGCAAGATGGTGTACCGGAGACTATCGCGGATTTGAAGAGAGCCGGCATCAAGGTGTGGGTTGCCACTGGCGATAAACTGGAAACTGCCATCGGTGCGTGCTAACCTATCTTCACCTGAATAAACCGGTATTCATAGTGTGTCGTTCATTTTAGCCATTGGACACAGCACAAACCTTATCAGCCCGGATTCCAACATCATCGTCATACGTGGAGGTAGCTCTGGAAGACCAGTTTACGACCAGATCCTGCATGCCATCCAAGAATTCTTCCCAGACAGCGGCATCCTCGACGAGCATGGCCAATTGACTACCTCTGCCTACGCCAAACCAGAACTCATCGAGGGCGGCCAGCGGGCAGCATCTCCTTCGCCAGGAGGTGGCCCTCTGCGTCGCACAGACACAGGCATCTCATCCATCGTTGGTTCAAACAACGGCGACCGTCCAGGTGGCTTTGTCCTTGTCATCGACGGGACAGCACTGGGTGTGGCCCTCTCGGACGAGTTGCATAAAGATGCACTACTGAGACTTGCGATGGTCTGTGAGGGTGTTATATGCTGTCGTGTGTCGCCTTTGCAGAAGGCCCTGGTTGTCAAGCTTGTGAAGGACGGATTAGGAACTATGACGTTGGCCATTGGTGACGGCGCCAACGATGTCAGCATGATCCAGGCTGCGGATGTGGGTGTAGGTATCTCGGGTGAAGAGGGTCTGCAAGCCGTCAACTCGTCGGATTATGCTATTGCTCAGGTGAGTTCCTTTTATATCGGATGTTTGAAATAGCGGATCTGACGAAACCTTGCAATAGTTCCGCTTCCTGAAACGGTTGCTTTTGGTTCACGGCCACTGGTCCTATGCACGCAACGGAACGATGTCGGTGTTCTTTTCGTCTTCATTCACTCACATTCCTAACAACCCTTCTGCAACCGCAGGATTCTCAACTTCTTCTACAAGAACATCGTTTGTATCGGCGTGCTATGGTGGTTCCAGATTTACTGTGCTTGGAGTTCGAATTAGTGAGCGCAGCGGCTTTCAGGATTTGATTGCGACCAACTGATGCATTCCTCTAAAGCGTATTCGAGTACACTTACCTGTTGTTTTGGAACTCCTTCTGGACAATTGCGCCAGTTATTGGCATTGGTGTCTTCGACAGGTTTGCGGGTGCGTGCATTCTTTCTCTCTTCTCGGTATCGTGATTTACCCTCTGTCAGATTCGCATGTTCTGATGGACGTTCCTGAACTGTACTGGTATGGCCGTGAGGGCAAATGGTTTGGCACAGGTCAATTCATCCTTTATATGTTCGATGGTGTCCTTCAAGTAAGTCCTCAAACCCGTCGAGTGATTTCAATGCTTATGGCTTTCTAGTCTGCCATCATCTATTTCCTTATTCTGTACACCTATGTGACCGTTTCATCGCGATCTGACGGCTGGCAAGTGAACCAGTATGAATTTGCGACGGTGAGTACCTTTGATCTGGTATTTGTATTTCTTGCGCTCAATGAAATTGTAGACTATGGTTTTCGCCGCTGTCCTCACTGCTAACACCTTCAACGGTCTTAACACAAGCGCATGGACAGGCTGGGTGTTCTTTGCTGTCTTCATTGGAGACGTACTTGTCTATGTTTACACTGTGAGCTTTTGCCGTCTAACACAGCTATACTGGAAATTCTAACCTCCCCTGACCCCAGGCCGTCTACAACTCTATCTCTCCTGGATGGTTCGTTACTCCAGTATGGGGCAACAACGTCTTCCTGTTTGAATCCGCATACTATTGGCTCTGTCTTCCTCTTACCATCTGTCTCGCACTTCTACCTCACTACCTCCTCAAGGCTTGGCGATTCGGCTTTTATCCGGATGACATCGACACCCTGCGGTACATTCGCAAAATGGACCCCAGTAGAGACCTTGCCCATGACACACAAACTTGCAACCCATTGGGCGCTCTCAAGCGCCCCAGACCAGCTTCGATGATCTCACATAACCGAACAGAGAGCGTGGCATCGCTACCACGTCCTTCAATGGACTTCAGATCTGCAAGCAGGACGGACATGTCAACTGGAATTCGATCCGTCCATCGTGGGTTCGATTTCTCAGCGGAGGAGAATGGGGTCGCCATGCAGCGGATGCAGAGCCGTCTGTCAGAACGGCGACAAAGTAGTCGAAATCTTGCACAACCACAACCCAGAAGAAGAGGAACTGTCAGCCAAGTACTATCTGTACCACGGAATTTCCTGCGGAAAAAGGCGTCAAACGCGAAGGATCTAGAACAATAAAAGGATATCTTTCTTTTCTTTTTTTATTATCCCCCACAAGCTACTTCACAATCATGTTCTGTCATGCTATCCTCACCCGCTCCCTCTCCCTCTCACCCGTCCACCCAACCCCTGCTGTCACGTCGTTATTCCTTACCTAGATTTGTTCCGTCGGGCTTATGGATCTACCTCTGCATCATCGTCGCCGTTATTCTGTATTTTGTATCCAACATCCTTCACGTTCAGTTTTATTCGCCGTATTTATTGCATTTTACGATCCACTGATGGCTAATGATACGATAATTCCTATGATATGCCTCTCGTGCAGGACAATTCATGAGCTAGCGGATATCTTCATACATATAACTGATGCAAGCTCTCCCCTCTATCGACACCTACTTATTCAGATCCAATGGAAGGTCCTGATACGGGATTCAAACCATGCCCTGTCGCGTTTCGAAAGCTTCTTCAGATGTCCTTCAACTTCGAGATGGATAATTGACTTGAAACTCAGCCCTCTGGGGGGTTTCCTTTTCTTCAAATCCTGACAAGATATGCATGTCGTTCGTGTCACTGTACAGTACCACGCTCTGAGCATCGGTACTTATCTCTTTTAACCCGGTCTTCCTCTTCGTCCTCGTCTTCGGAATCAGAATCAGATTAAGTCGAGACGAGTTTCAGGCGTTCGGTGACCATCACCTTCAGGCCTTTCACAGCAAAATTTGGACAGTCGATCAAGTAGGGGCGTTGTAGAAGTTCACAGTGGGTGCCAATTATCTGAAGGTGGTCATCGGCGAAACCTTCACAATCAATGATGTCGGATCGATTTCCGAAGTGACGCTTCAACGCTCGAGAAAACGCTGCATCGCCATTGACGTAGATATTTTCCAGCCGGAGATAATGCGCCATTGGGACGCTTTCGTATGTGATGTAGGCGCCGTCAAGATGGCAGTAACAGAGAGGAGATCCAGAGGTAGCAGTAAGAAATCCTTGTCGAAACTCTTCGTTCTGGTAATGGAGACTGAGGTTGTCCACTCTGAATTCATGGTTGAAGTTTCCTTCAGCGCAACTGATGTCAACGTCAGAGATGGTAAGGTGCCTCATGGAGCCGACATTGGCGATGCTCCCTGCAAGCGCATCAAGGTTGAACGCGTCTTCGTCCTCGCACCGGAAATTGAGCTCCGAGTCTGAGTGCCCCGAGCGTTCGGTTTTGAGGTCTAGTAAAATATTGAGAAGTCGGTAATGTGCTGGTATGTTGGATCCGTTGGGCATTCGTGTCGGCCTGCCTGAAAAACTATATCGAAGGGTCGCTGTCAGCCACTGGTCCATTCTACATACAGCGTCAGCTCGTTAATTTTTCGACTGGCTGAGAGGACTGACGTCCTTGTCACATTGACTATGAGCGTAGGGAAAGCAACTCTTTGTGAACCCGAGCGAGTTCCATTCCCAAGACGAGGATATTATGTTCATGCCGTCCAAGATAGCCAATTGGGCTTCATGTCGTTACACGTGCTGATGAAAAATATACGAGCTGCCCTCGCACGACGACGATCATATCGGGATACCTATTCCTCGTCGACAAAACGGCTTCGATGCGATTCCCACCCTTCTTCTCTCCAAAATTCCGTGGACAGCTCCGACTTCGCATTCTCCAGACCACTTGTCGCTGAATCTTCTCGCAATGCCTCCTCGAGTCGCATGACTTCGCATAGGCAGCAACTCGAGGCGCAAGCTGAGAAAGGGAAGACATCAGGTGGCACGTCCAAGCACGCACGACAGTCTTATGTCGGTCCGCATGTGGATGACCCGGAGGACCCTTTGTCGGAGGAGGAAGACTTCGAGCGATTCAAAATGGAGATTTGTGCCCAAAAGATTATCGAATTCCACCAGGCGGCTGCCTTGGCTGACATCGAATTGGCGGTCGAGATCTACAAGGGTCGGAAAGCTGCAGGCGGCAAGAAGCACGAGGTGTTGTCGAGCATCAGAAGCGAATGGTGCAGGTGGCAGGTGCAGATGGAGAAGGAGGAAGAACGGAAGGCGATCGTGAACACTGAACGTTCCAGGCGCAGGTCGGACTCCCCCGCCGACGACCAGGACGTTCATCGACCCTCGTCGCACCGATCCCAAGTGCGCCGGCCACTCCTAGTTGGCTACATGCTTTCCAGGAGCAAGTTCCTAACCGTCTTGAATTCGAATTTGATTTGGACCGTGTTTTGTCGGATGACCCAAACGAGCGCCACGGCAATATAGACCAGCTCCTCGAGCAGATGTTCCCAGGATCTTCGTCTACAGACAGTGCTTCATCTCATCCTCCCGAACGGCATGCCCATCCCAGACCCGCCGCAACTTTTGGAAAGGAGCACGATATCCACCTCAAGCCAAGCATCCTTCTCCTCGGCGAGCCAAGCGAGCTTGTCCCATGGCCAGCGCCAACCGACCGCGAAGACATCGCATCGAAAGGTCAAACCTTCGCTATTTGGCGACGACGATAATGATGACGAACATAGCAGTCCGCCTGCTACAGAACAACCAGTTAACCGATGACGCTGGCGCCTTCTTGACCAACCACATAATGCAGCAACTAGACGTCGCTTCCGCCTTCATGGAGTGGGCTGGAGCAGGAGGAATGTCGGCGGGTGCCTTGAATGGTTCAGCACCGAGTCTTCCTTGGGCAACAAAGCCAGCAACCCAGTCAGACCCTACCCCTAACCCTTGGTCGTCGAAGGACATCCGTGCTACTCCTGTCGCCAGCGGCTGGACGAAGAGGAAGCCTTCCATCTGCACCCCTCAGCCTCCGCAATTTTCCTTCAACAATCCCTTCGGGACGCACGAACAACCAGGAGCGCCATCCTTGTCCGCCACGGGCGCGTTCAATTCATCGACTGCCAAAGGAAAGAAACCTGCTGCCTTTCTGACAGGACCTCCACAAGCTGCAGAAGAGCCTGCGAAAAGGCGGTCGCCCTTAGCCTCTGCCCCAGAGCCATCTAGCAAGGGTCTTACTACCTCCTTGCCACCCAGCGTTCTTCCCAAGGTCGAGAAGCCGCCAACAGTTGCTCCTCCGGCACCTGCTGGCAAGAAGTTGAACAAGAAGCACCGTCAGGCGAACAAGAAGAATACGACCGCTGCTTCCAGTGTTGAGGCTGCTGAAGCTGAGCCAGTGTCCACACCTGCACCTCCTGTCCCGCCTGTTACTGCCAAGCCAGCTTCGCCAAATGCACTAGCTCAAGGCCCACAGCAGCGTACGTCGACTCTGCCGGAGTCCGCGCCTCAGTCGTCGGAGACTATGTTCTCGATGTCAAAATCGATTCCTGGTATGGCTCGTGTCCGAAGGGATTCGAATATGGCAGACCCTGCCAGGGGCGGATGGGACGACGCTGTCTCGACTCCTCGAGCAGCTTCCAAGATCCTTTCTTTTCTCCAGGAGTCGACGCCGTCTATCAAGCCCGAAGGAACTCCTCGCCCGAGTCTCTTCAAGACGTCCACAAACCGTTTTGATCAAATGGGACAAAATTTGACAATCAAAGGTTCGCAATGGGGAGCTGCTAGTCGTTCTATTTGGGGCATTTTCGCGTCCGATGGGTCTGCCTCTCAGCAAGCACCTATACAACCCGCCGGAATGAGTATCGCGATCTGTCAGTCGTGACCCTTGGGTGCCTGGAGGGTTTGACGTCGATGATGGGGGCGGTGGTGACGGTGGTGGAGAAGAGACGAAGCAGGAGACTGCTATGCAGCAGTTCTGGACGCCTACTGATCTTCTCAAGTAGGCAAGGCTGCTTCACCAGCGCCAGCAGGCCCTGCCTGTTGCTGCTGCCCATCATTTTCAGCGTATGAACGAATTGTCGGCATCGTAGGCCACGCCTCAGGCTGTCAACCCAAAGGCAACCATTCCCGGCTCGCTTTATCATGGAGGGCTTCTGACTTATATCTTACTGGAATTAGTACCGATCGCGTCGCTGCGTTTCTGAGTACATTTCCCCATAAATGTGCCTCCCGAATCCCGTGTCGAATGCTAAAGTCAATTCGTTGTAGGAGTAGATGCAGCGATTCCACAAAATCACACTGGGCCATGCTGTCGGATCGTATTTGGCTCAGGTGCCTTCTTACTGCTAGAAGGTGAGCGTTACGTGTGTGTATATGCGCTTCCAAGAGGCCTGAATCACTCATGGTTGGGCCCCGAAATTCTTGTCCCAACTCCGTTTTCCATGTCAAAACATTCTTCCAAAGGGCTTTATTAGCTTCAAGGTAGGCACGCAATTTCACCGGCTTCGCCTTTCCAGCAATTGGCCTGGGATTAGTAAGCAACTAATGGGTGGTTGCAGACAAAGAAAAGAGCAATACCATGGTAAACAGAACAGGTAGGGCCAACTGGACTAAAAAATGGCAGAGTCGATGTATAATGGGGTGAGCTGAGCAGGTGAGCAGGGCTTGATGAGGACAGGGCAAATGGTGAGGCAGACTAGGAAGAGACAACCTAGGCAGGGATAGCCCCTGGGCGATCTCAGAGTGACTGTCCAATACAATAGGTGCCAAGGTAGAGGCACCAGCAACTTTATCTGTAAGTACCACATATTTATGTGGATGGCTTAGGCCAGAATTCTAACCCCTTATCTTCCTTTTCGATAAATCCACTGCGGCTTGCATATACTCTTTTAGATACTTCTTTGTAATGCCTTCCAGAGCATCCTGCAGGTTTGATATCAGCTTTGCGCCCATAAACCTCCCATCCTTAATTGGGATGAGCAGCTGCTCGGTGGCTTCTTGCGAAAGGGTAATCCATCTGTTGAAGAGGTCTTTGATGACTCTCACTGACTGATCAGAGGGAGGGTAGAGAACCCAGCAATCTCTTGTATGAGCCTAGCCTTTGTGGATGAGACATTCATGAGAGAACCGTTATTCAAGGCCTTCAGCGGCAGCTTCGCCATTCCAAGGGATTTCCTTTTGCGGACGAGGACCGAGTGATGACCGAAATGACCGAATGTACGTCACGTGATGGAAAGAGCCGAATTGAGGATGCTTTGCGTGCCAAGAACTACGTCTGCCGAAGTGTACTACGGAAATGATGACGAAGTGAGACGGGTGCCGAGGAATTTTGGTGATGTTTCGGACGAAAACCCTGGCCAAAACAGTGCACAGAATTGCTTCCGGAACACCCTTGAAATCACCAATTTTTCGCCCTGTGGAAGGAGGAAGACGCATGTGACTGTGGGAATATATGTTCCTCTTTCGAAATCACCGGGCACCCATGGAAGCGCTCATGTGCCACCGCAAGGCCACCATGCCACCGTAAATAAGCGCCATGCGGTGAGACATTTAGAAAGACCACTGTGCGCTTCACCCGGTGCCATGACGGAGTGCTTGAGGATCCACTCCCGGGCCCGGTCCCGGCCCACTGTTCGACGTTTAGGCTACCTTGACGTCTCCCAAGTTTTTTTTTGTGGCCAGCAACAGGCTAGATTGGCGCAAAATCGACGTGAATAGAATAATTTACAGGCGGAATGGATTGATTTGTAGCTTCTGATGGAGACTGGATTGGGGTTCTCTCACAAGCCACAAATTTCTATATAGGGAGAAATCGAGTCATCGCTTACGTGATGATTGGTGCAGACACTTTCCAAAGAAGGTATTTTCTGCGGCATTGTAGCGTCCCACGGGGTCTAGCAATCCCTCGATCCTGGACTGCCTTCTCCATTGTTTCTTGACTACTTAACCCTCCCAAAAATCGTCAAAAAATGCCATCCTCAACCTCCCCGGTCTCCAAGTCTCTCCCTCTCCACCCAGTCCACTTCCAAACAACACTCGATCGCCAACATGCTTGCGCATCTTGACAACAACAAACTGAACAAGGTCTCCTTTGTCGACCGACTTGCTTGCCGCGCACCACACTATCGCGCCTCAACCTCCTCTCTCATTCTCCAGCAAAACATCTCCCCTTGCCTCCGTCGCCGTGCGGAAAACATCAAGCTGGCCAGCAAGCGTCCAGTTGTTGTCAAGGTCGAGGAACCCACCCCTGCGCCGATGGCACAGAGCAGGGGCATTACGCTCCCAACCTCCCTTTCAAGACCCGCACTCCAAGAGGTTAATCCTGAGGCTATCTACACCTGCGATGCCCGCCTACAAGGCGCACAACCCAACTTCATCAGGGAGAAACTCGCACAACTTGGTCCATCGTAAGTGCCTTCTCCTTTCATTGAGTATTGTGATCATGATCTCATTGTCCCCTCTTGCAGAATGATTAATGGCATACGAAGCACCAGAATCATGGACCACCCCAGAACGCAACTTCCCAAGGAGCTGGAGGTTGTTTTCATTGATACTGTCTCCCTCCCGGTCATCTCGCCAACGCACATCCTCGCTGTGAGGCCGACAACCCCTTCAAAGGGCCCAACACCAGTCAAGCTCTTCCTCATCCACGAACTCATCTTCGCTGCCAACTGCTCCGCTTTCCCGAAGCTCCCCAAGTCTCATACTGCAACCGCCGAGGGCAACACATCACAGACTGCCTGCCTCCCCGTCATCTCCATCGCCATCCCCTCGATATCCACTTTCGAGATCTTCCAAGCACATCTCTACCTCAAGGACACCGAAGCACTACGAGCGGCCCTCCTACCATCCGGATGGTCGAGCGATGTCGTCTCCATGTTGCGGACATTCGAAATCATCCACGGTCTGTGGTTGAACGCTCGCGCATTCCAAGTCTGCGACGAGCCGCTTTTCGAGACCCTGAATGCCTGTTGGAGCGAAGCACTACGTGCTCTCACACTCGTCTCGTCGTCATGAGGTTTCGGATTCGCATTTTGGACTTTCGACGGGCGACGTTTGGGACAAGCATTAACTTTATGAATATGTACAAGCTGTAAAATATCAAGCATGCATCTGTATGATTAGAAAGCATAGATACAAACCTATCGCATTGTCCTTATCTTCGTTCTTTCTGAGTGTCCGTTACTATGTAGTCGTCCTGAAAGTTTTCGGTCCCCACGCCTTTGTAATTGGCTGGAATCTGGAGCTTGCTTACGGTTGTTTCATCCGGCAGTCGTCGGGGCCCTTCAACCTTTCCGCTGACCTCCTACTGACCTACAAGTTCTACAACTAACCTTGACGAAATCCAGTTCACCTGACCTTCTGCGGTTGTCCGAGGCGTTCCCGTCTATCACGAACCTAGATTGGCGGCGTATAAATTTCTCTCTCCTACGTTCCTCTTTGCCGCCTGTATGCCCCGAAACTCGTGAACAATGAAGAAGAAGAAATCCTTCGAGATGACTAGCTTCTCCATATATTCTGTCGATCTTTGTGTGCGGTGCTCATTATGAAGGCTCCTTTTTTGTAAACCTCCGAGGTCATTCGAATTTCGCCAACGTCCCCATTGTTCATCAATCCCTCGGCTGATCATAATCTTGGGACCTAATCACGTTGCACTCCAATCCTGGCCAATGAGCGACCTTTGGAGCCCGAGGAAGGCATAAGTCTCCCGTTGCGTGTTCTTTTCGGTTTTCTGAAAAAGTGGGCGCCGAGATCCTTTTGTCGAGGTGGAGGACCTGTCCGTTATCCAGATGAGAGAGCAACCTTCAGACGATCTCAGGCTCCAAATTTTGTGGCCCATCGGAGCTCGTCGTCCTGGACAACAGCGGATCCCATGCGCTCTTACAATGACATCAAGAAAGCGTCTTCTCTCAACGACCATGATGGATGGGGTTCGTGCATTTCGCTTCCATGGATGTGACGTAGTTTCTGCGGGTGGCCGAACTTGCGACGCCGTTCACCCAATTCTTTTGAGTTATAGGTCGATTGGTAAAACTCAGATCCGGATCTGAGATGATCGTTGCCTTATTCAGCGTTCGGCTCGCCAGAGACTCACCAGACCGACGGGTGAACACAGGGAGACCCAGGTCACCTCTGACTCTGTAAATGTAGCTATTTCATGGCCGTTTAATGGCCTCATCATGGCTACCGCCTTTTGAACTACTAACTGTAACCCTGTATATCAGTATCTTATCTTATCTTAAAACTTTACCTGGCAACTCTGCGATGCAGAGTTTTGCCGGAATGTCATGAATCTGTGCCGTTTTCCCTTCAAAGACATGGCCCCGCTGGTAAACTGGTGACAACATGGTCCTACTGAGGACTAGATTGTAGGTGTAGACTTTAATTAGACGTAGATTAGATTATTGCTACTCGAGAATTCGGAATGTATCTGTTGTGTTTCTCCTGCCGCTCTAGAGTATTATCATCCGAAAACATGAGAGTCTGTTCAACATCGGGGAGCAAAGCCAGCAAATACCGACGATTGTCTCCTTGACTCTGGTGTGTTTCTAATTTTTTGAGTGTGGAATCAAAACAGACAGATAGAAAACAGGATGCACAAACGAGGCTCGAGGGCAGCTTAAACCACCTCATACAAAGCCTTTCAGGTTCTTGAAAGATGTTGGATGCAGCTCTCCCAGACTGCCATCTTAAAAGAAACGTCCGAGCATCCATAGAAACCTGCTCATTGATATATTGAACTGTTATACTTAAGTACATTTATGTAAATAGGGAATGGGAAATGGAGCCTGGCTACATCGCAAAAGCGAGGGAAGAGCGAGCCTGTCACCCTCACGAAATTCTGTGAACTGTACCGATGTCATCCGTGTGCCATACTTACTCGCATCTTCGAGACGAGGTCTCAGACCACCGTGGCTCATCCGTTAGCCTTCGTGATTGCTGAAGTCGAGGCACCGGCGTCCTCGCCAAGCTTCGTCCATCTCTCCAACATCCCCCATTCGCCTTAGTGCTAGACCCGAGGCGTTGTAGCACAACAGCAGTGGGCAACGTCTACCACAATGGCCACGAGAGGTCAGCACAGTCATCTTTGATGACTCAAGGAGTGCACGAGAGCCTTACCGTGTGCACCGACACCCCACCAGCGTATGTCGTCTCCTGGGGCAACAACGACTGCGAGAACGAGGATCTCCCCTAGACGCCGCCAACGCGATTGCGAGCGTGGAGGCGAAAGCACGAACATGGGCAGGTGCTGCTCTTTGTCATCCTGGACCAGTTTACGGTCAGGCTCCGTGGCAAGGAGGAGAGAGACAATACGTACCGCCCTTGTTCATGTTCGCCTTCTAGGTGAAGAGACGGAAGGATTTGGGTAAGTACCTGGATTCATATAGCATTCGAAAGTGAATGCTTACTGCGTCTCCAGATGGTATGGCCTCTGCGTCTTGTGATTGCTACTGACGGCGCCGTGATATCAGCGATGGAGCACGAACACGGATAGGACGTCCTGCGTCCCCTCCTCGAGCTCGGCGAGGGCGTCGCGGTCTCCAAGGACCTCCGTTTGCGCAAATTCAGTCGTGTCATGGCCTTCAGTGTGCCGAGAGACACAGGAGGGCCAGTACCCTTCATCCACACCCTTGTAGATGGGAGCGGTGCTAGACGTTGTTCTTGTGGACGGCTGAACCGTGTCAGGGATCGGAGCTTGGAGCTGAGAGGGTCGCGCTGTATGCCACGGAGTCTGAGAGGGTTGGATTCGGTCCGGGGAGTCCATAGGCTGTAAGAAAACAGTTAAACATGCTAGAAGACGCCGGCAGCTGGGGCAGCTGGATTGAATGTAAGGGTGGGTATGGTGACAGCTTTCCAGCTGCAGAGGCCCCTCAGCGAGTCTCTGGAGTCGGTGAGTGTAGCCCTGACATTGTGAGGAGACGACTTACATGCGGTTGGCCCAGCTCCAGCTATGCCCACATACGCCTACATCACTGCTGGTTTGTATGGCACACCGCATACGAGGGCATTCATGAGTCAGTCGCGTACAAGAACAATAGAGCACCGGCTATCCGTTCAGCTGAACGCGTAGCTTAGTTGTCCTGTGGTGCACTGGTGCTTGTACACGGACACGAGATGTTGAGTTACGCGACGTCAAGAGCAGGAGTGGCTTGGGTCCTGGGTGTGAGAATGTGCGCGGAATCAGCCGTGATCTCAGATCCCGAATCTGAGTTTTACCAATCGACGCATCACTGAATTCTTTTCTGTAGTTCGCCTCAATTCATCTTCTAAAATACAATTGGGGAGGCAGTATAGACGGATCCACACGGACGTTTGCAAGATAAAGGAGGCCAATCACGGGTACGAAGGGTGAGCGCAGCCAATAGCAGGCCGTGATCATGCTCCAGGTAGGTTGGCGGTTGCGAACAGAGAAGGTCCAGACTCTCGAGCGAACGCCGAACATGTAGTTAGGTACCCCCGTCTTGTACTCGCTTTGACGTCCCATGCTACCTTTCTCTTTATATTAAACCGCATCTGCCGCTCTTCGCCGCTCTTCTAACCACCCCGCTTTGTGACTATGCCTCGAAACAGCCCACATCTCGCGGACGAAGGTTTCATGGACGAGGAGGCCATGCTCAGTGCGATTCTGCCACCTCAAGCGCCTACCAGGGTGGAGGAGTTGGTATCTGGGATAGGTTCAGTCCGGGACACTGAAGGTGCGTCGCCTGGAGGTAGCGAGGCTCGGGCACCGAAGATTCTTCTAGAACTGGCGTACAAGCTCCTGGCATCCTTGCCTAGGTCAAGGCTTGCGACGATCCAGAGACGCATAGCACCTCTGCTGCAGTTCGACGTCGTTGGGGTATGCTACTCCCTTGGACCCCTGTGCCTACAGCTAACCCGTTACTTCGCTACAGACGCTGCCCACGGAAGTGGCATTGCAGATCTTTTCCTACCTGACGTACCAGACTCTCCTCGTATGCAGCCTCGTCAGCCGGCGCTGGCTGGCACTCGCAAATGACCCAAGCCTGTGGAAGACCCTTTGTCAAGCTCGTGGTTGGACGTGGCGGCCACCACTTCGTGTACCCGCATTCAATATCCCGATAACCGCACGCGATGCCGCATGGGACCACTCTGACGATGACGAGGGTATGGGAGACTCCGATGATGAAGATGACGACGAGGAATCCGCCGTCATCGATAATTTGGAGGCTGCGAAGGCTGAACTGACGGCGATGTCCCAGGAGCTGGACTCGGGGTTCGCGTCGATGTCATCCTTCTCGACCAGCACGCTACTTTTCACCAACACCAAGGACACCATCAATGTCGCCTCTTCTTCTACGACCAGGCTGAACTCGCCGAGGAACAAGAGCCATGCCCGCCATTCAGCACCGTCTGTTCTCAACTCTGCACACGACACTTCGGGCGTCAAACCCAATTATAAATTGCTCTACCAGACACATATCAAGCTCCGGAACAGGATCCTCTCTTCCTCCTACCGCCTCTCTGCCTTGCAAACACGTGGTGCACCCACGAACGCGCATACAAACACTATTTATTGCCTTCAGCTCTACACGTATCCAGAAACGGGGAAGCAAGTCTTGTTCACTGGTTCGCGTGACAAGACGGTTCGGGAGTGGAATCTCACCACCGGGATGGTCGAACGGGTCATCTCAAATGTGCACACAAGCTCAGTGTTAAGTATATGCGTGCGAGATGGCTATCTTGCTAGTGCTGGCGGTGACCGACAAGTCGTGTTGTGGCATTTGGACAGCAACAAGATGGTGAACGTCCTCTGTGATCATGAAGACAGTGTGCTCTGTGTTCGGTTTGATGATAGGAGACTAGTGTCTTGCTCAAAAGGTTTGTCAGTCCGCTATATTCTGTATGGTACGGAAACTGATCTTCCTTCATGCAGATCGAACTGTCAGGGTTTATTCGTTCCCTGATCTCGAGTTCAAGTTCATGCTGGATGCTCATAGGGCAGCCGTCAACGCTGTATCTATCTCGGAATCGTTCATCGTTTCCGCTTCTGGAGATCGCTCAGTCAGACTTTGGGATGCAGAATCTGGCAAATTATTGCGAACATTTGAGAAGCATCATACTAGGGGGTAAGTCTTCCACGTTCGTCAAAGAATGGCATACCCATATACTCATCGTTGTCTTTTTCCTTCAGCATTGCTTCCATTGACTTCTGCCCGCCTGTCATTCTTTCTGGCTCTTCAGACAAACACATCCGATTCTTCGACATGACCACCCTCCAAAGCTGGTCAACTTCTCCAGAATATGACGGCGTCGCACCATCCAGTAACGTTTTGCCATTCCCACTTCCTTCCAGCAACAACGACAGTAGCACCTCGGGCTTAGTATGTCAGGCTTGCGGAAGTTCGAACATCGAACCATCGTCCTCCCTTCCTCCGCCTGCAGCGAACCGGTTCGGGGCACGACACATGCACAGTAACTTGGTGCGAACGGTTGCTCTCGGAGAAGACTTCGTGTTGAGTGGTAGCTACGACTTGAGCATCAAGGTAGGTTTAATGCATTCGACAAAGGAAACCTGCGTTGACGTGTCCCCTGAACCAACCTTTAGGTGTGGGATAGGAAGACAGGCGTGTTGGTAGCTGATCTCACAGGAGGGCACACCGGACGGATATTCTGTATTGGGTTTGATTCGAAGAAGGTACGGATGTTAATCATCTCATTGGAAGCTTCGTCGTACTCATCTCTTCCCTTCAGATCGTGTCCTGTGGCGAAGACCAGGTATGCATTCCCTCCATCATACCTCTACTGCGATTGGTTCTGACATCTCTTTTCTGCAGACAATTTGCATATGGGACTTCTCCCATGGGATTGATACAAGTTTCCTACCGTGAATGTTCTGATATGTCGTCCTTCCCCCTTGTTTCCATAGCGCACGAATATGCACCTTTTCTTGACTTGGACTGCGGTGGATCTCGCCGTGAAGGATACCCCGACGTATCATCCGAACACCATTATTGGCCGACACAACGACGCTCATTGGCTCGGCAGCACTCAGCTGACCACTAGCCTGAGGGGCAACTTCAGAGTTTCGGGCCGAGCTAACCGCTATGAAGATGCAGCACTGCTCTCATGACTTCAGACCCTTGTCTCTCGTTTCCGTAGGTCGAATGTCGTATTTGAGAGTTGCGGGTAATAAGATCGTGAACGGGGATGGTGAAGAGATTGTTCTCCGAGGTGCTGGTCTTGGAGGATGGATGTGGTGCGTCAATACGTTCATTCGATCGCCCAAAGACAGGGTTGACTGGTTGAAACTAGCATGGAGAACTTTATCTCAGGTTTGTTGAGTCCCTGGCGCACTATTAGTATTATCCCTGATTTCGAGTAACTCGAATGCCTCAGGATATCCTGGGTGTGAACACCAAATCCGCGAAGCGTTGGGGGAGGCCATTGGAGAAGACAAAGCCGAATTCTTCTTCGACAAGGCAAGTTGTTTTCAGTTCTTGAAAGCAAGTCTTCGCGTTGACATTGGACTAGTTTCTCGAGTACTTCTTTGCGGAGCCTGATGCGTTATTCTTCAAATCGCTTGGTCTCAATTGCATCCGTATTGCGGTAGGATACCGCCATTTTGAAGGTGAGAAAATGTTCTCCTGAGCAACCAACTCCTACCTCATTTTTATCACCCTCTAGATGACATGAATCCTCGTGTTCTCAAGCCAAATGCTTTCAAACATCTCGACCGAGCCATTGAGGCTTGTGCAAAACATTCGATCTACACCGTTATCGACATGCATACCGCACCTGGAGGGCAAAGTGGAGGATGGCATGCCGATGGCGGATCCCACATCGGTTATTTCTGGAAGCATAAAGACTTTCAAGACAGGCTCCTATGGATCTGGGAGCGGATTGCTGAACACTACAAAGAAAATCCATGGGTTACTGGATACAACGTCCTCAATGAACCAGCTGATCCTCATCCCCAACATGCGACCCTCATCTCGTTTTACGACAGAGCCTATTCCATTATCCGCGCCATCGATAAGCGGCACATTTTATTCTTGGATGGCAACACCTTTGCCACTGACTTTACGAAGTTTCCGGGCGATGCTGGTACAAGATGGGAGAACACTGCATATGCGATCCACGACTATGCTGTTTACGGCTTTCCTAGCTCCCCGGAACCGTACGAAGGGACGGAAGCTCAGAAGGAGAGGATGAAAGCTACCTACAAGAGAAAGCGGAAGTGGATAGATGACCGGGGTCTTTGTGTCTGGAACGGGGAATGGGGTCCGGTGTATGGACGAGAAGAGTATGATGGTGACGAGACGGAGAGCATTAACAAGAGGAGATATATGGTGCTCAGAGACCAACTCGAAATATACAAAAATGTATGTTCCCTCCTTACCTTCTGTTGACTGACGCTAAATATTGTTCCAGGACTCCTTGAGCTGGTCTATCTGGCTATACAAAGACATAGGCTTTCAGGGGATGGTTCACGTTTCGCGATCAACGCCTTACTTGATACGATTCAAGGATTTCCTCCAGAAGAAGCAACAGTTAGCAGTGGACGCATGGGGCAAGGACGACAAATACGTCCGACACATATATCGGCCCATCGTTGATCACATCAAGAACTCCGTCGCCGAAGAAAGCGATCTCAAGCTTTATCCTCCGCTATGGAGTGTCGAGGAGCGAACGACTCGTCTGTGTAGGACCATCCTTGTCGCCGAATTTCTGGTCAAGGAATGGGCTGACATGTTCCGAGGACTGGACGAAGCTCAGTTGGAGGAATTGGCACGCAGCTTCTCTTATGAGAGTTGCGTCAAACGGGAAGGGTTAAATCACATTCTCCGGGAGCATGCGTCTACTTGACGCATGCGCATGTAGACTCAAGAGAATATGACCTGCACCGTCCAGAATTCAGGGTCTAGTAGAAGGGCACTTCTCACGTACATATCCGGCCCCTGCAAGCCCAGAGGAGTTATACGACCCGTAACGACACGGCTGCCTTTCCAGCATTCCCGTTACCTCCTGCATGCGAGAACCCTAGTCCGCACAACCTCCTATTCCCTTCCCCAGGAGCTCACCGACGATGTTCTCGCGCTTTCATACTTGACTTAAATCACGTTCCATCTTGCGAACCGCCTTTCGAACGGGCAATTTCACGAATAGTTGGTTGACCTTATCGGACCACTCATCGGACCACTCAAAATTTATCTTGCGTTGAAATGATAATCCCAGTTAAATATGCAGTAAACCTTCTCCTACCAGCTGAGATTGTCGGTAGTTTGGCTGCCCGGGTCTATATGTGGTAACTGTGGCACCAGCCCCAAGGTCTACTTGCGACGGCCAATTCTCTTGGCCGCACCCATGAGGGTTTGAAACACGTTTCCTTTATGGTTTCCCTTGTTCGGTTCCGTGAATTACCAAGGGTAGGTAAGCATAGAATATTCAGTAACTCACTTCCTTTAATACGCCATCGACCTTTTTGGCAACATCCTTGGCCTGTGGTAACGTTTCCTGGATGTACTTGTCCCGGTTTGCATCCTTGGTCCTAACAGATTGCCTGTGCCTAAGGGCTTTTTTGAAGACCTGGCCCTTCTGTAAGGTTTTAAGCGACATATGGTCAGTAAAATACGAGCGCAACAGATAAGACTGACATACTGATCGATTGATTCCCTGGGGTACGAATTGAATATTTCCCTCGTCATTCATTATTTTGTTGACTTTTGTTCTAGTATCGGGATCAAGGCTCTGGAATGTCTTGCCTTGGTCTTCAAGAGCCTTCTCGACAACTTGACCTTCGAGGACATGGTCTGAAGAGCGTCCGATTTCAGTAGTCATACTACACATCAACTGGCTCCTGAGCAGGATAAAAAAACATTGACTTACCGGCATCCTTTCCTTTCATCATAGTCTTTTTCTCTGCGTCTGTACCCAGATTGCTAGTTGGTTTAGACTGGATGCCCTTTCCGTCGGCATCCCAGTAGTTAGGGCTACCGAGTCCCGTATCTCGAGTCTTACTACTAGGATTCTTCAGCTTGGTGGGAGCCTTTCCACGCCCGCCACGGGCTACCAAGCCATCCTCTGTCTGTGGGATGACGAGTGCGAGTCCAAATAGGCTCAGCGCGAATTGAAAGATGAGGCAAGTAAACAGGAAGAGCAACCAGCGCATGATGTTGAGAGGCAATGTAAAGTTGGGATATTGAAACGGGACCAGCCGTTGGATTGCCTCTCAGTGAAGAGGCCATTTATACTTCGCTTCAAGCTGTTAAGTCTCAGATATCTGCATCTGTCATGGACGGGATCGCCGCGTGTGTCACGATTCTCATAGCTCTCTGTCACAAGATGCAGTGCCCTTGGCAAATTCATCCTGCGATCCTTGGCTAAGTATCATTATTGTTTACCGTAAATCTATTGGGGGCTGGGTAATGCGTCGCCCCGACCGATTTGGCCACGAAGTCGGCAGTGCATTCAAGTTCTCTACCACCAGGTACTCTACAGAGAGTAATGCGGAGTGATCATGTTGAATGGGTTTTAAGCGCTGGTACGACCCTGCCGGGAAAGCATTGCACTCCACAATCTAAATTTAGAGCATTACATCTAAAGACTCTATTGAACCTCTTTAAGGCCTTGATCCAAACTCCAATGCGATGATTCGACTGCCAGTCACCTTACCTTACCTCTGGTATCCATTTCTTTTGATTAACAACTTTTCTGCGGCTTCGACTCATCGGAATGTTGATCAAACTTATGGTTAGGACAGGATGTGTAACGGGTGTAACCGCCCCCTAGCATATCTAATCGTGATCTATTGTTTGGCAACGCCTTCAGCGCCGCCTTTTCATCTCGTTTCGCATCATTTTCGTACCTTAGTTCTTACTTTTTAGCATCTGCGTAAACTACCAACAGAGTTCGGTCTGGTTTACTTAGGTGCGCCCCGTAAGACTCCCACTTTGGAACGCACTGGCGTTTCAGGATGGCGTAGATTGACAATTCAAGAGGAAACCCCAGACTTTCTCAAGGTAACACCGGCTGACCGGACTCGGAGAAAGTTCATTGAAATCCTTCATAGCACAGAAGGCATTCCAACGGCATCGCTCCCCTTCCCCCCAACAAGGCGCGGCAAGTGCGGTGCTAACGATGTATCTGCGTTTCCAAGTTTCGTATCAACTACCCCGCACCGGGCTTGGAGTGGAAGTCTAGAATCAAGATAGTATTCTTTGATGAATCGTTCACATAATTTACTTGACTTCAATGCCATACAGACATTCTTACACAGGTAAAGCATATACGTCAAGAATACGAAGCCTTCGCTCCATACAGCAACAAGGGTTGAAATCTGGCGCAAACAGGTTGAAAGAAGAGCAACCAACAAATGGCGTCAAGAATCGATTTGAGCTAAAACGTAACCAGTTAAATTTCCCGCTTGGATTATGAGGAGTATCTACTGATTCCCTCTCCGAGCTCTCTACGCGAGTATGTAAGAGCTAAGCGGTAATATTGAAAACCATGGACAGGAAAGCTCCCCACGAAGGCGTCTCGCGATTCCGTGTTGCGATGCCTTGTGTGCTGGACACTTTCACGAACTTTTTGGACATTACCGGACGTGAACCTACTCCGTTATTGGCAACAACCGAGCTGGCTGTGCTTGTTCTAGGACTCTTGCCTTTGCTCCACTTTAATTCGACGATACAGTATAGTTAATTCACCGCAGTACATCTCAAGGTCTCGAAGCCTTGAAGCCGATCCACTTCAGCGACTTAACGCCTTAAATGCTGTGCTTATTCTGTTGCACTGGGTCCTATGGGATTTCCATCTATCTAGACTAGCGCGGTGCCGACTCGGATAAGGATCAGATTGATGGCTAACAACAGTTTTCGGACTGGTGCGTTGACATCAAGACAAGACCAAGACTTTCTCACGGCCACCAGAAGCGGCTCATTGAAACGTTTGGGTATGTAGCTCATGCCACAGCGGGTCATCGCAATCATGTCGAGCACGACACTCCGAGCCTTTCTCATTTTAACAGGCACAGTAATTGCACTGTTGATAGTCTGTCTGCGTTGCCAAGTCGCGTAGCAAGCACCCGGGTTAGAATTCTCGCATCGAGATGATGTTCGAAATTCCTGCATTATTTATGTCTACCTAACAGTAATCCCACACAATAATACTTGCATGGATAGGAGATTGCGACTGTGATCGTTGACGTTTGGTCTCGAAGGTAGTTACGAGGCCGTCAGGGGCGCTGGTCTATATATGGCAATTGTGGCACCTAGGGTCGGCTAGCATTAATTGCTAACCTCATCGAAATCTCGCTTCCTGATGCCTGCTTTCTTCGCTGCACCCATGAGAGTGCTGTGTACATTCGGCTTGTGTCCATCCTAACATTATGGTTTAGAGCATTGTCAGGTATTTGCCAAAGGTTTGAGCTCACAGCCTTCAATGTCTTATCAATAGTTTTGGCGGTACCCTGTGCATGGCTGAAGGTCTTCTTGATGTATTCGTCGCGATGCTTTTTGGCTTGAACCTTGTTTCCCTTGAGTGCAGCCTTGTAAACCGCTGCTTTCTGTTCGAGATTACGCTGGGTCAGCATTCTATCTTATATAGGAGCAAGACGACGAACCGAACGGTTGATGGACTTGTCGACGTATGCAAGATTCTTGTGTGAGTTGAAAGCATCCTTAACCTTTTTTTGTGTGGGCGGTTTGAGGTCGCTGAACTTCTTCCCTTGATCTTTGAGAGCTTTGTTCAGGACCTGATGTTCCAGGATATGATCTATGCGGTCACATGGTGAAGTCAGCGATCGCATTCAGGCACCGTAACAGAATGCTAGTGCTCACCGGCATCCTTCTTCTTCAGTGCCTTCAAAGCGGCAGCGCCACGCGCCTTGGGAACCTTTGAGGCAACAAGTTTGTTATTCTTGACCCCGTATTCGGTCTTCGACTTCAGAGCGTTCTTCCTGTAGGTAGAGCTCGAAGCCTTGGCAGACTTCGACGATCTGACCCTAGCACGGGGAACGAGACCGTCTTCCGAGCTCACTGGAAGAGCAAGGGCGACACCCAAGAATTGCAGAATGAAGCAGGTGAGCAAGACAAGCGACCAGCGCATGTTGTAGGACAGGTAGACGAGGTGGGGTGATAAACGGATCCAGCCGTGGTGGTGAGTTTCTCATCCGATGAGTCCATTTATACTGGTCCACGAAGGTCCTGCAGGGAGGCTCGGGAGATTACCTCAGAGATTTCCTGTGCATAAGCAATGATTAATGACTACTCGTGTACCAGGAGCATCAGCTAAACACGGCAGGCTGGCACCTCTCACCTTTCCTGCTGTGGGGCACAAACGGAACGCAAGGCTGTTATTTTCAGGCCGCTGATGGACTCCCGCTGTCAGATCGGTATCCAGCTGTAGGGATGTCGCAGCTAACAGTGCCTCTTTTACTACCTCCAGATGTACTCGGTCCTACTAGTAGTGCTTGTCTATTACTTGGAATGGGCCCAGAATAATTCTATGAAAACATGAAGTCTTGGAAAATTGAGACGCAGAGGTCCAATACAGCATCCTGCCCAAAGAGCACGAGGCGAATACTGGTCACAACGTCGAATCCAGTAGGTGTAAGTTTACCTCAAACCGCTTTAACCATATCGGAGGCCCGCCAACGGAGAGGTGAAGGGCGAGCAATTGTTCAGGACGTCTTGTGAGGCTGGCCACCAATGATAGTTGATACCTGTCTAAGGAAATGCCCGTAAACTCGGAGCAGTAACGAGTTGATGCTTGCGCTGACGTTGGGCGGCAATTTAATCGGACACAAGCGTTTCCCACGCTTCGTTGTTGACCCATACAGTCAAGTTTGGTCCAAACTTTGTCTCCGTGATCCACCTTATTCGCTCAAATGAGTACATACCCATCTCGCTCGAACCACCTGTATCCGAACCACATCCAAACAACATCTCCATGTCGAGCAAACCCTTCTCCCTGCTATCCCAAGAGGTCATCGACCGGATCGTTGACTGTCTCGCGGAGCTTCCACTATGGTGGGAGAATCTCAGCGCGTTGGCCCTCGTGAATCCCGTGTTTACCCCCAGATGCCAAGTACACCTTTTCAGAGAACTCAAGCTAGAAGATGAATTCGAAACCAGCAAGAAGTTCAAGGCCAAGATCGCGAAGAAGTGGAAGATCCTTGACTCCAACCATTCCCTTGCGGAAAATGTTCGTATTCTCGACATCAGCATTGGAGAAGAACACAACACCAAGATCTTCAGTGACGCGACATTTCTCAAGATTCTGAACCTTCTGAAGGGGTCTCCCTTTCCACCGCACGCCCTTAGACTCGAACAACCGGGGAATTCACTCCAACCTGAAAAGATGCTGCCGGCGTTGGTGAAGGCATCACTCCACCAAACTTTGACGACTATCTTCCTTAAAACGACCATCTACGATGAAGATTGCTCCAACGTACCCCTGTCTATCTTCCCCGTCTGTTCCAAGTTGAAGGACATCACCCTTCAGGACGTCAAAATTCCGAAAGAGTCGGAAGAACTTTCTATCCCAGCTGGCGTCGATTCCAGCCCACCTAAAATCCTGCGTCTCGATTACCGCAACTCTGATCAGCTCGTCAAATATTTCCTGGAGCCACCCCCGTCTCTCGGGCCGCTCGTGGATCTTTCAAACTTGCACATTCTGAAGGCCTGCCCACATGAGAAAGAGGACATGGCTTGTGTCCAACCGATCTTGGACATTGCGTCTGAAACACTCGAAGAGCTTTATCTTACCACTCTTAGTACTTCGGACATCCCAGATGGTGGGTCACGCCCTCATTCTTTTCACTCTTGTTGGTAACCTATCGCGCCAGAACGTCGACAATTCCCACTAGCGAAGCTGGTTAACCTCAAATCTTTGAGCAAGCTGCGCACTTTCGAAATCTACGTCATAATTAATGCGAAGGCGAAGCAGCATGTCGTTCTGCGCGACTTGATCTCTGTGCTGAAGACTTGCCCCGCCTCAAACTCCATCCAACGATTCATGTTGCATGTTTCAATCTATGGATCGAAACCTTTCAAGGGCTGCCTCGACGAAGATTGGGACGGTGTCTGCGAAGAGGTCGTTCGTATTTCAGCGGACAAGCCCATGGAGTTCCACTTGTACTCTGCTGTCGAGACTAATAACCTCTCTACTAAGACAACCGGAGATGCGGCTCTTTATCAGAAGATCGAAGCCCGAGTCGAGGTTGCGCTCGCTGAGCATGAGCACATTAGCTTCCACCCGTTGAACACCATCACGAGATGGGTGGCAGAGTAGGCCTGGTGAGTGTGGTTCGTCTTCTCGAGCACGTATCGGCTCTCTAACTCGTGTCGCCCATGCCCTTAGTCACTGGCTTGCAGGGGTTCTGGCAACCCCTCTTTGGCGACTCCATGGACTCGAATTTGGGTGTACAAGCTCAAGACAATTATTTCCAAAGCTCAGGACGATCTGTAAATACTGTCTCATAATTCAGAGCAGCGTTGATGAAAGTTGTCGAAAGAGTATTCGAAGGCTGCAACGGCCTTTGTGACTTGCATATGACGATGCCGAACACAGCCCCCGGTTTCCTGGAACACCAACCTTTCCAAGGAATAGCTGCAATGGAGATGAATTGATAAAGGATAATAATAGGGACGAGCAAAGCAAGCAATCAAGCAACATTCGCATCTATCGAAGATTTAGAACCAAGTTTAACCATCTAGTGTGACGGACTAGGTATGGGTGATTCCCTCCTTAAAGCCGCTCAGAACGACAGCAACCCCATTATATTGACGGCCGCCGATGCGGCATAGTGCAGCGTTAGCTTACGATGCTGGGCCTCATTTCATCAAGCTGCGGGCACGCGATGTTAGTGCAACCATCTTGTTCCAAGCCACGACCAAACGTCGATTCCGTGCGCATGTTGAAGCTTCTGCCAGTGCGCTCTTATCCCCTTGCTCTTACCCTGGCCCTCGTCGAACCCCATCGTGCATCCGTTTCAAGATGCCAAGTGCGACATTTCAACAGACTTGTGCTATACGACGAGTTCAAGTCCAACGAGAGGTTCAAGAAGATGGTAGCGAGGAAGTGGAAGATGCTCGAGGCTAACCCCTCTCTCGCTCGCAAAGTTCGCGTCGTCGACATTACGATTGGAGAGGAGCACAATACCACGCTATTCGGAGACCCGACTTTCCTCAAGATGCTGGCGCTACTGAGGATGTCTCCGGTCCCACCGCATACATTCCGACTGGAACAGCCGTCTGCCTCGCTGCAGCCAGAGAATCTTTTGAAAGCGTTGGTGCAGTCGTCGCTTCATCAGACACTAAAGGAAATGTCCCTGAAGACACTCGTCTACGACGAGGATTATACGACCATCCCACTCTCTATTTTCCCGCTATGCTCTAACCTCAAAGGCCTATCCTTACGCGACTTCAAAGTGATGAAGACGCTGGAAACTCAATTCGTTCCGGAAGGTGTCGACCTGAAGCCACCTCGAATTGAAAGTTTGGATTATCGCCATTCAGCTCAGATCGTTGAACATCTCCTGAGGCTCCCAGCTGTAATTGAGCCGTTGGTCGATCTTACCAATTTGCGATTTCTCAAAACCTGTGCGCACGAGCGTAGCGACATGCTTTGTGTACAGCCTATCTTAGATGCAACAAGCGAGACGCTCGAAGAGCTCGACCTAACGACTCTCAGCACCTCAGACATTCCCCATGGTGCGTTTCTTCCGGGAAATCTTGATTTAAAGCTCTAACCGAGCCTCGTACGATAGAGCGTCTTCAGCTTGCGCTAGCAACATTGGTGAACCTCAAGCCCATGAGCAAGTTGCGCAGTCTCGCACTGTACGGCATTCTCAACTGGAGAAGAGATCCCCTCGTCCTCCGTGATTTCGCAGCCGTTCTGAGGAGCCTTCCTATCTTAAATTCCATTACGCAGCTCTTGTTGAAAGTCTCAATCTACAGCAAGCACCCTTTCCAAGAATGCCTCATGGAAGACTGGGAAGGCATTTGTGAGGAGGTTGTTCGTGTCGCCGCTGGCAAGCCCCTCAAATTCCATTTGGATTTGACCGTCGAGATCAAGAGGCTCTGTGAGCCAACACCGGGAGATGCTGTTCTTTATGGAATGATTGAGGACCGTGTTCGCGCTGCGCTCTCTGATTACCCACATATCAGGTTCCACCCATTGAATTCCATTTCGCGCTAGCAGGGCCAGTAATTATGCATGCTGGTGTTCAGCTTGCGTCACGCAAAGAATGTCCCAAGAGACTGAAAGTCGAGCAAGTCTCTTGTGTGCTACTCTGGTTGGAGTGACCCGTATACGTTTTTTCTTCGGGGATGGATTCAGCACCCAAAGTCCCTTTATCGGTTCTCGCGTCGCTGCCAAACTCACGTCAAAGGCCTTCGACATGTCTATATATCTGGGGCTTGACAATAGCTTATCTGACTTGCGTGACGCACAGCCAAACGTCGGCTGTGTGAACTGTCGCAAGTATTTGTTGACTTGCACGGCGTCCAATGTGGCGGAAGCACCTCACCCTAATCGCCTTCGTCAATCATTCATCCGCGACCAACCGCCAGTTCCGCCCGTTTATAACCTTCGCCTTGGACGATGAATCTTTATCCAACAAGGAAAAGGAGAACGTCGTAAAGAAGTGGAAGGTGGATAATGCAAACCCCTCACTCGTCCAAGATGTTCGCCCCATCGACATCACGTCTCCATCTCCACTACGCACTTTGCTGCTTGAGCAGCCATCAACGCTGCTGCAACCAGAAAATGTGTTGATGGCGTTGGTGAAATCATCCCTTCACCAATCCTTGACGACAATTTTCCTTACAACCCCGTTTTTGGACAAGGGTTACTCCAACATTCCCCTCTCTATTTTCCCAGTATGCTCCAATCTGAAAGACATCACCTTCAAGACTTTAGGATCCCGAAATTTTGGGTGGCGCCCTTTGTCCCAGAGAACGTCTACCTTCAGCCCCCTGAAATCGAGTGTCTGCATTTTCGCAATTCGCATCGAATTGTCGGGCATTTCCTAAAAGTGCCCGCCCCAACTGGCCCGCTAGTCGACCTTTCAAATCTCCGAATTCTTAAAGCCAGTCCACGCGAACGTCAGTATATACCCTGCATCCAACCGATCTTGGACATCGCATGCGAGACACCGGAAGAGCTTTACCTCACTGTTCTGCCCCCCTTTCACATTCCTCATGGCCCGTAGAGTCTTCTTGTTAATCGTACTGTGGCTTTAATTAATTATCGGTAACAGACCGCCGCCAATTTCGGTTGGCGACACTTGTAAACCTCAAGTCTATGAGTATGCTACACACCCTCGAACCCTATGCCATCATAAACTGCAGAACGAAGGAGCGTTCTGTCCTGCGAGATTTCTCGGCCTTTTGAAGACCCTACCAAGCTTGAATCGCCTCAGGCGCAAATTTCAATCTACGGCAAACATCCTGTTCAAGGCATGCTTCAAAGAAGATTGCGAAGGCTTATCTCAAGAAATCGTTCGTATATCGGCCGACAAACCCATCACATTCCACTTGGACTTCGCCGTCGAGGATAAAGTCATCAAACACCGTGTCCGCGTTGCGCTCCGCATACATATCAGTTTCCACTGTGCGGTGAATGTCAGTACTCGCTGAGGCACTGTGGCTGTACGTTCTCCATTTACTGGCCCGTAAACTACTTATGACCGTACTTATATGACTGGGTGACAATTATTATTGAAATCTGTGTCTGCTGCGACTATGAAAAGGGGTGTCCAAGGTCCGTGAATGATTGGAAGTATCTATTGTCCAAAGAAGGTCGAAAATTATGCCTCAACGATCGTGAAGACCGGGCTGTGGTTTCCAGAGTCACCAAACACTAGGAGGAGATGTTAGAGAACTGTAGAGACGGCCGGACATTCACTAATAGCGCATAGGTGATGAAATAATTCCCTTGGGGCACCTGAGGGACAAGGACGTCGACACTCCCTGCCCGCAAGTCAAACCCTTCAGCAACAGTTCCATCTAACGAATAACTCAGGATCAGCCCCGAAAGCCTATGCCCATATCCTGTCTCGATTCTTACAGCCATTCAAAACAACAGCAGCACCGTTGGAGATGGAGGCTGGGGCATTGGAGATGTCCCTGGGGACAAATTAAGTGTGGACCTCAGGATAACGAGAGCGTCAACATACCACACAATCGTAGCATTTTCTCCAATGGTCCAGACGGTCGTTGAATTGGGGCTGACTATTGTCGGGACAAAAACATCGAGTTTGGCCCTCGAAAGCAAGGTAACAGGAAAGGCATGGGCGACGAACAAGAGAGAAAAAAGAGAGGCAAGGAAAGGAACACTGAGGAGGGAGACCATTGTTAAGGACTTGGGGAGGTTTGGAATTAAGGAGTTGAGAGAGGGTTGTGCTGGGGCTGTAAGTGCTCCTAGTTTAAATACCTGCCTCGCAGAAATGATTTGTCGTTCAGAGCTACTTCAACTCAAGCTCCGTCACCCGCGAAATTAGAGCAGCCTTCATATCGACGGACTGCGCTAGAAGCCGGTTTTGCCCAGGCCGGGGAAGCCCATGTCTGCCTCACAACTGCCGCAGAGATCAACAGAGAAAATACGAGGAATGGTGTTAAACTGTTTTGTTTGCTCCACTCGCTTAATCGTGACGGACAGTGATGAAACATGGAAGCTGACGTGCATCCAACGCGGCCACCGAATAAGCAGGTGTGAGGGGCGAGCAGAGCAGTCTTGTTCACAAGGTGGCGTACGTAGGCGAACGAAATCGGCTATTTCATCATTCGAATATGGATACAACAGGCGGACGGATAATCTGCGAGAAAGAGTCAATAATATCTATAAATAAGTTTCCGCGATAGCACGATTCCAAAGAAAACAACGAGCATGCGAAACCGTAACAGCCAAACAAGTAAGGCAGGCATCAAGGGGACTTGAAGCGGATGGTCCTCTTTTTCTTAAGCGGAGAGCCTTCCTGCGTATCGACCTGGTGTACTGCGTCGCTGGAACCAGCTGAGACTGGGTCCTCAACTCGTACACGTTTGCTTGAAGGTGATGGCGAAGCTTTTGGTAAAGCGGGTATTCTCAGCATGATCGCTCCAGGCTGCGGCAGAGAAACCTCCGGAGGAAGTTGGATTAATGGGAAGTCGATATTTGACGCCACCGTAGGCGGATGTGTGATGAACTTCGGGTTCTGGAGAAGGAACGCCATCCCATCAGCCCGGGTACAAGAAACAAGGGCGGAGCATACGGAGCCGAGACGTAGAACATGAATCGAGAAATGGGCAATATATAATAAAGACGTACAGCGATGTAATGCCTCATGCCAGCCTCTTCGAGCAGTTTCGGCATTTTTTCTTGACTGTTCCTCAGAATGGCTCGCCTTTGTACCATATTTTCCTCGGCCGTTTCTCGAATCGCGAGGGTTTTGACTACAGAATATCAACAGTCAAGCGAATCCAGGACGTCGAATGAAACTGAAGAATACCTGTTATGGGTTTAGTTTGACCAATACGGTGTGCCCGCTGAATAAAAGAACGTATATTGTAAATATTAGGATGTATAGGACGTCATGAACATTACCTTGATCGCCTGGCTCTCAACGTCAGCTTGCCACACGGGCTCACAGAAAATTACTCTTGAAGCGGATATTAAATTTCTACGATATAAGCGTTCAGCATGGTTCAAAGAACAGAGAAAGGCAAGGAACGTCGACATACAAACCACGAGCACCATGCTTCAGCTCCATCAAGAACACGCGATACGTTTCCGAGGTCTCGAAAGTCAACACAAGCTGCTCGCGGAACTGGGGCGTAACCTGCGTCGTAAACCGGAGAAACTTAACCTGAATGAGCTCCAGAGCTTCGGCGACGTGGGCTAGCGAGAGTGGTGACTCAGAAAAGATAAGAAATTTCTCAGTCGAGGAGTATTTCTGGACCTAGAAAGGAGAGAACCCGTCAGCTGGGAGTTATGGGTCATCAGTAGCGGGATCTTTACCTCGCTGATAATGTAGTTCAGTTTACTTGACGCCGATGACCCGATCCGCACCTTCGCAAGTGGAGAAGAGGCCGCCAGGCGCGATGGACCTCTGATTTGCGCTTGCGCATGTACACCAACCTGACTTGAAGAGGCCTCAAGCTCTTGCCCTGGAGTCAGGCTTTCGTCTCCGTCCATACCTTCCTCGTCCTCCTTCGCGAGTCTAGCCATCGTCGCCTCCAGCTCTTTTTGCATCTCTCGCAATGTCTCTGCAGCGGATGCCTTCTTGGCGAACGTGTCGACCATCAAGCTTTCTGTTGTGGTAGACGAAGCCTGTTCGCCAGTATCTTTGTTCCCACTCTTCTTCCTCGGACTTCCACTCCGCCCTTCCTTCCTCCTCTGGGCCTCTTCAAATGCCCTGCGAAATGCCAGATCGCGTGCTACGACGGCTTTGCCCCACTCGACCATGCCTTCGGGCCCTATCAAAGGTTTCTGCAAGATCATGTCATATAACTTTAAGAGTCTGTCGGCGTGCAGGAATCCCGTCAGTTCAGGTGGCCAATAAGGTTCGCGGCCGCCAGTCCGTGTCCATATATCGAATACTCTATCCTGGAAGTTGTACACGCGGTATGGCACGTCTTCGTGATTTTGTATTGCTCGCCAGAGAGGGTCATCCAGAGCAGTTTTGCTGGGGCAAGGGTATTGAGACATGAAACAACTCGTTGAAAAAGATATGGACATACAGGTGCCGCAAGGCTTCCCTCAAAAGTTCGATGTCCTCCTGAGGCATGTTCCGTTCAATAGCTCTCTTGATGTTGGCATCGGCATGAGATACGAGGTACCGTGCGTTGTACAAGTCGGAGTCGACATGCCAGAATAAGATCCTACCAAGCAATCACAGTTAAGTGGCCCGCATTGACACGCATCTCAATAACCCACTGTGACAAGTTCTTGACGGTCTCTTGCAGGGCATCTGCGTTCTGCACGTTGTCACAATCAGAAAGTACTAAAGTGATAAATAGTCGAGGGGCATACTCGAGGGTGAAACATATAATCCTATTATCATTAAAGAAGTCATCAGTATCAACGCAGACACTTATGCAAAGAGAACCCACCTGGTCAGTCCTCTCTGAATCGATGGCGTTAATGGCAATAACTGCCTGAAGAGCATTGAAACTTTTGATGGAAAGACTGTCCAAATCTAAAAGAACTGATTCCGTGCTCACAGGCGGCAGTACTACGTCCCTTTCAACATCTTCCACCCGGTGTCTTATCATCACGCTCTCCATAACCTGATTCAGCACCTGTATGGAGCCGCGACGGGGTCCGGAATGATCGAGGAGTGGTTCAATAACGTGTGAGGCGATAAGTTTGGGGTCGGAGGTGAATTGGGGAACGGCGATGAAGTGGCTTATCATGTTACCGAGTTTGTTAAGGTCTTCGCGATCATACTTCGTCCAGATGCGTTTTGCACATGGTGGAGGTGAAGAGGAAGCGGAAATAGTAACGTCGTGGGCCGAGGTGGGTGCTGGTGTTGCTGATGGTGATCGAGATGGAGGGCATGACGGAGAGGCTCGCTGTGAGCTCGACACTGCATCTGCCTCGTCATTGCCTTCATCAACTAGCACAGTGCAAACATTCTCAACCGCTTTGCTTCCGAGGCTCAAGCCCAATAGATTGGTGGTGGGCGTCCCAGTGACGATCCATCGTCTCTCGACGCTCAACAGCTTAGCGAATGGCACCAGGATCGTCGACAATGATGCCGAAACGTGGCCTTCGTCGATCACTAGTCGCTTCCACCTAATCTGAAGGAAAGGAGACACAGAGTGGTGCTGGCATTCACATTTCGGTACCCGATAGCCAGGGTACTCTGGACAGGTGCATGCAGTGGCGGTATGTAGCTTGGATACATCGTTGGCATTTGACTCTCTGGAGAAACCTGTAGATCGGTTAGAAGCAGAAAAGAAGGCCTCTGCGAGAACTGACGATTATAGGTCATCAATATAATCTAAAGTGGATTTAGTATCAATACACACTCAGGTGAAGTGGGACGTACATCATAATCGGTGGCAAGGCTTCTAACAGATGGCATGGGCGTATTGGCCCTCAGAATCAGGACATGGAGAGGAACAGCACAGTGCTTCGTAATTTCTCGATCCCATTGGCTCAACAAATTGGCCGGCACAACGACGAGGGTAGCGGAGGTAAGATACATAACCTTAGGGCCTCGTTGACGACTTTTTCTTTGCGCTCGTTCACGATTACTGGGCTCTCCAAGGTAATGGTGATAAAAAGGGGTATTGGCTCGCAGGACTTCGCCGACGGGGAGGGCACTAACTTCGTCCTCTTTTTGTAATTCGTGTGCATATCGTTTCGTGAGCACACTCCGTGGGATGTTACAATTCGGCGTTACTCGAGCTTTGTGCAAAACGAGTTCGACGAGAGACGGTACCCTGGCGCCGGATCTGGGGTCCCTGTCACAGTAGAAGCGTTTTCTAGCCGTAGAGAAGTCGGAGGATGGAAAGTGTCGAAAGGCTAGACGTGTCAAGACGGGCCGGTCGTCGACGATAGAGGGTTCAGGTAAAGATATTTGATTTCGAGTGGCCACGATGAGGCTGAGCATCATGACCGTCTTGCCCGTGCCTGTACGAAATATGAGTGCAAGCACCGAGGACCCATCGGAGACTTTACCTAGCTCCTCGCACAGTATCCCACCTCTACAAGGTACAGTTGCAGGGCACTCCTGAAGGACCTCCATCGTCCCAGGCTGCAGGTAGAATTGTTTGCCTTCTATAGTCTTCACGGGGGTGTATAACGGGTCTGGAACATCTTGCAAGTCCAGCTCTTTCTGCAGCATTGCTGCTACAGAGCGTCGCTGATACTTGTAAAGAGTGCTGCGCATTCCAAGGCCGTCGAGGTCGTCTTCAAAATCAAGAAGTCGATACGAGATTCCACCGCAATCGGGCGCGGGAGTGACCTTCGGTGATGCAAGTTCACTGTAAATTTCAGCTAAAGTGCGACGGTCCTGTTTCAATTGAGCGATCCACCTTCATAAGAACCAAACGAGCGATACGCACCTGTACTTGAGGTATGAAATCCCTATCCTCACCCTCCGGCTTCAGTCCATTCCATCTACCGATATCTTGAGATATTTTTGGAACAAGTGCGCGCAAATATCGTTTCGCTGGGCTCAGGATATTGTCCTTGCGTATTCGAAGCTTTCCTTGAACGTTCGCAAGATCGTATGGAATAAGATACACCCTCAGCGCCATCCGATTGTCGGGTGTACATCGACATGTACACGAGATGAATCGCTGCTTGATGAGGAACTCCAGACCGCGACAAAACGCGACGTCCTCCGCGTTCGAGAGTTGCGGCACTACCTGCTGCGCTTGGAATTCGTGCCATCCATCTTCCACATGAGCATGCTCGCAAATGTCGTGCTGAGAAGCAACTGGAATGTCTATGATGACTGTGCCGACGGGGAGGAGGTTGTGGAGGGCGTATGGCGAGCTCGATCGATGTGACGAGAGCGTCGAAATGAAGCAGTTGGGGCAACAAGAGGGGCAGGGAACCCAGGCTGCCATGGCGGTAGATGGCAAGGTTCAGATGGCATTGTCGACGGCCTTCATACTGGGGCCGAATGAGATGCTACACAGCAACACGTACTTGTCCAAAACCCGAGTCAGCTCGGAAACCGGAATTGACACCGGAACGGGTGTACGGGCCGTCCAAAGTCCTGGGAGTCACTTCATGTAAATTTGCAAAGCTTATTTATTTCAAGCCGCCGACGAACCATCCAGTTCCACTCACGCGAATGGATGAATGAACGTATAATGCATTGGTATAAAAGGTATAACTTTCCACAAAAAGTGTGCCCATCGAGTCGAAAGCAGGTTGCTGTTAGTACAGGAATTTGTCTTGTATGCACTCCTCTAATCGATTTACGCAACAGCCTGGGAAGTCTCCCCAGCATTGGCCTGGTCGAGACGGGTGTTCGTGGCAAGCTTGTTCTGCCTGTCGACGATCCTGGCATCGATGTCAGCGGTGTCCTCATCAGCAGCCTGGGCCTTGGCGAGGCGGATGTTGAAGATCTGCAGGAAGATGGTGTGCTTGAGGACTTTGTTCTTAGTCTTGCCGACTTCAAGCGCATCCTCTACGATGTCGTAGAGGCCAACCGTTAGCATCTGGAATAGAGATTGGAGAGAAGAAACGCACTCTCGGCACCAGAAGCCGCGTCGATGGCAGGGTTGAAGAGGTCGAGCTCGGCGGCTTCGGCGGCCTCACGCATGGCAGCGAGGTTGGCCTCAACGGAGTCATCGAGGGTAGCGAGATCGAGGCCCTGGAAAGGGGTCAGGAAGATACGAGCAGCCTCCTCAGCGGCGGTGCCTCCAGGGGTCGACGAAATCTGGAACTGAGCGTAGCTGGAATTGCAAATGAGATTGAGGCCACGTAATAAGAGGATCAGTAGTACATACGGGAGCTCAGGGAACTGGAAGTTGGCGCTGCTCGCACCACCGGTGTTGCCAGTGTTTTGAGAGCCGGTGTTGCCAGTGTTGCCGGTGGTAGAAGTGCCAGTGTTGCCGGCGTCAGTGTCGTCAGTGTCGTTTGTCTGGTTGGTGTTTCCCGTGTTGCCAGGTTGAGCAGCGCCGCCAACAACATCCAGGGAGGCCTTGCCAGCGTTCGCGACATCCGCATCGCTATTCTTCTTGAGCTTCGCCCTACGGAAGGTCAGGTGGAAGGAGAACGAGGAGGGGAAAAGACGCACTCTCGGTCAGTAATGTCAGCTTCGATCTCGGCAGTGCTTTCGCCTGCCGCCTGAGCCTTCGCTAACTAAAAATCACCATAGCACGAGGTTATAAAAATAACCGACGGCCCATAGGAGAAACACGCACCCGAATCCTGAACAACTGCAAGAATGCAGTGTGCTTCAGTACTTTGTTCTTCGTCTTTCCAACATCCAGAGCATCGGCCTCAGCTTCCGACGCAGCGTTGTCGATCGCAGGGTTGAAGAGATCTGTCTCCGCGGCCTCAGCGGCGGAGCGCATCGCTGCGATGTTCTTCTCCACCGAGTCGTCCAGGGTAGCGAGGTTAACTCCATTGAAGGGGGTGAAGAAGATGGCTGCAGCCTCGGCAGCTGCAGTACCGCCGGGTGTCGTCGAGATCTGGAACTGGGCGTAACTGCAATCCCTCGAAGGTGAGCGTTATACAGGGGAGAGGGAAGAAGGAACACGCACGGAAGTTCAGGGAAGTTGACCTGTCGTCGCACAATAGCCACCGGGGCAGCCGAGATCATGCTCGAGAGGAGCGCGACCGAGGCGACCAAGAAAGAGAAACGGGCCATTTTTCTTCAAATACTGGACAACGGAGTGGCAGTCGAAATGCGATTGAACAAAGCTAACCGACTTCCTCCGGTCGACGGTGGAAAGTTACGAAGGAAAGGAAAGGTGAAAAAGAAAGGGAAGGACACGCCGTCAAGACGGTTGAAAGGAAGGTGAAGGGATAACAGGAGCTCGCGGAAGAAGGTCTCTTATATATGGCAATCGAACCCGGTTGCGCCACACCTCTAGCCGCGGGATCAAGGGCCCTGGAGATGCACGCGTGCCAGCTCGACAACCAACAGAAATAAATCAAGGAAGGAGACTGTGCCGATCTCGTTGCGCCATTCAGCGAGTTCGGGGCCCCTAGTCGGCCAAGGTGACTGAGGAGACGCTACGACTATCCTTCGCTAGGCGGTAGGACCGATACGACTGCGTGTAGGAAAGATATTGAACATAGCGTAGCTACTTACTTGCAGGGTCCGTGGCCTCAAATCTAGATAGGCGCGCGTGGGCGCTTAAGCGGTTCGAGAACATCAAACCACGTTTCTTCAAAGCCCTCTTCCTTGGAATGGAGTACATCGTTGAAAACCCCTCCTCACTCTTCGATCTCGACCAACATACATGACCCAAAACTGTTCTTTGCCGAAAAGTGTGCCCATTAGTCTCTATGAATGGAAGGATATTATGCAAATATAGAAAATTTTGGCGATCTTGGAGCTTTCGGCAGTAATTTTGACAGTCTCGCCGACCGGGATAGTGCATAATCTAACGGCAAGAGTACTCAAGTTGGCCAAATACGGGAGAATTGTGGGAGAAAAGTATGATGGAACCGGTCCTCGAAAATCAAGCGACGGATCAACTCTCAGTACATAAAAGCCATCGGTGGCCTGAACAACCGGTGATCCACCCACGCGGAACTGTGGCGGAGATCGCTCAAGAGTGCACCCGAAGTCTTGTCTGACAACGTGGCGTAGGCCCATCGAGTTCCCTCTCGTACCTCCTGGATAAAACTATTGAGAAACCCCATTTTCGGGTCAAACCCCGGGTTTCCGCAGAAACCCATGTGAAAGCGATGAATGTGCTTCTAACCGGCCGAATCATGCCGACGTGCGGAGTTGAATATTCTGAGTAGAGGCTCGCAGAAGTTGACCTTTGCTGCCGTCTCGCACAAGTCTCGCAGCTCTCGGGCATGGATTGGAGATCCTTGAGCTTGTAGCATCTTGGTAATTCGACTTTCTTTCTGAATCTAGCCCTTCTCATCCTTATTTCACGGTTATAAATTGTAAATTCCAGTAGACGATGCCCTCTGAATCCTGATCACTGAGAGTATGACAATTTGGTTAAAATGGCCGCACTCGCCAGCCTTCGTTTCACATTTTGGCCAAGGGCCTAGGTGAGAGCTGCGCCCCTTCAGTTTTTCATTGTTTCCTCACCACGACAATGAGCCACTGGCCCACTGGCTGAGTTTTCGAGAGTATGCATCGCCACTGCCAGCGTCTTGCCTTTTTAGCTGTTTTTTTTCTCCAAAACTCACCATTTATCAAGTACCAGAGATGGGCTTAACTATCCAACCATTTCAGACCATTGCACCCCTGCATGCCGGCCTATTTCTTTGACATGGCCTAACTCTTCCGAGAGCACAATTACAGCGGAGATTGAAACCTTATCAGCGCGAGTTGGGTTTCCAAATAAGCGATGGGGTTTCTCACAAAAATGGGGTTTCTCAATAGTTTTATCCGTACCTCCTCCACTAAGGGAGAAGATCACAAGGGGAGACAGACAGAACGATCGAATCCTATGATGAGGGGACCTGAAGCTGAAGGGTCAGTGAGATCATTACCTTTCCAACAAGGAGAGAACCAGCTTTATTTCCCGCTGAGGTCGGCTGAGATCAACATAACTGTGCCAAGGTTGCGACTGTTGTCGATCATGAATAGCACACATGGGTAGGCATGGGGTGTGTTAAGGGTGCGTTCTGGTCACCGTCTATTGCCATTATTACACGGTATCAATAATGGCGAAGCGCTCACTTCAACAAAACAGGTCCCACCAGGGACCGAGAATTAAAGACCCACTGTCTCGGGCAGGAGTGCGTCGACGTCGTCTGCGGGGTTTCCCATTCAATAAGAAACGCAATTGGACCGATAGAGATGGGTCAGGGGACAAACCCAAGAGGATAGCTAAGCCCCTATCCCGGTTGGACCTCGCACCACTCCCAGTCATCGACGGCCACCGAAAAGAATTCGGTTTGAAATATTGCTGAGAAATCCACAAGCTTGATCATGACCGGCTTCGCCCACGACTCCTTGATGACATTCCCGGCCGAAGGATACTTTTGAGGGAGGTCCCCATAGTTGCCTCGGTGCATCCCATTCCGAACTTTTCGCGCCATTTCTTTTAGCCATTTCCAAGTTACGTAGCTGAGCGGTGGTCATTTTGCTGTCCACCAGCATCAGTACCATGCAGGGAAACGAGCGCTTGAGGCTGCTTGAGGTGTGTCCAGAGACTTAGCATCCTAAGAACCAAAATATGGTCTATATAGCACAGTCAACAGAAGCGTCGATGTTTCTGAAGTCAACAAACAGTACCCGTACTGGTCTGTTGCATCCTTGGAAGTTCGGGTCGTCTGGTAATGGATCTATAGATAAACACTTCGGGAATGGGGCTCAATGGAGGTTTGAGTCGATAGTGAGGCAATACTCACGACTTTTTTCACGACTTCCCAGCTTGAGCCCATTAAATCGAACTGCCATCGTTCCTGTGGTCATGGAATAAGCTGTATCGTTCAATTTGGCTGCGCAAAACGGCATTCAAGCCATCGCTAGCCCTCGGGAGGGTTTCACCCGACTTGTGTATACACGCCCTGGGAAGCGTGAAAGTGACATCAAAGGAGCAATGCATAAATATACAGAGCAGTGTGGGCTGCCCGAGAGCAACCATCAGGAAACGATGCTGTTCATGAACAGTGTGGGGAGCTATTCCTCAGTCTCTTGAGTCCGGACAAATATAAGTTGATATGAAACCAGGTTGAAGAGTAAAGCAGGTTAGAGGTGACAGTAAATACTCGGAGTATGCTACCAGCAGTAAGCCCAAGGACTGTAGTAGGACAAAAGAAAGTTGTGCAGGCGTCAGTAGCCAATCAGCATCGCAGCTTTGTATCACGTGATTCTCGACCACACCTCGTTCCGAATTTGTACTGTCATACAACTCTGCCAGAACTCTACTCTCATGGAAGCCTGTCTCCTTCGTGGCTTTGGCCTCTCCGCGCGCTCGCGCGTATTTACCGCTAGGAAAGTCTCTTTAGCCTTCTCAAGAGCAAAATCTACCGCACCGAAAGCGAAATCCGCGACCGAAGGTCTTGCCAAATCCCTGACATGGCCAGAATACCTGGCAATTCGGCGGAGTAAACGAAAGTGGCAGACGGTATGCAGATAAATCTGTTCTCTGTTAACAAACGACTGAGAGAGGAGGCCAGGCTGCTACTGTTCCTTGTGCAATTCTTGGATTTGCGGGAGGAGTGCTTTATTTTGGGACACGAGAGACAGATCCTCTAAAACCCATCTTCGTACGTTTTTGGATGTGTCCGACCTTTGAATTCCTTGCCTGATTCATGAGTCAGGGAATCGACCCATTCTTCTTCTACGGCTTCTGCACATTGGGATGCGTCCGTACGTCACGTGCACCGCTTTCCTTCACTTTAGCTCTCTGAACACACCACTCGCAGTTGCTGGAGCCGTGGTTGGCCCGTCATTCGGGACGGCGATCTGGCGGTATACTCATCGTCAGGTAGCGCCTCTCATCGACGCTAAGGACCATGAGTTCTTTCAACGTATAGCAAAGAACCGCGTGGATGCCTCTCTGCAAAGCCCCACCAACCCAGTGCCAGATTATTACGGTACGACTTCGAGCTTCACTTTGGGGATGTCGTTCTGACATATGTTTTAGGAGAGAGAATTGGGTCGCTGCATGAGTATAGAAATGTAAGCTCGTAAGGCTTAGGCTGCCGGTCTTCTGACTTTCTTGTGCTCTAGTGGTTGAGGGATCAGGCCAGGTACAAACGCAAAGCATTACTTCCCGAAGAACTTTAGACGCACAAACTATACTGTTGTTTGCCATTCCAAAATCTCATATCTTCTTGCTTTATTTCTGAATGCCACGTGGACCAATATCAAACTTCAGTGGAATATAGGCAGGACTGTACAAAGAGTCAACGAACATGCGATCGTCTCCTGCCCCAAAGAAGCATGCAAGCGGTGGTCTCATGCTCAACTCCGGTGCGACCATTTCCAATCTCAACATTGGTCTCTCTTTCTCAATCAATGTTCTAGTGCTCCGGAGATCCATTGGAACACTCAATGGCTATACAAGACCTCGAATATTGGATTTCTGAATGTGTGAAGTGTTGATAATTTCTCATTCTACGAGACGGTATTCCATATAAACGCAGGTAATTGACGACAAAATGCCGGGAGTGCGATAACGAACAAAAACGCACCTGCGTCCAAAGCTTCGGCCACTAGGGCTCGATTTATGTAATGCGGAGCCCTGTCAGCACAGGCATGCGGTGCGGAAGGGCGTATAATGATAAGGAGAAAGTCGAAGGCCAGTCTCGGCGACTTTATAGTGGAACTATGCGAAGGAATGAGGTTGAGCATCGGTTGCCTGTGATCAAAAAAGGTGGGCACAGAAATAAGGTGTCGTCAAAACATTAACTGTCCAAGACCGTTTGCTAATCATCTCAAAAGCATTTGCTTCTTGCATTGCCGAAGGTCCGTCGCCACTGTCAACGCCTTCTCTTTCGCTTGAATTATTCCTTAACCTCAAGTTCCACCTTCACCGCCAGCCCATATTCAAGCTCGATATCGAGCCTTTACTCCCGCCTAACGAACCCATTCCACCAACACCCCCTTTGCCCTTGTGCACTACGAACCTCTGGCGGTCTCGCAAGCACACGATGGGCACGACACCCTTTGGCGCGTCCGCCTTGCCAACAAACTGCACGAAGCACCACCCGTCGCGATACGTCTGCAACACGCGCACGGTGTCGCCGACCTTGACACGCAGCTCGTCTGGCAGTGTGGGTACGAACGGTGCGACGACGTTCATCAGGCGTGGGGCCCTTGTCCCATTCGGCGTCGTAGGCGTACCGAGAGAGGAATCAGACAGGGCGGAGTTGGGCGGCGAGAGCTTGGCCGACCACGGAGGCGAGTGCACTGGTGCTGGAGGCGCGACCAGGTCTTTTGGCGCGAATGACTCGGAGCGTGCGGGGCTCAGAACCGGCGCAGGCTCATCGTTCTTGACCGTAAGAAATTGACCCGATTCTGGAGCTTGCTCTGAGGTGACGGCAGTCCCAGACGAAGCATGCGATTTGCGACTTGCTGGCGGGGTAGGCGGCGGCACCTCCATGTTGTACCTGGACTTCTGCGGCGGGAGAAGAGGTGGGATCGGCACGAGGTGCGGAGACTGATACCCCTGGCTAGTGGCTGCTGCCACTGCATACGCAGGTGGAGGCGACCGGCCTGTGTCCTCTGTGCGTTGGGTCTGGTTCTGGCCCGTCGTCGTGACTGGTTTGAGCCATGACGGGCGTGACTTGGATTTGAATTTGGTCTTCAACTTGAGCCCTGCAACGGAAGGCTGAGGCGCTGAGCTGAAATCACTGGCCTTCTTGTCGGCCTTTCTCTTTGCCTTCTCTTTCGCGGCAAATTCGGTCAGCCTGATAGGTTGGCTCGAATAGGCGCCTTCAATGGTGTCCGCCGTATATCGTCGCGAAGGATCTTTGTCTTCTTCGTATTCGCTTTCGGATCCTTCGTCGTTCGTCACTCGAAGAGGTGTTGCGCTATTTGGGGTACGCCATCCAACGATAGGAGTCCGTGAAGATGCCGTCGAAGGCGTATTCGGAGATTGCAGGCTGCGCTTCTCGTCGCTTCCAAACCGCTCCTTGTCCAACGATCTCCTCTTCTCAACGAATGAATCAGAATCGAATGCGTTAGACCGAGATTCAGTCGTCTGTTTGTTCTTCCGCTGGTGATGTCGGCGATACAGGACGATGACGATCACTACACCGCCAACAGAAGCTTTGGTCAGTCGATTTTTAGGTTAAGTGGAACAGCGATGAGAACTCACGTAGAATCAGTGCAAGGGACAGGCAGGCGATAATGATTGCCAGAACCAGTGTGGTCTTAGGTATCATGAAGGATGCGTCTGCTTTTGCGCTTGCACTCGAAGGCTGCAGTACAATAGTTTCCGTCTGGATCTGCATTGCAGTGACCGTTCGGAAATCCAGGGTCAAAGGCGCAGGCCCAGGTGCACGGGCTTGTTTGACTCGAACCATGCGGTGCAACGTCGTCCTCTGGTCGATCATACGATTGATGAAAGGCCTCGATCCTAAGATCACGAAAACGTGCTTGAAAGGCGTCGACAAAGACGAGAGGAAGGGAGACGGTCAAGGAAGAGGCCAACGAAGAGACAGAAACGACAGGAAGGGGTAGTCGAATGACCTCGCGAGATAGGCCTTTGAATCCCTGCGTTATAAAGACTACCTCACTCCCCTTAATTCGGTGGAGCTACGAGTGGGAAAGAATGTGGACGGACAAGGGCTCGATGTCGCAAACCCGAGATTATACATACCAACGGAGAGATGGAATCAGATTGGCTGTACAAACAGGTCCTTCATTTTTACTCAGGGTGTAGTCCAGAAAATGATACGTCCGACTCTTCGAACGTCTGCCCCTTCTGCTGACCAAAAATATGTCAAGGTTTGCTCTTCGGACGATATAGATAAACGTCGATGGCAGTTCGTCGCGACGGGATATCTCATTTCGGGAGACTGTATTAGGTCGTTACACGCATCTTAAGCAACTCAAGCAATTGAATCAGCGCTGCGTACCATTGTGTACGATAGCAAAGATTGGTCAAACGCTGAAACGCCTGTCGAGGTGTACTTCCTAGACGATGTGTAGTTTCCTCATAATAAACTATAGAATATATACTCTACGACAAGCTCAGATGAATAATGATGCATCAAATGATATCGATCAACTGATTTGATATCGCCCTATGCAGTGACCTAGCACCTTCAACAGCACAGTAGTCAGTCAAAGCAGTGTTGATCACCGTCTCAACAGTCGACGAGGATAATGTCCGTGCGGCTTCTCCGCCGAGGGTACACAGAGCCTCAGAGCAGATGGCCCTCTTTTCCTCCAAAGTAAAAGGAACGAATGGCAGGACCGTGGTAATCCGTGACATGACCGAAGCCTGTGAAAGGATTAACGAAGTGTCAGCATGAGTAGCTGTTAGCATGCGAAAGTGCGACAGGATTCTTACACCAAGCTTTTCCGAAACTCTGGGACGAAGAAGAGCCATGAGTTCCACATATTCTTCCCTTGACATGATGTCTTCGGGATTCTTCCGGGATTCCCGATGCTCAAACACAAGGTCGTGGCCAATGTTCGACGTTCCCAACCAGATGACGTTTCTAACATCGATATGACGGCTACTGGCTTCAAAGGCACATCTGCCTAGCTCCCAGGGCATGAGAAGAGAAAACAGGGTTTTCTGGTCCACTGTTTTCTCAATTTCCTGGTAAGAGGATAATGCCTCAATCAAGGGTAATGAGGGCAAACGTACACGCAAGTACTTACATCCAGGACAACAACGCATCGTTTACCTTCGTTGTTAATGAGGAACTCAGCCAGAGTATATGTCGTTGGTGTCTGACACTTGGATCAGTAATGTCATCCGAGGCGAAAATAATGTGGCATCACCTCGTATGGGCTCATAGAGTATGACTGCCACAGGTCGTGTGTTGACTTCAGGGTTGTCATATTCACTGTGTGTGTTGGAACGTCAAGCAACGAGCCGACTAAATTCGAGTGCAAAATCGGAATAAGCTTGAAGTCGAAGAGAAAACAATGAGTGTTCCTTACACCTCCGAGCAAGCAGACTCTTTCCGTGTCCGCTAGGCCCTGTAAAACGACATTTCGTCAAATACAGTCTCGATTACGGGAAGTTACGCTTACCGCACAGCATAACAACCATCGGCGCCACCGCTAGCTGTCGAGAATGCATTGATAGAACTCTGAAGAGTTGTTCGAGTGCCCGGTCTTGCCCAATGAGCTCATACCGAACGCGTGTCAGTGGCCGAAAGAAGGAACGGTGGATAAGCGCAGAAGTCCTCCGAGTATGGACAGCATCGGCCCGCTCAACATAGTACCTAGGAAGGTAAGACAGCAGAGTAAGTTTGGTGATGCAGTTTCAGGCGTAGGAAGACAGAATACCTGGTCGCTGGATCCATTTCGTCCATCAAAGATCGCACGGGTGGCTCTGGGGGAACATCTTGGGGTTTCTCGTCCTCCAATTCGACTTGACTTGATGGGGCGGGCGCCTTCTTGTTCGTAGCAACAGTGGGGTCGGCACCGTACGCCAGCAGAGTCTTGACGATTTCCAATTTGTTAGAAAGCTTGTCGTTTGTCAACGTGAACTCCAACGCCGAGAGAGGGCCAACAGTGTCATTGGGACCAGCATCACCGCTTTCCAGCACTTCGCGTACTTGCTCCACATTATCACTTGCAATGGCGAACATGAGAGTGGGGCGCGGAGTTGCAATAGCATGATGGTAGAGGGACGATGAAGCTCTACTCACAGGAGCCGTATGGGGCACCTGCGAGACTAGTCTGCAAATAGTTTCGTCATAAGGATCGCGGCGATATTGGCCAGTGGTATCATCTTCATCACCTTCATCGAGTTGATGAAGCGGTTCTGACAAACGACTTGATGGGCGAGAGTAATTCATCGAGTTCCGCCATGACGTCAACGGCGCCGTGGGTGGTCCATCAAAGGAGGCGCGATTTGAAAGGAATGTAGGTGAAGAGGGCGAAGGGGCAGAGCGAGTGTCCGAAGTTGATAAAAAAGTATGAAGATGCAGGGGTATGGTTGAAGAGCGCGTAGATGAGAGCTGTAGGCCATGGTTATATCATAAGGACTAAGCCTGGATTGTAGTCAAAGCAACGTACCAGACGATGGTGAGATAATGAGCCATTAGATGATACACTTGAGATGCGATTAGTATTCCCTGTGCGACCGTCAGCAAGATTACGATAGCAATAGAGAACCGCCTACCAGATTGGCGAAAGCTATTGATCGACGTAGTAGACATGCGTGAATGGAGCGTAGGTCGTGAATTTGAATCAGCATTAAAGATAGCAGACTAAAGGAGGCAATAAGGATGAGATGCCTATGAACGAATAGCTGGACGTACAAGTCGAAGAGGCTTCAAGCCTTTGGGAGCTGGAGCAGACTCAGAAGCGGGCGTTGGGCTCGTGGACAATGGCTCGGGCTCGGAGGCAGTCATATCCGTGGTCGGAATTTCATTTTCTAGAGGAGAAAGGGGAACAGATCTTCCCCCATTCCGACTGGTCATGATCGAGGATCGGTTGGTTCGCCCCTACAAAGAATGAGTAGCTAATTGACTAGAGAGGAATATCAGGCGTTACCAGAGAAATTGAATTCCTGAAACCGAAAGGAATCTTCCTCGAGACTTCCACTTCTTGGGCAGGAGCACTGTGGCTTGCGCTTCCATCAGGAGAGGAATTAAAGTCCACCTGAGAAAAGGGAGAGGCACGGCCCATTGACATAGAATCGAGAGAGGTAATTGGGGAAGGCAAGGAGGTAGGGGAATCCGCCGTAATGGTGCCTGACCGCTTGCGGGCAGGAGGCGGCGGGGTGAACACACGCTCTCTCAGAGAGCTGGCAGGCGTAGAAGTATTGGACAAAGGAGTAGGCTCCGCTGGAGGTGGGCTAAGATGGGCATTGCGCATGGAGTCGGCGATGATATCTGCAGGAGGTGCAATTCCTGAATAAATGTCGTAAAGCGAGTTGAGAGTGTCATTTTCAGGTCCTATGACAGCTTCAGGGCTTCTAAGGTAAGCCAAAAAAGCGGTGTCTTCTGGATCAGGCGAGATTGGGGGCGTGTGATGGGTAGTGGGTACAGGAGGGAAGTCGGACAAGGAGAAGCCTTCACTTTCAGTCTCGATGGATCCTGCTGTACTGTCGCCTGCCACTCTGGAAGAGTCTGCGACAGGCCCGTCGTTGGAAAATTGCGGCTCGTTTGAAGTCAAGAAATGGACGGGCGAACTGCTTAATCTGCTGATCGCAGCGATTACTTCTTCCTGGAGCGGAAGGGTTGAATCCGGCGAGTCTAGCGAGACGTCGCTCGACTCCGCAGGAGCACCCTGGGACGTGCCGACAAAGACAGCTGTCGGGTTTTCACCGTTCCATATTGAAGTATGGCCGAAAGATTGGTGTTCAAACCAATCTTCTTCATCTGACGAACTCACATCAGATAGTGCTGGTTCATCGGCGGCTTGCTCCGGCCTCTGTTCCTCTAAGGTACCGCCCTGTTCACTTCTAACATCATCATTGGGGGCAGGGTGTGGCTCTCGGGTATTATTGTGCGCAGCATGATATTCCTGAGGAGAGTCGAGACCAAGATCTTGGGGCTCGGCTTCCTCCTGAATGGCGGGTGAAATCGTCCTCGTCGGAGAAACATGTTGTCGGGGCATGAATGCGCCTAGCCGAGGTGAAAGAATTCGGTGGGAATGAGCCCCAAAAGGCGACGACAGAAGCTCAAATGTCGAATTTATGGACGGGCTCCTAGGTGGCGATGAGGGCATGGGAGCTGGTGGTTTCCAGTGTTCAGCATAGCCGGAATCGAACGAGGATTCTCGTGTCGAACAGTTTCCGACATCTAGTGGTCCAAGATTGAGTGTGGAGAGTTCAATTGGAGATAACAAACCTGAAGCAGAAGTAGCCATGGAGGCCATTGAGTCCCTATTATGTCTCGAGTTCTCGACTGAATCCTGCGGTTCCTCATTCATAGGTGGAGTAGATATTCGGGTTGGTTCTTCTTCGGGCGGCTGTTGTTCAGAGCGGAGAAGGAGGGTGTCATCCTGGTCAAGAGCCTCCTGACGCTGGATGTGCATGTCGTCGTGTTCATCGTCATAATCTGAGATTGCTGTCCAATTTGTGTCGTACTCCTCATCGGGGTAGACCGCTTCTTCTTCGAAGGAATCATCTTCAGGTTGGGAGTATTGACCGAAACCTTCGCTGTTCACAAGGGTTGGCAGGGATTCGGACCAAGGGTTCGGTCTGCGCGAAGACATTGCGGAGTTCGGAAGATCTGACCTCTCTTCCCCGTCCTCTTCTTCATCTAGGTCGCCAATGACATCTCTCAAGGCAAGCAGCAGACTAGTTGTTCGTGGAGAACGAGGTGGAGAACGAATGGATTTTGGAGAGTCTATGACGACGCGTGGAGGAGCGTGAGGAGTGCTGGATCCTGCCTCTGCGATACTGCCTGACGCCGGTTTGTGTGAAACGACCCCCGGAGCATGAAAAACTGAAACAGTATGAAGAAAATTGCAAGATTCCGCAAACATGCAACGGCCTTGTTGATAAAAAGGACATGGTCGTGCTACGGATTGAAAAACCGGCATCAGAAGGACGTTCGGGATACAAAGGTTGAATAGTTCACGCACTCTTGACTCTCCACGACGGATCTGGAAGAGTCATTGCTCGACATTGACCTGCGGAGGCCTTGGACGAGATCCCGGAGGAGGGGAAACGGAGAAAAAGATGACTGGAGAAGTTCAAAACGACAGCCGCCGTCAACCAACAGGGGTCAGGGTCGATCATCAATCCCACGTGACCGAGTTATTTCCAACTCGGGAGCGGAGCTTGAATTTCAACCGAATCATCCGAACGTCATGGCTGCTCGTGCTGTTGGTGGGCGCCTTCCTCGTCTCGTCCTCTTCTCTGGTCCAAACTGCTCTCTCTGCGACGTAAGGCCTCAAAGTACACAGCACACAAAATTCTGACGACGCTTACCATAGACGGCGAAGGTAGCATTGGCCAAAGTACGCCAATCGGTACGTATACATGCCGAATAAGGTGTAGTTCCATTGCTCACCATGCCTTATGTAGAGGCCGTTCGAGCTGGATACCATCAATATCCAGGACAAAGGGCAAGAAGCGTGGAAAAAGAAATATGTGTACTGGATCCCCGCGCTACATCTCGAGGGGAAGGAGATTGCCAAAGGTCGCTGGGACGAGAGCACGGTGATTCTGGCCCTTCAGGAATGGAAGGAGCAAGAAGCTCAGGAGCAAGAAGCGACGTCGACAGAAAAGATGCAGAGCTAGTTCTGCCATTTTTCCTTCACTCCACTCCTGATCCGATTCCTGGCTGGGAGCCATCCGGAATTTATCATCGTGTAGACGAAGCCGTTCTGGGAAACAACGATGACGAGGCAGCAAATTCAGACAAGGACAATTTTTTTGAAATTTCAAGATGCTTCAACTGCGGCAAAGAAGATCACAAAGTCCCGGACTGTCCTCTTCGTCCCAACCGGGAACTTATATCACTATCTCGCCAATACTATCAATTTTACCAAGGAATACTAGGTCTTCGCAACTGGCAGAGGGTCCACACCGTCGAAGCCTGGCGCCAGCAGCGTTTGGACTGGCTCGATGAATTCCAACCTGGCGCCATTAAGGGAGAACTCCTTCAAGATGCACTAGCTTTCAGCAATGACGAGCTCTTGAAAAATATTTCGGCATGGGGATACCCACCCGGTTGGGTCGCTCTCGCTAACCCGCAAGAGCGTGTGAGAGCTCGTATTCTGAACGAATACAACGGACTTGCAGGGGAGGATGTCGACATTTCCTTCCAAATTCACGGTGAGGATGAAACGCCAGAGATTCTTTCTTTACACTCTGGTGAAGGGAGTGCCAGGGCTGGCGTTGAAGAATGTCGAACAATGACAGAAGGCTCTTCGTCCTCCTTATCACCCTTTCGCTGGGCTAATTACCCTGCCAGTTATTTTTCTTCTCAGCATCTTGTTCTGTATGGTCCTCCTCCGATGCGTGATGAACCACGCGAAACTTGGGACAGTACCACCTTCAACAGCACTGAGATGTATCTACATCAGTTTCCTCCCGACTTCTGTCGCTTTCAACCACCACCACCACCCGATGAGCCTCCACCACTACCTCCTTCACCCTTCCCCCTGCCGCCACCACCTCCTGTCCCACCCCCATTGCCAGATGAGCAATCGAGCAAACATCTACACTCAAGAAATATTGGATGCTGCGAGGATCCCGAAAGCGACATGGATTTATCAGATCCAGAATGAGCAATTCGCTCTCTTCCATTTGTCTAGTATTTACGATGATTTTGTGGATATTACTATTGCATGTACTTAGAATAGGATAAGGTATCGCGACCTACTCTGCTCATGCATGCTTTGTCGGCGTCTTTGCATATGCATGCATGACACCCACTAGAACCCAGCAGTTTCCGACAACGTATATCAAGCCTCTAACCCACAACCCGAAGAACACATTCTGGCCCAAAAACTCTAGTTTGTACGCCTCATTCAGCCATAGTGCCTGGGCGCCTACCCAGACAGCCACATAGCTGATGGCTTCCCACCTCGAGAAGGATAGTTTTGGAATCAGGAGAGGTAATAGGAGGATGTACCAAAGGAAATACTGTTGAGGTCACGGTTAGAAGAGAAGACGTATACGAAGACGAGCTGAGCTTGCCTGTGAGGTGCAGACCTTGTTGAAGACAACGAAAACCACCGTTTGCACAAACCAAGTGAACACTAGGTCTTCCTTCCTACGTCCAAAGAGAAGCCCGAGACCAAAAGCCAATCCCATCTGTGGTACGAAGCTCGTTAAAGGCGACCTTAAAATTTGACTCGTGAGCGACGGTGCATCGGAGGAGGGTCCGGAGAGAGAGGGATAGGTAAGGTATACTTGGTAGAAGTACGGCGAAAAATTATGACGGTGGTCCAGCCTGTGGAGATGGTAGAGATAGGATTCGTAGAGGAAAGGGTATCCCCAGCTAAGAGTCAATAATTGTTAGCTAAATACCCTTGAGAGCGATCAGTAGCAAAGAAGACGCACACGGCATAACATATTGCACCAAGAAGCAAAAAAGTGCCACCACCGATCACGGCGAAACGAATCGTTTTCCTATTCACAATCGTCTGCAAATAATCTCCCAGACCCCTCACTTTACGACCAGATCCGCCAACCACTCCTAGGCACCCAACACCGTAAATGATAGGGTATATCTTCCAATGTGCACTTAGCCCAAGGAAAATAGCGGCCAAATCCCAGCGTCCTTTCAGTGAGGCATAAAGTGTAACGAGGACGAACGACGAAAGAACGGATTCGGAGGAACCACGCGTGGATATGGAGAAGACGAGGGGGTTGAGGAGGTGGGCTGCAGCACAGAGAGTGGCAACGTGTTCTGTTGAACTTGACGAAGCTTCTTCACTTGAGGGCTGTTTTGTAGCGTCAATGAGTTTCCCAGACCCGTGTTCGGGCAGGATCTCGGTTTTGAGCAGCTGGTAAATGAGGATGCCGTTCAAAATGTCGCATAGCGCAAACATGTATTTTCCGAACGAGGAGTGTAGCCAGCCATTCGGAGTAAGCAGGAGCGCAAGCAGAGGGGTATACCGATAAGTCTCCCTTGTGTATGGACTTTAAGGCCCGACAGGTCAGAAACAAGAGTCCGACGGAACAGGATTGAAACTGAACGCACTCTCCGACATCTAATGTGTGCCCAAGTAGACTCTTAACTAGTCCTTGAGCACGATTCGTTGTTTCTGGTCCAGGGAGGAGGAGGAACGCGGCCGCGTCTGCGAAGACGCGATAATCGACGTCGGTATATTTTACGACAGAGCGAGCGTCATGCCACTCGCTGTAGAGGATGAGGGCAACTCTTATGATGGTCGACAACAGGAGCACATTGCGGAATGACGGCGGTGCGAGGGAAGAAAGAGATGGCATGCCTGGGAACAAGTTCTATTCGACATAAATTCGGTCCTCACATGCATAACACCAAGACTCAAACGAAACTCCCAAGAAATTTATCGAGGCCGCCACTCAGATAAGACGCTCCCACCCAGACAGAAACCACCCTCAGTGCGTTCGACCCATTCAAACCAGCGAGTCAACTTCCTCAAAAACCGAACGGTAACATAATTACGTAGATTGCAAGAAAAGCTACTTCTACTCACGCAAAAGGCAGTCGTCCAACAGAAGAAAGAATCACACAATAAACGACGGTAAAACTCTAAAGCAATGACATTCACGAGAAGTACTCAAATCTAGAAGGCAGTCGCTGTGAGAAAGGGAGAACGGGCGAAAGGCGTAACACGACTTACGTATTGCGAGATCCAGCGGAAACCTGGTAAATGGAAAAGAGTCAGCACGAGCATGCTTAGAACACGTGCAAAAGTCCTACCTTCTCCGTACCCTTGACGTTGAACGACCGAGCACATGAAGATTTCGATAGGTCGGATATCACTGAGAGGTACCTTGCCCTAAAGGGGCTGCAGCGTCAGCATAGTTCCGTCAAACACAATGAGCACGCACTTTGCCCGTGGTCTGGTACAGACCAAGGTGATGTCTAAGCTCCTCTTCGCTGACAGCACCAGGGGCGTCAATCTTGTTCCCGAGAACGAGGAAGGGAACCTTCGAGAGTTCCTCAATGGAAAGAAGGGCATCGAGCTCAGCCTTCGACTCAGAGAAACGCTCGAAGTCAGCGCTATCGACCAGGAAGACGATACCGTCAACCTCGGGGAAGTAGTCGCGCCACAGGCGGCGGGCTAAGTAGCATGAGTTATTATGGCAAGAAAATCACTATATTTCGGACGTGGACATACCCTGCTGATGTCCACCCAAGTCATACGTGGTGAACTTCACATTTCCAATTGCCAGCTCCTCCGAAGCTACAGCGAACGCAAGTCATCCTTCTGAAGTTATTGTATGAGCGGGGCTGCGCACTTGGGTGAAGAGTAGGCTGCAGTGTTGCAAGCCTGTCGTTCTTGAGCATGTGCAACAATGTCTGATTCTCCATGAGCTTCACAAGCCAGAGTAAACGAGCATCACAACGCACCGTCTTGCCAGCATTGTCAAGACCAAGGAAGAGAATTTTGGCGTTCTTGTGCAACAGACCTGCATTTGACAAGAGTGAATATGCCTGATTTATCGAGCAACGTTACGTACCGAGCTGTGCGAGAACATCCCAGAACCAGTTAATGATGAACATGATTTCAGCAAGGTTCGTTTGTCGAACTCGAGAAGGAGGAAGGAAAGAGACCAGTTATCGATGCAACACCAACGTTGACGTTAACTTTAGGTGCAGACGTGGAGCCGTGAGCGCCGTGTCCTTGGCCCTCAGTAACACTCTGTGACCATTGAACATACGTCACGCAGCCCCGACACATCCAGATTCCAGACGAGGCCAAAATTCATTTACACAAGACAAGAGGCAGATTTCTCAAAGTTCACGAAAGAAGAGAAAGTGGAGCGGAAGAGATACCTTGGTATGTTTGGGCGGGAGTCAGAAGACAGCTTAATTGCAATGGTATTGAAATTACATGAGGGGATGTAGGACGGGCCTGACACTCACAACACCACAGCAAAGGTGCAGTAAGTTCTTAATCCCTGCAAACATTCTTCTGCGCTTGACCCAATCGCCTCAAACGATGTGGAAAGTACATAGTTTGGGCACTGTCTAAAAGGCTGCGACAAAGAACATCCACGAAAATTTACCACTTTATACGCTCAGTATTTGGTTGTGCGTGGTGCCGGTGAGCACTTACATACCAGTAATGCCGAACTTGTGCCGAACAGAAGAGCACACGACTCTGAATTGCGCAAAGAATAGTAGTACATGAGCGAACTACAGATTCTCCTCCATCCACTCCCATAGTGATTCGAGCACGGAATCGCCTTCATTCTTCTCACTGGGTTGAGACGCATTTGACATCACAGATGTGCCCAAGAATGAGACCTCTCCTCCTTCCCATTCGTCGAATCTGAACGCAGAGCCTTCCTTCTCTCCACAATTGAGCCCACCCATCTCAGTCGCTTCGCCTTCTTCCCCAAGACCTTCGATATTAATCCCACCAGTTTGAGAAACTCGCCTCTTCTCCAGCTCTCGTTCCAAGATGGTTTTCACCCTATTGATGGCGAGTGCAGTCGGATTCGAATTTGGGGTCGTGGAAGACGTCTTGAGAAGATCACATTTATGAGCAAGAATTAATAGAGCAGGTTGGTGTCGGGAAGGTGGGAGCGAGGTCAGGGCGTGGAGGATGTGATGGAGATGTCTGTCAACACAGGATGAGATGATTGCAGGACGCATGCAAATGAAATTGCTCACTCTGCAACTACTGAAGCATTGCGAGATATTGTGCTTACGTCCACAACAAAGCCAACAACTTTTGTGCTGTGCATTTGCTCAACAAATTGGCCCCTCAGCCTAGGGTGTCCAGGAATATCAATCAGAGGTACAGTCTTTTTTGAAGATAGCACAACAGTCGCGAAATTTGTTTGCATAGACGTTTGAGTTGGAAGCGTCTGCTTGAAAGCCAGCTGATGAACATAGTCAGAATATTGCTATCGAGTTAGGAATCGACTCGTGCCTGTGAGAGGATGGCAGTCTTGCCAGCATCAGAAGGACCGACGAGCAGGAACGCTGTTCCTTTAGAGGAGGCTCTCTTTCTGCTGAAGAGAAATATAACTGAAGTGTGTGTGAAGCGATGTCAACGTATACGAACAATCTGACGCACTGAGTATCGACGTGATTAAGGACGCGACGACGAATGTCTGTGGAGCGAAGGGTGACGCTGCAGGTAAGACCTCAGGTGTTGGACGCGGGATTCTGTTATTTTCCATGTCGTCCAGTAGATGTTTTAGGCGTGAGATGGTGCCTGGGAGTCCGTTGAGACCAGGCTGGTGTGAGGATGAGGAAAGTTGGTGGCTGTCAGGGCTAAGCTAGCGGTCCGGACTCCGGGACATACCTGCCATCACGTGCATGACCAAAATTTTGAATTCCTCTCCAGAGTCCAAGTCCTCGTTCTTGTGGTCAACTCCGGAGCCTTCCCATAGCCCCAGTATATCGAAATATGGTGGCTTCTATCCTGCCGAACAACGAGGATCAGTCATCTGCCCCTCCTCGAAAACGGCTCCGACAAGATATCTCTGCCAATGTGCCCCAAACAAACCAAAAACGACCCCGTCTTTTCGTCCCGTTCAGAGCGCTCGGATTAATCACCAACCACGTACCTTTCGTCCTTCAAACGCGATCCTACAAGGGCTCAACAGATGGTCCAAGACTCCATCTTCTCACTTGCCTAGGGCGTGCATGGGCATTATGGGAAGGAGGGAAGATGGGGCTTCTCTTTGTTGGTATGTATGTCGGCTAAAGCAATTGTGAACCTTGGGCGTATTTTACACGCAAGAAAACAGGACCTGATGCTCCGGAACAAATATCAAGTATGGCAATGGATGGGGATGCCGTCTGGATTACTTCAGGAATATTTGTTATCAGACATATACGCGGAAAAGAGGTATGCCATTCTCTCATCATATTCGGCCAAGGTCTCATGATTGTCTTCAGGTTTCCCGTGTAACAAACCCTCTTGGAACAACATTGTCATTTATCACGATCTTTGGGTCACAACTACTGGCTCTGACAGAAAGAGGGGAACATATGTTAGTCTGGAACACATGTAGCGGAGGTCAGCAGTCTGGAATAATCTGTTATTACATGCTGCCGACATGGACTCCCTACAGAACTAGAATCGAGTATCTCATTTGACCCCGATTTCACTGCAACGTCTGTCCTCCACCCTGCAACATACCTGAACAAAGTGGTCGTAGCCAGTACCCAAGGAACTCTGCAGCTGTGGAACACCAAAACAAAGTATGTGACTCTACCTTCATGTCCAGAACATTTTTCTTACCTTGTCCCTTCAGATCGTGTATTCATAAGTTTAGCTCAAGTCGCCTGACATCGTCACCAAGCTCAAATGCATCAACATCCAACGACCACGGAAGCGCGATAGCAGCTCTCGTGCAATCGCCCGCCATTGACGTCGTCGGTATTGGCTTCACGTCCGGAGAGATATCTGTCTACGATATACGGGCAGATGAACGGCTTATGCGCATTTTTATGGAAGGTGGTGGGGTCAGAGCTCTCGGTTTCCGAACAGATGGACACCCAATCCTCGCTTCAGCGTCTTCGTCAGGGCACGTTGCTTTGTGGGATTTGAATGCAGGAGGACGACTGCTGCACATGGTTCGCGGTGCCCACGACGCAGCTATCACGGCAGTCGAATGGGTTCCTGGTCAACCAGTTCTCATTACGTCGGGCGAAGATAATAGCGTCAAGGTATGGTCGACTTCCCCCCATTTTCCATGCTGTCTAATTCGTGCACAGCAATGGCTTTTCGATTCTCCTACAGCTGCTCCGCGTCTTCTAAAGTTCCGTTCAGGACATCAGTCCCCACCACACATCATTAGGTATTATGGTGATGACGGCAAACAGCTTCTGACTGCTTCGAGAGACCGTAGCCTCCGCTGCACCTCAGTTGTTCGCGATTCACGGTCCTTCGAGCTCTCCCAAGGCATGCTTACTTTTTTCTTCCCGTAGTTCCATGAATTGAGTCTAGAGATCATCAGGATCCCTGCTGAAAAAAGCGACATCGCTGTCTATCCCTCTTGCCTCTCTCAAAGTCCCGCCGATTGCTTCTATCTCCTACTCTACGACCCGCTCAAAAGATTGGGACGACATTGTGACCGTTCATATTGATGAAACCTTTGCCCGCACTTGGACAATGCTTGGAAAACGATTAGGAAAATATAATTTCGGCATGTCTGATGATCCAAAAGCGAAGGGCAAGGAGCGTGGCATCGTTGGAGCTGCAAAGGTGCCTTTTCTTTTCTTCTATTGGTTCCATTATAGAGGTTTGACCTGTTTTATCGTCATAGGCTGTATGTATATCGGCATGTGGCAATTTCTCCATTGTCGGCTCTTCAGCAGGTCAAATACACATGTGGAATATGCAGTCTGGGATCAAACGGAAAACTTTCACCCTAGGGTCATGCCCAACCGAAATTGCCTCCCGCTTTTATTCTGGTACCGTCAAGCGAAGAGATAGGACCATAAGTGGGCTAGCCACCGACTCGCTGAACAGAGTCGTCATCGCCAGCACACTAGATGGGACAATAAATGTTCGTAAGCCTTTCAAGTCAACAGTCATTTGCTGATATTTATCCCCGGTCAGTTTTTTGACTTTCAAACCACAAATTTAGAATACACCGTGGTGTTGCCCTCAACAGCAGTATCAATATTACTACATCGCGACAGTGGTCTTCTAGCCGTTGTCTGTGACGATATGGCGGTCCGCGTCATTGATATCGAGACAAGGAGGGTAGTCAGAGAATTGTCTGGATTTCACGGACGTATCCTTGATGTCGTAAGTTTCCTATGCACATTCTGGACGAATCGCGGTTGAATGCTCCTTCAGACGTTTTCGCCTGATTCAAGGTGGCTCGTTGCGACATCATTAGATTCTGTCATCCGCACATTCGATGTCCCAACTGGCCGTCTCATCGACGCGTTTCGGACATCCAGTGTCGCCACAAGCATATCCTTTTCTCCAACAAATGATTTCCTGGCCACATCGCACGTTGACAGCGTTGGTGTCTTCTTATGGTATGTCTTTTTCCGATGATACATAGCAACCATAGCGGTAGACCAACTTTTCTCTAGGGCCAATCGTGCTCAATATACCGATGTCGCCTTCCAGGGCGTCAACTCGAACTATATCTTTGATGTCTCATTACCCTCAATGCAGGGCGATGCTGAAGATGAAGGCCAGTCGATGGACCATTTTACAGTTGAGTTTTCATTGACGCTTACTCATAATAGCTCTGGAAGCTTTATCGTCTTTGCAAGTTTCAGAGACACCTGTTGATGTCTTTTCTACACCCCCTCAGTTGGATGGAGAGCTAATAACTCTGACACTTCTCCCTCGGTCGCGTTGGCAGACGCTCCTCAATCTCGAGGTCATTCAGGTGTGTCTTCCTGAAAAGCATCAGTGTAAGAGAGCTCAAAGATATTATTTAGCAAAGGAATAAGCCGAAAGAACCACCAAAGGCTCCAGAGAAGGCCCCATTCTTCTTGCCTACACTACCAGGTGTTGAAACTCGCTTTGCGCCGCCAATCAAGGAGCCAGAAAAAGAGGCGAAGAAATCGGGAAGAAGGTTGACTACTGGCATGAACGGCAACGAGAGTGCTTTTTACCAAAAGCTTGCAGCTGAAGAAAAGGATGACGACTGTGGGTTCTATCTGTTGTTGTCATTTACCTCAACTCATCCGCCTCATAGATGACTCCTTTTTCAACTACGCCAAAATGTTGTCACCCGCTGCGCTTGATCTCGAAATCCGGTCACTGACAACCCTCGATAGCCTTTCCCTTTTCATTAATGCCCTGACACAGCGGCTGCGCTCGCACCGAGACTTTGAGGCTGTTCAGGCCATGCAGAACGTTTTCCTGCGGATACATGCCGAGGTCTTGATGGCCAATCCTGAAATGCTATCGGACTTGGATAATTTGACGGAAGTGCAACAGAAGGAGAGCCGGAGAGTGTTGGAGCTGATAGCTTCCTCGTTGGGCACTCTGGGCTTCGTACGGGATACCCTGTAAAGGTTGAATAGAAATGTCACCTTTTCTAGCTACGAGGTATTCGTCAGTAAAACAACTTATAATGACGCCACGAGACACAGTTGAGAGACAATGCTTCCAGTCCAAACGTGTAGGAGGACAATGATACTGGATGGCATGGATATGCATGTATTGATCCCCGCGATTAGCTTAGACTTCAGCCGCTGAGATAAAATCATAACTCACTGTGAACCTCGATTTCGGGACGTGATCACAAAACCTGAAGCTAGCTCTATGCTTAGATTCAATGACCAGATGCCATGAAGTTTGCAAGTAGAAACAGATTGTGGTAGTACAATATAAGATACAGCAAGCGGAGAACATCTGAGAGAGCATTAAGACAAGATCACAGACAAGGGTTAGAACTACACGGTGTCCAGACTCCAGAGAGGATTCAAAGGAACTGGATGTTTTCGTAACCCGAGAATGGCTTGAGTAACTGCAGAGTGTCCGCTTTGTGCCTCGGGGATATCATCAGCGTAAAGCATGGACAAGAAACTTTCGCGTTTGCTAGTGTTGCCCAATTCCATTGCATCTGCAGAGGCGGCATTGCCGTATGGAGTATGACCGATATTGTCGTACATGGTAGCGGAGGGCGTGCACCAGCTGGCTGTGTCGGATGACCCCTGACTGCTGGCAGCAGCACCAGCAAATTCGCTGCCTCGAGCGTTGCTATCAACAAGTGCACCAGCAAGGGGAGATGATGTGTAACTTGGTTGAGGGCCCTCAGGGATGTACCTGCCATAGGACACGTTCATGGCAGCGCCGGAGCTCCAGTCCACTTCGCCGCTCCGAGTTGCATGTGTCACTGTCTGAGAGGTGATGTACGAAGGAGTGGCACCTGAGAAGGGATTAGCAGACGTGGAAGTCGAGTGCTGTTGCACAGTGCCTGGATCCCTGGCACCACAATCCTCCCAAACCTGCCCCTCATTGACCTTCCTGCGATCTCCTTGACTCTGTTGGATAGAAGTCCCATAAACAACAGGCCGAGCCACTGAATGTTCAGCGGGCAGAGAATGGCGTTCCGCCTCAGGATGGCTTCGCCGAAGGCTGGCCAACTTCCACGGCACTGGGAGTGTCCCAGCAGTGCTAAGAGGCCGCTGGTTGGCCGCTGAACCAACGTCAACCAGAAGCTGGCGGTCGTCCATATACCGCTGGAGTGCAGCAGTACCGCGTTCAACGGCGGCAGGGTCCCTGTGCCGTAGCTCATTCTGTGCCTTTGATTGAGGGTGAGGGTCTGGACAGCAATGAACGACGCACCTTGTTCAGCTTTAAAATTAAGCGTCGTGCATACATGACGCCTTCCGGGCTCAGGAAGACATTATTGGAAACGCCCTTGCCATGGTTTGCTGCTATCGCGGCAAATCCAGGGATTGGGTCCTGAGCACAGAGTATAGACAACATGTGCAAGGAGGCAGCCGGGACCTGAATGCTCCCTGGAATTAATTTTGCGTGGTCGCTGTAAACCATGGTTGGTATTCGGACACGTCGCACTGTGAGACCGAACTTCAAATACTACTCCAGACATCAGCAATTTCAACGGACGCGAACACATTAGTTGCATACAAGCATTGCGGCCGCGAGAGCGAGCTGACGATCACCGAAGATGTGAACTAATTGGTCGATGGCGGGTTGCAGGTGAAAAGTTTTCTATTGGAGTTGCGGTCTTTGGTCAATTCAAAAAATCCGTAGGTCACAAAGCCACAACACTAACCAATATCCGCCCCACGTCTACATTCACTTTAAGGTGGTTAGAGTGGGAGGTAGAAGCTGTCGTGGTGCTTGCTGCAGGAAGGTGTGGCTCCGAAGGGCCAGGCAGAGGCAGAGGCACTTCTTGATGTGTTACAGCCTTCATACCTGCAAAGTCCGCCAAGGAGCTGCTGCCAGCAACGTTGTGAGGGTAGGCTGCATTGGAATATGCTGGTGTTTGATAGTTCATCTGGTTGAGCCCTTCAGACCTCCTAGTCGGATTTACACTAGGACGAATGTCGAGAAGTCATGGTGAGTACTGTGGTCGTTCAAAGTGGTCGTGGGTGGTCAAGGTTGGAGTTGGAAAGAGCAACCAGCGTTCTGGAGGGGCTTGGACCAAGTCGTTCTGGATATGAAGAAAGTGGAGGGCAGAATTTAAGATCAATAGATCGCTTAATGGGACGCCAACATGGTCACGTTGTTTTGTGGCCCACCGCGACCAACTCTCCTCGACCCGTGGCAAACATTGATTCCAGACAAGCCGCGGATCACAAATTCCAACAGCGAAAGTTGGGCTTGGCGTTCAGAACGACTCCGAATGCCACTGGAATTCCAGATAGCACTTGTTCAAACAGGGTAATGAACTCGTCAAATTTATCACCCACCAGGAACGAAGTTTGATTCATTTGATTAGCAGAGGTGTCCTGAACCGACATCCAACTATTCTGCTCTTTCCTAGCTTATTCGCCGTGGGCAGTCGAGTCCAACCTTCTGCAATCGGCAGCGAGGAGCTTCATCGTGATTCTGTCCTGTTCTCGGCGCAAACCCGGTATACAGTCATTGAACGGAGGAAGAGAGGTTGCAGCTTTGTGTTGGTTCTGGACAATCTTATTTGCCCCTCACCTCCGATTCTTAGCTTTCAGTCCCCTCTTCTCCTTGCGTTCTAGTTTGCCTTTGTGTGAACCTAGCGCCCTCGGAAGGGCAAGTCTTCTCCCGGTGTTCGAAGGCTGTCCAACAATCAACCGACTTTTTCTCAGTCGAGTGAAAGAATGCCAAACCATCTGCCAACATATTCGCCGAAATGTCTCACGCAAGCAAACGGTATTTCTGTTTGCGATTGGAAAATTTCAGGTATGGGCAACTACTTACATAACTTGGACGATGGCTCACCTTCATTTCTTAGGATGCTTGCAGGTAGAACGTAGTGGGAAACCACAGTCCACAGGGGCCTCGAGTAACGCATTATTCCGCACGCTGATGCGGCGGGTTACCTATGTCTGCTACGACGAATCGTTTCCTGAAAAAAGGGTACTAAATTTGAGACGATCTATAACGAATGGTGCACACCTGAGACTCACACCCAACGCGCGACGATCCCATGCGCGAGTCAGACAGCACCCTGACATGGACCCAATACCAAGAGCAGTCTATCTTCCCATGCGTTCTGCCATACAGCAGAATCTATCCCGACTGCGGAAAGGTTGGCAACATTCGGAACTGGCCTGAGAGGTCAAGAATTCATTTTCGAGAAAGATCGGTCGACATTGGGCTGCCGAGTAGGTGGGATTCTGTCAACATTCCAGCATTTCTAGGACAACTAGAGTTTTGCCCGTGCTTCGCACGGGGGTGGGGGATAGAAGCATAGAACTGATAGGTACTGACACTGACTGAAATACTTGTAGTTTATTTGTTTCTTGCAGTGCCGCTCGCCTTCGCCCCTCCGTCGCGCGGGGCGCTCCGTCGTGCCGAGCGACTTCCGGCAGGTCATGAATTCAGCACCAACTTGACACACTGCATGATTGTTTACTCGAATTCTACTCAAGGCCGTGCTCCTCTCCCTTCCATCCCCGGGCAATTTCTCGATTGAATCAACTTTGGACGGGCTTATTGATTGCTCGATAGGGGATGAAAATACTGAGAGCCCCTGCTGTCGGTGAGCCAACAATTTTTGGCATAGTGGCTGAATATGGAATGGCCAAAGGATGATAAAATGTAAGTGCTCGATCACTTGCTTGACTGGTCAGGCCCAAACACGACAGAGGAAAACGTTGTGCCTGTCAACTTTCAAAGTTGACCCCCGGACAAAAACCTTGGTTTTAGTATGTAGATAACCGCCAAGTAGAGCCATTGGACAGTCGGAGCGTTATTTGAGAACAGTCGCCGATAAGTTGAGAGTGAGGACGTTCAGGCAACGTTGATGAGACTTTACAGGTTAGCCCAGCTTCTGAGGCGCAGAGCGATTGCGGAAGAGATGCCTCGGGAACTCTGAGGATAAGAAAAGAGTTATCGATGGGGTTCAAAGGAGTTCAACGGTTGGACAGTCGCGAAATTCTTGAGGCGCGTGATGGACACCAAAAATACCTTATTTGGTAGACAATCTGATTAATATGCAGCACCATACTGGACAAAAATACAGATTTATGTTTTTTCCTCATAAGTCCCTCTCCAATCTGTCAGATTCAGGCGGAATCCGTCCAATACGGTCCCAATCCGCAGGAAACACACTGATTAGACCCGCTTCGTTCGCCACCCAAAAAAAAACCAAAACCCCTCCCGATCTGCAACACATCTCCCTGATTCCAACCAATTCCGACCAATTCCGACCAAAACCATAATTTTTTTTAGATCGCAAGGTCCCAAACGGTCGGATTCGGGACGAATCTGACCACACACGAGGGGGAAAAAATCACTAGATGTTTCTTAGAAAAAGAATTGAGGAGGAATCCGTACGAATTGTCCCGAATTGTCCCACGCGGCCAGATTCCTCCCGTATCGGAACGATGGGTCATAAAAAAAGGGAGGGTCGATCTGGCCGAATCGAGCAGAGATGGTGCGAAGATGGCGGATCCGGGAGGATAGCGTCGGTCTCGGGACGAAACGGGAAGATTTGGTCAGATTTGGTCAGGCTCCGGCCTAAATTAGGGTTTCTCATAAAAAAAACTTCAATCGTGTATTTTTGTCCAGAACGGACCGTCATAAATTAAGTAACCGCTAGAAGTGGAGGGCTCGCTGCGCCATCCTAGTCCGCGAGTTCCTGTCAAATTAGAGTTTTTGCGCTGCAGTAATTGTTTTATATTTTTTGGCCTGAGCCTAAGTAACAAGATGAGGGCTGTCGGAGAAACCCCGGTCTTCATGATGCGGCATGAGAGGACGTGCCTCAGGTTGCCAGAACACCGATACAAGGTAAATTTTCTTGGAGAATCTTATTCTATGGCACATGAATAGTCTACATGCAACTTTACAGAGGAGGATACGTCCTCCATCCCACGGAATACGACTCACCAACATCGACCCTCTGCAGCAAGAGTTTGGCCTTGTTTGTCCGGGCCCTCCAGCCCTTTAGTGGATGATTTGCTCGCTTCGCTCGCAATTAAAATATCTGCCTTTGGTCGATGGCTTTTGTAAATGTCTAGTATGATACTACTACTATATGTCCTCAAAATCTACTCGACGTGATTAACAACGCATATCTTAAAGCGTTCAAGAGCGAAAAGCTTTGCCCCCAATTAAACGGCCCTGTACATAAACCCTCGAAATATTACGATCGTCTCCGCAGAACAAAAACCTTTCGAGCCATCCTTCTAACAGCCTCTTCCTCTCACCTTCCGAAAAATGAGAGGAGAGGGCACCAGTCAGACCCCAAAGACCTCCGTTTCCTACCTCTTCGCGCACACTGACAAGCAGTGCGTCGAAGCTCTTTCCTGGCGCAAATGAGCCAACTTGCTTCTCCAACCCACAGACGGCAGCACCACCTGCAGTAGCCAGATAGAGAAGGGTAGGTATCGGAAGGGCTTTATTGGCGAAGTCTTGGGAGGCTGGCTGCGACGTCGAGGAGTCTTGTGCCTGGAAGGAGCAAACCTTGGCAGCGATGCTAGCGTTCTGTACAGCGTTGAGGATTGAAATATTAAACCCTCCAGCGACGTCCGTGCCAAGCCCGACCTGCGTAGGAGTCAATCCATCACTGAGAAGGAAAACAACATCTGCTGACCTTGAGGCCCTTATCGAGATAGCGCCCGATGGGTGCAACGCCACTACTCAGGTTGAAGTTGCTTGTTGGACAGTGACTAATGCCTGAACCTCTGGCTTTGATCAGGTCTACTTCGTCTTCAGAGAGATGAACAGCATGAGCAAGGATTGTGTTGCTTCTAAGCAAGCCAAAGCTGTCATAAACCCCAGCATAAGTTGAGGCAGAAGGGAAAAGCGACAGAGTGAAGTCAATTTCTGAAGGATTCTCGGATATGTGGGTTTGGATGCGAAGGTTAGGGTCTTCAGCAATCAGGCTACCCAACTCCGTCAGAAGGTCGTCCGTACAAGAGATAGCGAATCGGGGGGTCACGATTGGCTGCACACGAGGCTCTTGGTCGGCAGCCACTGTAGGTTGAGAGAGTGCTCGAATGTGCGTAATTAAGTCGCGAGTCGCATTAACTGACGCGTCTACTGAAGGTTCGACATAATAGGACGGCGATTCACGGTTCATATTACATTTCTAATTTATACTTCAGGGCGGGGACCAATATCTGAAGGACAGGGTGACGTACACCGACAAAAGCGCGTTGGCCTAACGAGTGGACAATATCCGCGAGGATCTTGGTTGCCTCGAGGTGCAGTGTGCCATAATAGCAGCATGTAGTCGTCTATTGCACTATATGAGCATAAATACTAGATACATGACAACAAAACTTACCCCTGCGTTTATTGTACGTTTAACCACCGACTCGTACGTCCGTCTCGCAAATTCGACATCCTCAAACTTGGCTTCCATGGGAAATGTGAGGGTCTGCAGCCAGTCGAGTAATTGGTATTGTCCTCCCCTACCAGCCCAAGATAAGATTAGACTTCTTGGGCTAAGGTGAGAGAAACTGAACCAACTGACGTGCCCATGTTAGGAACCTGAGGGGCATGCTACATAGACAGACGTCACCATCAGTTTTAGGAAGACAGGAGAACACGATAACGAAGATAAACTAACCGTATGCGTGTCAATGAAACCAGGAATGAGAAACTCCCCGTCCTTCAGATCAACCACGTTGGCATCAGGGCTTCCTTTCGCCGCAAGGGTATTCTGGAGCTCGTAGGGTGCCACTTCTTCCACAATCCAGTCTATGTTGCCCAGCGCATCTACCGCGAGGAGGCAGCGTGGCAAGGCAGAGTAGCTAGTAAGACTGGTAGGGTTTATTACAGGCCCATAGAAAATGGTGGCGAGGTTGTCAGCACTAGGCATTTATAAGATTCGTAGTTCGCAGCGAAGACGATGGTGGTGGATAGGAAGAGAGTAAGGCCAGGGGTCGGATGGCTTGATTATCGACATTATGCAGGGGAACGGCTGTGACATCGTGGCGCATTGGCGAACTCATGGCAGGTGCCGGCAGGTGGGAAATAGGATAAGATAAGATAAGATATGCCGACGCCAAGGACGTCCTTTTCCACACCTCAGATTCTCAACCTCAACGTTCAATGTTGTTGATTCGGACCATCCGTAAGCATTGGTTGAGGAAATGTAGCGCAATACTCTACCCAATCACTGCCAACTGAAGCTCTTACTTCACCCTCCTCAGGACCTCGGTGAACCTGAGCCTTCCCGCAGTCCGGACCAGCCCAAAATTGAAACGAGTCCAACACCTATCCCGACACCTATCCCTCCAAGACGTGATTTTTTAGCTTCCAGGCTAACGGAGCATACTTCGTCATCCATTTCAACGGAGTTGCGTTTCTGGGAGTCTGTTGTTGTGATGGTCAGTGACGCTGTTGTACTTTGGGCCTCCAACGTCACTCAAAGAATCCCTTGTTTTTTGAAGAGTCGAGAAGTTTCGTTTCTCGAATTCGGTGATAGGTTGTTGGACCAGCTCTTCGAGCGTCACATCACGCTATTGGACCCTATCCAATGTCTTGTGGAAATTATTCTCGGACTGCCAGTGCGTCTCGATAGGTAAATTCTATCTCGTCCATTGACGAGCTACTTCCTTCTTCAACGCTCGTATCCGCCTCGATACATTCAGATACGGCGTCTAGTGCCTTCGGGCAACTGCCATGAGCCGCGATGACGCTATTTCCTGGCTTCTCGACTATGGTCGCATTCCATCTGCGTATCACCTCGTGGTGTTCCTGATGATTTCTCCTGTCGAAAGTGCGTCGCTGTCGAACGAGTATAGAAACCCTTTTCATGGCCCTCGGTAATTCAGGCCCTCGTTTGCAAAAAACAACCTTTCGATTTCATTCCGACCATGATTGTGGCCATGTCCAGTAACCAATCCGACTATATGAATCGATTCCATTCCCGAAGTGCACCCGCTAAAGCGAAGTAAGTTGTTAATCATTATCATTAATCATTATACCTCCGAACGCATGTTATTTAACCAGTCTTTCAAATAGCTTTTTGGAGTTAGGATTTCAAGCGCTGTCGACTCTCGTCGTCAAACGTGGTTATCTGATGTCTACTGCCCCGACATTCTTCCATTTCGGGGTTCCTTCCCATTGGGAACCTTAGCTGTGCTTAGAAGGGGTCTGAAGCACCCATACATGTACAGCACTGCTTGGAGACTTCTTTTCAACATCAAATGCGGGGCACGACGTCAAAATATGGTGCCTGTTTGCTATTGCCTCCCCCCGAGTCTTCCATAGACGCCGATCTACCGCGATCAGCGTCCACCACACGTTTCTCGTCCATCACAGCAGATCGCACCACCGACGCTGGTCCTAGCCCCAGATTTCAAGGGCTCCAGGTTTCTGATGACGACGTCTTTCATACCGCCACAAATCAGATGCGGCGCCTACCACACACCTCGCCACCTGTGAGAAGCCACGACGGTTCCTCCATTCGCCACTTAAAGTGAAAGTTGAGTTCGACATCCATGTTCGCACTTTTTAAACCTATCCAACGCACGACCTGACTACACCGCCGCCGGGCGTTCAAGATGTAGACTTCATAAAAGTTTCTAATTCGGGGTTGAATTCAGACCTTGGAAACTCCAAGGATCCACCTTGTGTCCGCATCAGCGTCAGCCTGCTTACAAGAGCCGACGACGGCCGCGTTTTCTGTCGCAGTCTGTCGCTGAGGCCGTCCTGCGAAAACGTTTCTCCTGGCTCGGGGTGCCCACTAGCGAACTTTGTCTGTGGGTTGGGTGTGGGAGACGTCGCCGACTGTTCATTTTGTGGCGCCGTTCTCGACCCATGGCTTGGGGAAGACGTACCCAAAGACGTCCTAGTGATCCCCGGTGTGTCCTACTTGTAGTCCAAGAATCACAAAGATAGAAGGCTTATTCATTCAAACATAGCGCGATAGATAGATATCACCACCCTTCGTGGTGGAGACATCACCGACATGTCCTTCAAACCCCTTCGCGCTCTGGAGAAGACATTGTGCCGACGATCGATCGCACTGACGCCTACCCGAGGCATTCGTTATCTGCGCCAACGGCGCGCTATGATGCTCAGTTCATGCTCAGCAGCTCAGTTCCCGTTCTTGTTCTTGTATGTCTGCAACAAGTAGCGTTACATGTCGCATCACCCCAACAATTGACGCTGTATCGACCTCAACCGCGACTGCCAAATTCCAATCCTCTACCCCGCGCTCATCAGTGCTCTTACCGGAACGTAAACTCGGAGATGATAGGTGCCCGAGTACGGCACATGAAACCGTATTTCTGTGCCAGGTGGAGTCGATCAGGAATACCTTATCAAGGTTGTCCTCGTCCCTGTTGCTCTGAATACATCCAAGACGAAGTGCGGACCGCTCTACCCCGCCTGGGGTATGCTCTACTCGGCTGACCGTTGACGTGGGGTGAAAGGAGGAATTGTTCGTAATTTTTTGCAACTGGGAGTTTTGGGCTTGAACACCACCCTCCCGTCCGGCGGTTTTCTGGACGCCTCGGAACTTGAAAGGCTTCCTCGATCCATTATGGAGAATGAATGTACGACAGGCCCCGTATGGTGACGTTCTCGCCCATGTTACATGCGTGCAACCGAACGCTGATCCTTCGATCGTCTTCTCGTGTAGGCCGGGAATTCCTGCATGCTCCGAGCCCAGTGGACTCTGGACAGTACGATTGTGCGACGACAGAAAACGACAGACATGACGACCCCTTCTTCTCTTCTCCTGATCGCCATTCTTCTCAAAAAGACCGAAACATTGAAGGCCTCTTACAAGGTTTCTAAGTTGCCTATTTTTACCGCCTTTCATGAAAGCTCATAATGATGTCTTATGTAGTACTTACGGCATCTGATGCAGTCCCGCCTCTCGCCGGTGTTATGCATCTTGATATCGTGCATGAATGACCTCTGGATGACGAGAAACCTTGTGCACGTCCATACCGGTGGAGCCTCCGTGATCAATTTGACGCGTTCGCCCTTTTGTCTTTCGGTTTCGCGTAGATTTCGGTTGCACAGCTTCGCAGAAGGAAGATGCAGAACAGAACAGAATGTCAACGATGTCGACGTTCAAAAGTTCAAGCTTACCCCGGAAGGCGGCCCTACATCCCTCGTCGACTTCGGGTTCCCCAGCCCACTCCGAAATCAAAGCTTGCATATCAACCTGCACCTCTCGCATCTCAAGTTCGGTCTTTGCCACCTGTCTGGGTGCTGGCATCAAGCCACATTTCGTTATGGGCCGCCGCAAGAACAGACGCGACGTTGACAGATCTCTAGTCGCCACACTCCAAAATTAAACCGGCCTCCATGGACATTCAAATATCAATATTCCCATTCCCATTCGCAAGCCATGAGTGACGACCAATTCACAACGTCCGACGGTATTTTTTTGGCGTCGAGACTCGGACGTCAGGACGCAGAGAACTTCGCGCTTCGCGCTTCGAGCTTCCGGCGGTGCCTTTGAGAAGTCCTGTCTCCGTCTCGTGGACTCTGTCTCGCGGGCGGATGGAGGATTTCTTCGTTCGTGATCTAGAAAAAAAATCGAACGCGAACTCGAAGCCTGCGGTCTAAAACACAAAGAGCGAAACATAAAGCATACGATTGCTTGCGGCCTCACTATGTACTTGAGCTTGTTTCCTGCTCACAATTGAAGAAAACTGTCGAGAAGTTCCGCAGACAGGACCTTGTGTGGCGCGCCGGGCCACCGTCCTGTCCTTTCCTTTCCGGAACGACTTCAAACAGGCTACCTTAACCGTTGGGTATTAGTTTCGTGCGACGTTCGCATTATCGACGCCGGTATGCCCTTCAGCAGAATCCACCCTGGTATAAACCACTGGCAGGAAGGAACCCATTAGCAAATCCACCGAAGCCGGGGTGGGATGATCCAGCTCCAACTGTCTGTTGCCTACAGCCAATACATTCTTCCTCGCTCCTTGCGAGGCACTTACTTATTATGCATATGCATACGGTATCATGGGCTTGTGCTTGGGCACACGATGAAGGCGAAGATGACTCAGATATGACGAGAGCCTGCGGCGAATCCTGCGGCAGACGCGTGATGGTCAGATGGTGGCGTACCGTTGAAGTTCTGTGCCCCGGCTGGTGAGTGTACTCTATGCAGTCTTGGTGTATGGTGCTTCTTCGGGGAGCGTGACATCGTACTTGAGCTGATGCCAGTGATTCTTATACAGAGCGGAGGGATGTGGGTATTCAAGGAAGAAATACATAACATGATAAGGATGGAATTCTCATTCCTTCAAGAACTTTTCGTAGACGCGCTAGTGATCGGCCGCACGAGGATACTGAGAACCAAAATGCAGTGGGTCCGTACCCTTCTGGAAATTCGAATTCTGGCCCGCCAGTGGACCTGCAATTACAAACTGCGCCGGGATCTTTTCGATTCCTCTTTCTCCTGCTGTTGGCGGTGGCGATTAACCGCGTCGATTCAATTACCCTGCCCTTTGCTCTTTCCTCCTTCAACCCTCCAGTTCCCATGGCCAACATCGTCCTGCAACTTCCTTCGTGATTGATGCCAAGCCACGCGATGAGGCTAGCGCTCAATTGAAGAGCAACCTGAAGCACCCGTCCAAGTTCCCAGGTCTGCGGCGGGCCCGAACGCTGCTTACCTCCGCTGTATTGTATATGTAAAAAGTTACTCGGACGCGTCGTCCGGTGCTAGGACTGTAACTGAGCCTGCGGCGTGCATTTCCTAGGCTAATTCAAGTCGATGCCCAAGGGCGCTGGGAATCGATCATGATCAGAGCCCAGTGAGTCCGTTTCACAGCCGCTGAATGGTTGTACTTACTACACCTACACTGCAAGGGTGCCGGTTATTTACAGCCGCACGTCGCGTCGACTGTCGACGTCGTGAAAAGCCGAAGGGGCTTGAAGGGCCAGGGCTGACTTCACTTGAAGGGGATTGCAATTGAATGAGTGAATCAGGTTGGCAAGTTGTAGCAACTGTACTGTAAAGCGTGTACAGGTAAGAGGCTCGCTCGCTCGCGGTGCGGGGCTGCCACAGGTGATGACAACTTCAAGTTGGACACCTAACGGCTGTCGCTGTCAAGGCGCCTCCATTTGTGCGTTGCGCAAAGAAGCTTACGCCCATGCGAGGTGTAAGATTGTAAGTATTAAAGTAAGTAAATGAGATAATGATACACTATAATAATAGTGATAAGTAGTAGATGATAGCGTGTGCCTTGTGGGTGAGAAGTATCACTACCTGTTCCTTTTGCTTTTGCCTTCTTCCTTCTTCCTTTACCGTGCTCTAGTGCGAGCGCGAGGGGTTGCTAGAGGGCTATTCTTAGCTTTGTTGTCCAGGGATGGGGATGGGTTCTTGTTCGTTCGACTACCTTACCTTACATTAATTTTGCTTATAGCCGCCCAAACCGCCGCGAACTGAGGGGAAACGGAGTTGCACGCCAGGCTATCAAACGCGTCGCTGAAGCCTGATTAATTGCGTTGTGCACGTTGTATAAAGTAAGTAGAGCATTAAGTACAGTATATAGAGTGCAATTGAGGGGCGCAACCGTCGTACGGCGTTGTTCCGCAGGCCAGGCTACAGGACGCGTCAAGCTATAGACGGTGGACAGGATACATAACGATTAACGAGAGTTTGATGAGTGTCAGGCTGGAGGCAGGCCCGTGGTAAACCCCTTCCTTGTCTTGGTAGGGGAGGAGGATGAGGCCACTATATTAGGTCCATGGGCATGGGAGTCGTTTGCTCTGTTCTGCAAGGGCAGATCTCTAGTAAACAGTAGTACCGGCGTAGACACTGATTGTGTCCGAGGGTGCATCGTACATGTACCTGGTGAGTGGGATGGGAGGGGATGGGAGGGCTTCTGGGCTGCGCGGCGTGACGACGTTCAAGTGCGAAGGTACTAATAGGTGTTGGTCACTGGGGGATGACGAAACGGCCGGGTGGGAGTGGGGGAAGACGCAACGCAAGGCATCGTATCGTATCGCGACTCGGATCGGGCGGGGGCAATCTGCGCACGCGCACGCTCGGCCCGCGGTCACGCGTGCTTAATTAGACGCGTCCCACCGAGTCGCGCGACGCGTCTTTACGCGTCTTTACGTCGCCCTTCCACGCACCAGCGCTTATGACGCGTGTACGTGATCGGTGAACAGTGTTACGAGGTGAAAGAGACACAACAGAGGCGCGTTCGCACTCTGGGACCCACCGTCGACCGGGTGCGCCCGCTTACGTCTGATCCGTAGATTTGCCATGAGGCACATGGAGAGGGGGAATGGCGGTCTTACAGGACAGGATTGAGAAAGAAGCGTAGGCTAGGGTGTGATGAGATGGGCAGTATATGTACATGGTCTGTAATGACAGTGATAGGGATATGAATACAGAACTGAGGAGCGAGGAGATGCGAGGGGTGGTGTCAGTGATGCAGATTGGAAGGACGATTGATCCCTGGTGTCGTCTGCGCGTTAAATACGATTACGATGATCGCGAAGGGGGATAAGAACTAGTGGGTGGACGCGATTCGAATGGGCGCGCGTCTGATTTGATAACCAATAACCCGGCCGCTGGATTTTCACGGGCACGCGCACTTGTTGGAATGTATGAAATGAAATTCAATCAGAGGAGTGAGGTAATGCGGTTGGGGTGCAGGTACGTAACGACTATCTTGTAGTATTGTCTGAGAGACAAGAGACGACAGTGAGTATGCATGTATTATTTTGACTTTTGGGCGCGTCCGGCGGAACCTGGGACCGCGTTGCGCTGATGCCTGATAGAGATGAAGGTCGCCTTCCGCGACCCTGACCCTCCGACTCGCCGCTGTGCGCGGGGGACTGCTGGCGACGCTGAAGACGGCGGTGGTCGCTGTAGGAGGTAGCGTTCTTGGGTGGATGAACTGTAGTGACAGGGGGGAAGTGGGGATAGAGGCGCTGGTGATAGGCAGGGCAGATCTGCGACGCGATCTGGCAGCGAGTGACGGGAAATTATATAAGGGCAGCACGCGAAAAAGCGGATTTTCCTGTGTCCTCCTCTCTCATCTCCACCACAGACACTGCGTTAGGCGGCTGTCCTCTTCTACAATGCCTTCTCTTCGCCGCACTGCCTCGTCCCCCGCCGTCCGTTTGTCCCCCTACACAAGCGGCTCGCTCGTTGCCCGCGGCCACGGCCCACGACGCTCGTCAGGCTCAGAGACTTCCAGCAGGCGCGTCCTCGCAGACATCGAGTGGTGGAGAGTCACCGACGGCCAGTGCACCGACGCCAGCGCTGACCAGGAGTCGGAGGATCCAAACCGCGGCACACAGGGCACAAACGTCCTCTTCGACGCTGCCGACGCCGTCCCCGTTACCCACGTCGACGCCGACGCCAGCGTCGAGCACACGGCCGCCCTACCCATGCCCTGGGCCGCCCCAACACCCGCAGGCTCGCTCGAGGTATGTTGTTCGTCGTTCGACGCTCCCTCCTTCCCACCGCACCCGATCACGCACTGACACTCCCGGGCCTTGTCTCCGCCGCCGTGTGCGTCCATCAGACCCCCTCGCCCGACCTGCCGACGGAGCAGTTCTCCACGCTGTCCATCACACCACACACGCCGAGACGCCGGCACCACACCCTCGAGTCCTCCTCCTCCTCCCTCGAGTCGTCTCCGGAGGCTGCTGAGGCTCCCGCAGCACACGCCCTCGCGCTTGGCCTAGGCCTGCATCTCAACTTCGATGCGCTCCCAACGCTGCATACACTCTCACCTCAGAGACGTACGCGCTACAGCGCCCCAACGCCGCTCCTGAGGCGGTCCTTCACCATCGCGGACTGCGGCATGTCCATGTCTCTGGACGACCACGAAGACCACGCGACTCAGTACGCCGATTTCGCCGTCTCGCCTCTGTCGTCTGCCCCGGACTTTCTTAACTGAGAGTCCCTTATGGGGGAACGACAGGGCATAATTCTTGGTTCTAAAAGAACTCGAGGACACAACCCCTTCTTCACATCTTCAAAAATTCTCTCGTCGCTGCGCAACCCTTTCAACTCGACCTCGCATACATCGTCTGCACCTCACACGCACCTCTGCAACCTTCGTCTCGCACCACCACCAGTCAACACTCGCACCCATCACAACAACCACTGGAAGGCCTTTCACCCGGCTCGACTCAACTCATCGAATCAACAATATCCATCCATCCATCATCTCTTTCTCATCTTCTCGCATTTACAGCACTTCATCTTCAATCAATTCTTGCCTATTCTCTCAATTCACTTCACTTCATTTGCATCGACGACTCGTCTTTTCATGTTCATGATTACATTTGGCTATACGTTCTCGTTCCCGTTCACGAACCGACAGCTGTGCCCCAAGGACCCCCCCCGCAGTCCGCATTTCGCCATCCCGCCAAAAAGGCACGCACGCCGCCTGCCATCATCGAACCGAACTCTTCATCCTGCCTTACACCTCTTTTGTTTTCCTTTCCTCTTCATCCCTTCCGCCCGCTGCATTCTCCATCCCGCACCCTCGGCACCCTTGGACAAAGCTGATGCATTTTACGACCCACGTTATATTTCCTGTGATGATAAATTTACTCTTTATCTATATCTTTCTATATTGTTTTCTAGGTTTACCTTTTTCTTACCGCTACTCTTACATTTTCTACCTTGGTTTCATTGGTTCCTCGTTCCTCGACACTTTTTTTGTTCTTGGTTCTACCCACCCACCATCCAAGCAATCCGTTACGCCCGTTGGGCATGCAGGGTTTTGGCGAATGCTGCGTCGCGTCGTCGAGCTCATCCTTGCCTTGCCCCTTTCTCGATCATCCTCCTGGTCTCCGTTTTCATTTGTTCCTTTCCTCTTCATTGTTTTCTCTCTCATCTCTCCTCATTTGTAACGATTAGATATGCACACGCAATTTTCCTTCCGTTCCACTTCACTTCATTGTTCACTTCTTTTCAAGTTCCCGCCTGCCGCCTCCCACCTATGCTGCCCATTGTTATCCGCGCCTGTCTGCAATTGCTCTCATCTGCGTTTCCTTCTCCATCTCTGTTTCCGCTCACGACCTCTCACGACTACGACCTCTGTCTGTCTGCGTCTCTCCGCCCCCGCCATGTCGACGTTTGACTGTCCTGACCCCTCTTACGCCATCAGACCGTCTTCGCGACGGTCCTGAACGTGCTTTACGACTCCGGCTTTCGACTCTGGCTTTGAACAACAACTCCATCGACTGTCCGACCATTGCAATAACTGGTGCCTCGTTCGAGGCGTTATTACCGGTTCCTTCCCCCTTCCCCTTCCCCTTCCTCTTTGACCTCACTCTGTTCCTCTGTTTTTTTCCTTTTAAAAAACGGCTTGTTTCCAATTACATCGTCATAAAGAATTGTTGTTGTTCGGAAATTCCGTACCCTTTCTTCTATCATTCCTCTTCCTCGTCCCTTATCCCTTCATCGCCGTACGACGCACATACACTCGCTCCTCCACCCGACCATTGATCCTCTTCCTCCTTCCTCTTCCTTCCTCCTCTTCACTCCTCTTCCTCTCCTCTTCCGCACTCGCACCCGTCCCGCTTCCTTCCAACCTAACTACCGACGCCCCTTCTCCCTTACCTTCCTCTCTTCCCTCGCTTCCGTGAAGCTGATGTTCCTTCATCTTTCCTCCGTTCCGATCCTCGTTATCTCTTCCTTACCTCTTCCTCTTCCTCTCCTCTTCCTCTTCATTCCCCTTTCGTCGCTCCTCGTCAGCTTCACACTCATCATTTCCTCGTTGTCGTCGTCGTCGTCGCTTCCCGCACTCGCGCTCGTCCTGTAGCTCCCGCTCCGCACCTGTAACTCGTACTCTTTCCGCACCCTCTGCCGTACCGCACTCGCCCCTTCCCGTATCCGCACCTGCACCCGTACTCGCATCCGGATTCCTTACCTTACCGTACACGTACCGTCACGCAATTTCTCAATCAATCAAATCTCAAATCGAAGTCCAACAGCAATGAATCACTCAATTTATCGGCGTTCTGGGATAAGCATCGCGTGAGGATTTGCAGGGAAGTTGGAACGACAGGGAACGATTATCTACTACAGCTATCTAGTGGGGTTCGATTTACTAATACCTGAATTCTCCGAGTCTAAGTAAGTTCTTGTTCGCGCCGGCAGGAATTTATTAAAGGAAGGAAGGAAAGGAAGGTGAATGATGACACTGACAAAAAATCTTTCTGACATTTCCCCGCTTCAGTCCTTTAGTTTCATAAGCGCACAAATCGACGCTCGAAGTGAATCAGGGAAGGGGATCGATGAGCCCGCTGGAGACTCGAAATCGTAATGACGCGCGAACGGCGCGTCCCTAATTACAGTCTGGGTACCCTTTTATCATCATTGCTCGTTATCTCGAGTTCTTAATGCTCGGGCCTTGAGCTTGAGTACTTGAGTATCCGCTTGCGCGTCCGCAGTCTAATATACCACGATTGCAGCCTGCAATACAAATTCAATTTCGTCTGGTAACAGGCGATTGGCATCATCTGGGAAATGGACCTGGAGCGACAAGCGCGCAGCGCCACCGCACGCGCCCCCAATCACACCTGGCTGGCAGGATCTTCACACTGTACAGTACAGATCTTTGTTACACTCGCTCTTCACGGTCTGGGGTTGGCATGTTAGCACCCCGGGTGTTCCCCGTCTCCTTCAGGCGCTTTCTGTGATTCTAATTTGATCTTCGTCTCGGGCCCCTCAGGCCTCAGTCTTCGCGTCATTTACTGGAATGATCACCTATGATCACGGACGCCTTCCAAGGGCACCCCACGGCCGAGGACCACCCCACGATGTTTAAAGGCGCGGCACGATGACGACGATAGAATGGCCATGATAGACCATATGATTAAATAATGACCATTGGATGAACGCACCAGCCGGTTAAATACAAGGAATTATTGCATCATCATCTGCTCCTTGATCTGCTCAGGACTCAGGAGAGGCCAGGAGGCAGTCCAGAGAAGAGGCCACGCTCCGACTCAGGACCGCATGCAATATCTTTATGGGTTGATTGCCATTCCGATTTCCTGCCTTGTCTTGTACTGGTATAACAGGGTACACGGTGACCGACGTTGAACGGCCCGTTCCATGCTCCCTGTTCCCTGGAAGACCGGGGTTCAGAGCACAAGACCTAGTACTTAGCGTTCCTAGGGTGCAGGCGCTTCTTGTCTGGGTCTTTCCGCGATTTGGGCAAGATTGCAGGGTGCACTGGAGGCTGAAGATGATTATTTGAATAAAGATTAGAGATCGTGGCGTTTTTGGAACTTGGATTATCAGAGGTATTAGGTTTTCGAAGTCGACGTTCCCCGAGCTAGTGGAGGACGTCACGCTGAGGTTCGCGAGCCTCGGAGGTGGGTGAAAGAAGAAGAAATGGGGTGCGTCATGCGCATATATTTGCGGAAATGGGCGTCTGCTGGGCGCGTTGCGCGCCTACGCGTTCTGTGCCATTGCTATTGCCATTAAGATATCAGAGAGGGATCATCACCCTCCACCTATCGATTGTGAAAATGTGAAAGAGGCTTGTTTTGGTACGGTTTTTACTTTCTTGAATTTCTCAGAACATCAGAGATGGCGGAGACGATCAAGGTTCTCTGGACCCACAACTTGTGATGAAATGAGAATCACAAGTGATATGAAGTTTGCATGGCTCTAGGCGACGTGCGTATCGCAACTCAGAACTGCTGGTGAATATTTGAACGGACGTATACAATATGAGTGGATATACAAATTACCAGATGGTACATAGAGTAAGTACACGTGGCGCAGAGCCGCCTCCTTGAGCGAACTTGGATCTGCGCTGTTTAAAAGGCAGAGGCAAAGGTGCGCTGTAATGGTTCGTAAACCATATGCACTACGATGCTCGCGCAATGGATAAGTAGTGGGGGATTAGAAAGCACAATTCGAGTAAGTATTGAAACATCGGTCTGAAGCAAACAACGGGCGCAGGAGGAATGGTATGGCGGGCAGTCGGAGGTGCGGTGCGATAGCGAGGAACTTCCAAGGCCCCGGTTGATGAAACCGACGCATTAAGCATCTCCTGCAATGATGACGGCGATAACGAGATGGAGAAGTACCGTGAAGAATGAGAGCGCTTGGTGGGAGAGATAGTGTTGTGGGGTCGGCGTGTGGGGTGAATGGAAGGTCTCCATTCGTAAGGAGGCCCAGAGTTGGGAGGGTTGGATGCTGAGAGCTGATCGTGGCAACAGCGGGTATCGGCCTAGGTGGTGCTGGTATAAGTGTGGGGTACTTCAAGCATGGGACTTCGTACGATAGATTAAGTTGGCGTTGTTGCTGTTATTGGGCCCAACCTCCAAAAACCAACGCAATACATAGAGCTGACACGGTTACAACACAAGAGGGATGGTGCATTTTCGATATAGAGAGGATGTGTCGTAGTAGCTGACAGCCGGCAGCCCAACGAAGTACTGCTGTTAGGGTAGTTCAGCGCTTCATGCCTGCAACGACAGGTGGTCCAGAAACTCTACTCCATGGTGATTGGGCAAGAGGTCCATAGCGGTACTCCGCAGAAGGAGACGGGTAGCTCGATGGTGGTTGACCTTTCGCAGACGGGAGAGGAGGTGGCCGCATGATAGTTGATTGGTGCGGTGGTGGTGGTGGCCGTCCATGAGAGGTCTGAGGCTGTCCATGGCGGGCCTTCCACGCAGAACGAATCGCATTACATCGTTCCAGAAGCTGAAGAGAGTACAAAAAGGGTCATGATAAGCAAACGGTTCGGCATCCAAGAGAGACAAAGGCAGAAAGAACAGAATGTAAAGGTAAAGAAGGTAGATGAAGCTGTACTCACCGACTCTTTCTCTACACCATCCGCAATACTCTGGATGATATTATCGACGACGGACCGATGGTTTCCATTAGGCTTATCGTCTCTGAACCTCATCATCCGCCAGCGAGATATCACAGAATCCCAATGAACTTCGACTATGCGATCGTCTATTTGTTCGCCAGACCGTTTGAGCCTAGAAAGAGAACGAACAGAAAACAGGGGAAACGGGAAAAGAAGAAGTCAGCGAACTGTTGCAATAGGGGTAGACCTTCGTTCGCAATGAGATAGCGAATTTCTCGGTAAAAGTTGCACTCACTCTTCCCACTCGTTGTCGTCGACATACAAGTCGTCGTATTGCTCGTATTTAGAGTCCCCGCACCAAACATAGAGAAGGAAGAGCGGCTTTGCATGCCAGTCCGGTTCGTGAGGATTGAATCTCGATGGCGGAAATCGGAGGACGAGTTTAAAATCGATGGAGTTTTCCGAGGGAGGTTTCCACTTCAAACTGGGTCATGACTCAACCAATGTCCGACGGTAAGACAAAAAGTCGACTCACATATTCGTATCCGTCCCAGGTGTATATGGTGTGCTTACGCAAGTGTAGATAAGACCATCGTTTCCATGTTGCAACGCTGGAATGTCGACGTTGAAGACTTTCTCGACATGGTATGAAAGGCTGATCTCCTTGACGGTAATGCTGTACGAAAAGGCCTTCAGAAATTGATTTCCCTAATGGATATTCGGAGGACGCACCTAAAGGGTTGTGATCCCGCCATGTGCGGGTGATCCCTGATCATCTTTGCGTATGGTTTGTAGAACCACTCGTTCAGCCTCTGAGGACAAAAAAAAACATGAGCCTCTTTGTTAAAGCCTACATAGCGATAAATAGACGCACGCCATATCGCTTGTCCAGAGATCTTTTCATCACAGGTTGATCATCAATAACGAGGCAGTCGAATGCCAGAAACCGCATTTGTTCCTACGTTGGCGTGTCAAAGGCAAAATATGCAAGGTGAAGATACGGCACGTACGTGCTTCGTTCGAGGGTCGACGTCAATCACAAGCTCTCCATCTACGAGAGTGTTTCGGAGAGGGTGAACAGGGTTTTCATGATGAGGGAAAAAAAGTCCGGAAAGTTGACGATAAGTATTATGTCGGTCAATCTTCGAATGCTCGTCAGTCACGGACGACAGAGCATATGCAAGGAAAGCGCACGATAAATATTGATTGCTCTCCCATGTCTGTAACCACCAAGAACAGCACACGAACGCCATCCGACTTCTCGCATACCCAATAGCTGGTTGAACAGCACCATCCGCGTGAGCGTCAAGTGAACGGGCACGAGGCAAATTTCGGGACTCACTCTTGGTTTTCAAGTTTCTCGAGATCCCTGACACCAAAACTGACAGGCTGACTTCCCGGAAATCTAAAAAAGGATAAAAATGCGTGCGATTAGTGCCGCTGGAGCCTCCGGGAGTGGGAGTGGTAGAGGCAGTTGACATGCCTTTCATGGTCGAGGCCGCACATACGAGCGACGTGCATTTTGAGCCATTGCTCTTGTTCTGAGTGGCGGGAAATGAGTTCGCCGGGGAGGTCTGGGATGGGCATGGGCGTTGGGAGTGTTCATGCACTGCAGACGTGATAAGCCGTTTATATGTCGAAGGCGCAAATCAAAACTGAAATGGAAGGAGGGCCCTGCAAAGCTTTCCGCTCTTTTCGTAATGCTTAGGTAATCCTTTGTCTCCCTCAAGGCTCCATCACCCCTGTTGTTGCTCATGCACACAAAGGCTCACAAAAGTTGTTCGTTGTCATGAGAATTGGATAAAGGGCTCGAATTACGATCTCAGTAGTACAGGAATTGAACGGCGCGACAAAAAAGATAGACGAAAGAAAGCAGATCCCCGTTCATCGATCCTCTGCCCATTCCTAGAGAATGAGACTGCGGTTAGGGCGATGCAGCTGATGAGAGACGATAGGGCGCTTACGTTCTCCTTCTTGATTTGAGCCTGATGAAGCACAAGAAGAAACGTCAGATGAGCCATCGATTAAAAGCAACGCATTGCCTTACCTCCTCCTCGGGTGTGAAGTCATTCACGATGTTGAAGAGCTTGCGGATCTCCTCCGGGGTCTTGCCCTTGATCATGTTGGCGACTGTCTTGCAGCCAACATCGCTAAAGGAGGAAGATAACATAAGTCACTCATTTAGCAGCATCTGCGTGTGGGAAACGCACAGCAACGACTTGATATCGAGGTAGTTGGCGGCAAGGATGATCTCAAAAAGCATTTCCTGATCAACGGTGATGAACTTCTGATCCCACTCGCTAATGTCCGTTGTGCGCTTGCGGGTCTCGTCCTGGGACTGGTCAGCATCGGCGGAGGGTAGGGGCTCGCCACGGTGGTGCTCGCAGTACTCGAGAACCTGAGCCAAGATCAATTTTGGTGAGATCAATGGTGAGAAAAAGACGCGCACCTTCTTCAGGACACTCGACGAGACGTTGGGGAGAGGAATGGGCTGGTCGGACTCGCCAACATCTGCGTGAAAAAACGTGGCATGAGCGTGCTTGTCGCGGTCGCGCCCACCAGCGACAAGCGCAGGAAAACAACGGACCCTCAAGCATGTTCTTAATGAGGACAGAGCGCTCTACGACGTCCTTGTCGGCGTTGAACTGCTCGTTGTCGGAGGTGACGAGGAGAACCATTTTGATGTTGTGAGTGTGTTGGTTGGAAAGGAGAGTGGCCGTTTGAGGGAGAAAGATAGCTCGTTATAAATTGGCTGTGTTATTCCTCCCTCGGTGATAGCCGAGCGGAAGAGGGTCCGTGCTGCCCTTGTCGTTATTCTTTTGACTCGAATCTAATGTCTTTCTTGACTCGTTGTTTCGACGTTACAAGGTCGCCATTTTCGCTTCTCGGTGCGTCTTTTAGTTGTTCTCCTGACTCGGTTGCTGATTCTGTCCCAACAGGCGCTGTCCGTAATGCAACAAAACGCGCAGGCGGCACGGTGCACAACCATGGCGGTTCACCCGGAAAGCGCTTAGGCGTCAAAAAGTTTTCAGGTATTGTTCTCTTATTATCGCAACAGACAAAAGCTGTAACTCTTGCCTCTCTAGACCAGTATGTAATTCCCGGTAACATCATTGTCAGGCAACGCGGGACGCTGTTTCATCCTGGCCAACACGTATGATCCTCGTCGCTTTCTCCCACTATGGAATCTCATTCTTCTATGTTCAGGTCAAGATGGGACGCGACCACACTCTATACGCTACTGTGCCAGGATTCGTTCGGTTCTACAAGGAGAAGTACATGAGAGGCGAGCGAAAATACGTCGGTGTCGTTCTTGAGCGCGGCGATGTACTACCACGAGACGAGGTTTCCCGCGGGCGTAGTCGGTATTGCGGTCTCGTGGACCGCAACAGTATGCAATACGAGACGCAGTCTGCTCAAGGATCGAGTTGATACGGAAGAAGTCAGTTATGTATTTATCTTTCTGTCTCCTTAATACAATACCATAATGCATCCAGGAGACCGGCATCTTACCGGAGAGTGGTGAAGGATTCCTAGACGTATTTCGAGCAACGCCTTCCCAGCGGTGGTTTACAGCTCGATGCTGCTATAAATATCCCCGGTTGAATTTCGCAGCACGATGGAAGCGAAGGACAACCGTGCCTTCCTCCCGACCACCATGACCACCACATCTGCACCTGAAGCTGAACCCCAACCCCGACCCTTTTTGACCATCACCTCTCTGCGGCCCTCAGGTAAGCACCAGATTCCTGCCACGGGTATGGCATGCCTACAGTTTGTCATGCTGACCCGGATATGGTCTATCAGAAATCCCTCCAGAGGAGGATATCATAGCCGAAGGAATAAAGCTTATCGAATCGACTACAACCTGGAAGGCAGGCAAATCCTTTTTCAAGGACACGGTGAAGACTTGTCACCGTCCGAAGCGACCTGAGGATGGAGCTCCGTGGCATTGTCGCGTCAGCGAGCACAAGCCGGAGGAGATAGGGTTCGATGCGTTGTGGGACAAGCTAGGAAAGAACAAGGCCCGAAATGAGATGCAGTGAGGACTCTTACATTGTTACCCTTCCCGTTATCTGTTTGTGTTGCTAAATGAAATACTTACCCAGATTCATTCATGACATCAAGAAAGTGACTAAAGTGAAGGAGATATCGTCGACTGCGACTATCTGGACCTCATACTACATGTTTCCGCCTCCTGTATCCCCTCGCGTGTTCACCGTCGTCCAAGTTACCCATGTCTCCGAGAGCAAACCTCGTACTGGGTAGGTATTTCACTTTTCCCTTGCTAGTTTGTAAGAAATCATCGAAGAATGTTTTTAGGATTATTGTCTCGATCCCAATCGATATATCAGGCGACGAAGAGCTGCATGCCTTGGAGGAGAAAGGTATTAGCGTTGTGAAGGCCCGCTACACAGCCGTCGAGCGCATCATAGAGCTCGAAAACGGCAACGTCGAATGGCGCATGGCTACCTCGAGCACCCCTGCTGGTCTCATCCCGACCTTTATCGCTGAGAGTGCGGTGCCCAAGAAGATTGCAGCCGTAAGTCTCGTGAATATTACGAACTATTTCTTGCCAATCCTGATCCCGTTGATGCTGTTTTAGGACGTCCCCCAGTTTCTGAAATGGTACCAGAGTCTTGAATCTAATAAGTGATTTCGTACAACCTTCTTGGACCTCGTACTCTATCCACGACAGCGTGCCAATTTTTTCCGAAATCTGATGCAACACGATCATATACCCAGGGGCCGGACTTCTTAAAGTCGCTACTGGCTGGCATTCGCAGGGCTCAACCCGTCAGCCGTGGCTTATCGCTCTTCTATAATAATATATCCCGTACCAACTTATATCACGATGAGTGTTTCAATTGCTACTCCAATGATTTGACTGGTTCACCGTTGTTCGCTGTCGGCTTTCTTGAACTCTTCCGTAAGCAGCATCACTCAACCCGCTACTAGAACTGCCTTTGGAAGAGACAACTCTCTCAGAGGAAAGGGGCCGATAACCACGTCAAGCATCGCATACATAGGAGAAAAGGGCCGTCGAACCTATCATGGGACCTCAAAACAGCGAGGTTCAAGACTTCACGGAAGTCTCGAGTATTTCAAGCGCTCCGACCTCAAGCTAGCTTGGTGAGAATGTCGTTCCGAAGAAGATTGCGATACATTATCCTCGTACTTCCATTCCGATAATTTATCCCCGTCTTTGATTTATCTGAAGGACGTCCTTCGGTTCATAAACTAGCACCGCATACACCCCCTCTATCTCGAGCTCCGTCCTCGGATCTGAGGGCAACATGTTCCGATATGACCGGTTTTGATGCGGCATAGACATAACATTTTCTGAAGGGCTGTGTACGTTGCACCATTTGAAGGCCCTGATCGCCACTATCTGACAGGCGCCTATAGACTCAGTCCGAAGACCTGAGGACGACAGAAGCTATCACACGAATCGTGAAATTTCCTGACAGATAGACCCATACGTTGCAAAATAAAATATAATTGGCGTTATAATCAGAGATGAAAGGACGGCGTGGATTAGAATGTCGCGAACGATTGTTGCCTCTACTAAGCGACGAAAAAGACGACAGCGCTAAAGCCCCAATAAAGACCCCAAATGACAGCCCATGTTGTGGTTTGAGCATCAGACACTGGATCACTAAGCCAACTCCAGGTATCGTTCGACTAGGATTTAATCGCCTACATCAATCACCAGAAAAGGGGAGGGAACAGGAAGAGGACTCACTCTCCCAGTTAGTAACAGCCTCGTTCCAGAGCTTCACCTCATGCTCCCTAGTGCCACCATAATGATCGACAAAGTCATCTCCAAATACCTCACGAGCAATGCTTTCTCTGGCCATCATCTTGACGGTGGCACCCTCCAGAGAGGTTGGGAGCATCTTGATCTGGCAATAAAGAACCCACAGCGGTCAATGACACAAAAATCTTTGTTACCCAGTGAAGCAAAGCGCCCACCTTCCCTGTCTTCCTATCTTCCGGTGTAAAGTGGGTTATGGGCGGGCAAGGAAGAGGCAGCTGCTTCCTAATGCCCCTTAATCCCAACAAAAAGATGGCCGAAAGGGCGAAGTATGGGTTCATGTCCGCGCCAGGTATACGGACTTCCATACGAGAGGCGTAAGGTGGGCACGAAGGCGGCGAAATAATTCGAATGGACGCTGCTCGAGAATCATACCCATATGTCACGGCATTGGGCGCCCAGAAAGCTTCTCCACCGACCAGGCGCTTGTATCCATTGATCGTTGGTACCAACTACGACCACTTGTCGATAAATAAAGTCGACGGTAGCGAGATAAGATATAATTACCGTAGGCATGACTATAGCACGGATGGTCAAAATTTTATGCACCGCAAGGTAGCTCAAGAGTCCTACCGTCTGCAATCCCGTCAAGAATTCCAGCAAGGAACCATTCTGCTTCTTGGCTAATGAACCTTGTATCCTCGTTGGTAGCGTTGGCGCGACCAGTCTTCAGTTCAGCATCAGAAACAGCGAATATATTCCGCCCTTCCTTGTTTCGTAGAGAGATATGAACATGTCTAGTTGAAAGACATGTTAATCCCCTCGCCGAGACCGCTCTAGATCGAGACACACCCGCTACAACCAGGAAGCTTCGGAAAAGGATGTTAGTTGACAGCAGCTCCGGCGAGAAATAGACTTACACCACCCCAAGGTTTGGCCATGAAGCTGGGTATTACTTGATGCTTAATCCCGACACTTTTCGCCGTGTACTTAAACAAGATAGCGTTGTCCGCCATTCTGAGGGCAGAGGTATACGCAAGTGCAGTCTCTAGGACACCCGGGCCAGTCTCGGTGTCTTAAAAAATAATTCAGAAGAAATAAGTCTCTTTTTTCTCAATAACTTACGATGCCCTTCTATTGGTACGTCGAATGCGACACTCTCGTTGAAAAGATCATGGAAGTACTCATTGTTGAGTTGCGTTCGAAGAAGAGAATAACCATGCACTGTCGACGATGTCCGTAAGAAGAGGCTTAAGTGTGGTTGGAAAGATATTCTTACTTCCAGGGGTTAAAGGTTGAAGATCAGTAAAGCCCTTCGCGGAGGCAGACTGGGCCGTTTCTGGTGACTGATTGGATCACTGTTGGAAGAGACTTGCTTTCAAACTAACTTACCTTTAAAATTGAAGTACTGTAATGTAAACGAGAAAGATAAGCAAGGGATTGAAACAAGAGGAAGGTCACTGGCCTCATATTCTACACCCGAGAAGCATTCATATCCTGCTTCCCTGGCCTTCTTGGTAGTGACGTCTAGCACCCCTCGAGGATCAACAGATAAAGGCTCCTTTGTGTCAGGATCTAAGAAAGAAACCAGGAAAAATGGAACATTATGCTCCCATGGAATACGACGGAACGTCGATAAGTCTATGATAGCAATGACATCTCGATATCCGTTCGCTTTGTTGGAGATCAGGAGCTCTCGGGAGTAGACGGTGTCGTGGATATCCCAGCCGCTGAGTTTCAAGGTGAGCGTGGCAGTCCTGCTAATTCCTGAGAGGTGCTCACAAGATAACGCTGCAAAATCCAAAGCCGTCCGAAGACTTCACGGCGCTGAGGAATTTCTCCTTAGACTATAGGCGGCCTCGTTAACCGTGAGCCCTATACGCGATGAAGTCTTATCGCACCATGAACTTTCCGCGCAACACACCATCGACTTTCGCACACATTAAACACCAGAACGTCCAGAGGGCTTTCAGATAGCCTCACCATCGATGCCTAGATGTCCGCCACAGCAGAAGATAAGTATCCCCTCTGGTAAGTTTCCAGAGATAAAGGCGTACCTGCGACCTTTACTTTGATATCATGGGTTAGTTCGGATTGAAGCGCCTCGAAGGAGGTCGGTGCAAGAGAGGTTGCAGCCATAGCGTTTGCGGCTGCGGAAACTACTGAGGTGAAGATGGTTGAGGGCAAGTTGATAAGTTGATAAGTACAGCATGCGCGTGCTTTATGACCCCTTAGCCGATGATGTAGTTCGCAGTCAAAATCGGAAGTGGCGCGTGACCACATCAGTGATCGGCGCCAAAAGCTTGAAAAAGTTCATTACTTCGATTACATAGTACGTCGGTACCTTAGCGCAGACCTAAACCAATAAGTACTCACCGTAGTTGTATCAAGGCTCAAAACACTCTCCGAATGAGCGATTGAACTTGAAACAATATCCGCAATTTCTCACTCTTCAGATGATCATCGTCACCCTTTGCATGCGCCGAGCAACACTGAGATAAGCATGGCGGACGGAGGCAAATTTGCTCAAGCTCTTGCTATCTAATAGTTTCACATGTGCCAGGATGAATGTATAAAAGGACAAGAGGACATGTACTGGTCTGTAGTACGAGTTGTCCGATGTTTCACTTTTTGGGCACCAGCCTTCCTCTTGGTTCGTGGCCTGCGGCTGACGATATCCCACAACTCTGGTCAGCGCCGCAAAGAAGGCCGAAACAACTCATAGAAAGCATCCCAAAGCCCTATCCCTGTTACGCACATCAGCATCACCACGTTCCTTTCTTGTCATGTGGGCCGATCGTGGCGAAGTTCCTCAGCTAGTCGATGAAGGACGGTCGAACGACTTGCCAATTCAGCTGCCAACCGAGATATGGGAGAGGATCGTCGAGTTTGCCACAGAGATCCCTGGAGTTTACGCCACCGAAGACCATGCTGCCATTGCCGGGTTTTCTAGAGATCGCTACGGCATATGCCTAAGCAACTGGTTCAAGGATGCAGTGGAAACAAAACTTGCTCTTAGCCGCGTGTCGAGGTATTGGAATGACCTCATGCAATTGTTCCTGTTGCGACACATCCGCATCAAGACCGGGAGACAGGCTTGCGAGACAGCTGCAGCTCTCAAGCGGCTGACGAAAAGGGCGAAGCCAGACAACGGACCTGGGAAGTGGACGCTGCGCGTTGAAATAGCGCTGGATGGTATCCACGCATGGACAGAAAAGCACACAAAAGCGATGCGCACAATCTTCAAGAACTGCCCGAATATTGTTTGCTTCTCGACCGTGTTCTCGACCGCAGACCCATACATTTATTCGTGCCCGACACTCATAGGGTACCTGAGTGGCCATCAGGGTTTGAAGCGACTGGAGCTGAAGTTCGACGCGGAAGTTTTGGGCGCCGTCGTACAGGGTCTCGGTCCCGCTTTGCAGGTTCTCTGGCTCTACCCCTGTAGGCGTATTACGCGGGACAGAGATATCGGACGCTACCTGTTTCCAAACCTTCGTGTCCTCATTTCGGAAGCCTTATGCGAACCGTACATCAAAGCACTTACGGCCCCGAATCTTGAAGCTTGCATCATCGATCTTTCCTTCGAGCCTTCCCTTCTTCCAGTCATGGATCGAAGCCGAATACGATACCTAGCTACTTCCAACGTCCAACGTATAGCTTCAAAATTGGAGTCCTTGTCGAACCTGAAGACATTGTCAATGACATACTACGAACTGGCAACTCAAGCTATTCCATGGCCCACGAAGAGTATGATCCACCTCTGGCTTGAGTGCATCATGATCGAAGAAATAAACGGAAAGGAGTACACACACCTTCGTATCAATTTGGCCCATCTCATCTCCATGCACATGTTCCCGAATTTGAAGTGTATACGACTCTTCCTTCCTGTCGAAGACAGGGTGGATTACTCCCCTGTTCTCCCAGACAGTGTTCGGCTCCTCTGGTTGGAGTGGCTGAGGGATTGCCAACTTCAGGGAATACGCATCGAAATATCGCAAGGAATTTACCAGTGGACCGAGGATTTCTGGACAGCAATCTCATTTGAAGAACTTGCCGAAATATTGTAAGTTGGTGCTTTTATTGCGAACGGCGCATTGTTAATATCAGGTGACTTAGGTTCCCGCCACTCCTTGAAAATTGAAATCATAGAAGTTGATAGAATTCTGGACACCACGTTATAAGTAGCATCACATATAATGTACAAGATAAAATAATGAATCTTACTATCTCCTAAGCGCCATCTCCTCGTCGTAACCTGTTGAACTTGGGAAGCATTTCCCTCAAGTACTCGGCGTGTTTCCGTCTCAAATCAGCTTCCTGCACTTTACCCCTTCCACTCCACGTCCTTTGTTCTGCGGCCGGACCGTAGACGACGGTATAATCTTCGAGAACTTGATCTTCTGTGGGAACGAGGAGACACCCCGCACCGACGACGCAGTACGAGGATATCCGAACTGTGTGGTGCACCCGAGCACGCGTAGATATCGTGTTGAAATTCCCTACCGACGGAGATTCGATCCCTGCAAGAAACGTTGGGAACTGGGAGAGAAAACAGAAGGGAAGTGACTCACGACAACCGATTTCGAATAGATTGTCATCCCCAATTCGCATCACCTCCTTCCGTCTGCAGGCATAGTCAGAGAAAGGTTCTCGGTTTAGTAATTAGTGGGGTATTTCACCTGTTGACGATGATTGCGCCTTCCTCGATGATGCAACCCATGCCAATGACAATCGGTCCTGCGATGGCAAATATCGTGGCTTTGGGGTGAACAATCGTTCCTGCACTCCTACTTAAACACGTACGAGAATGAGGACAAAAAATGACGACCTACCAGAGCCAATCGTTATGTCTCCTTTCAACTCAACATCCTGGCAGACGACAGCTTTCGAATGAATATTGAACTTGTCGCGTCTGAGGAACAACCAATAAGCCAAGGATACGTGCGAACGATAGGGAGATGCAACACATTGGTGGCATAGCTTCACGTCATGAGGTGGCGAAGAAAGCAATACAAGATTTCGATGATGGAACTGGAAAGGACCTAAGCGATCGTATCCCGAATTGGTCGCGACGGGTTTTCCCTCTTACACACTGGACCATCTTCCGGTACCGGCACGCGTCTCGCCATCCTTACCATACGTCCATTGAGATGGATTCGACAGCCTCGTCACTGAAGACAATTGGCCTGGGGACTGTAACAATATGCAAGTCCGTCTTCAATGCACTTCGTAGGATGTCGAGCGGGCCTAACCCACCACACTCTCAGCCACAACTAGCGCGTTGTTCACTGGAGTCTACACCATTTTTCGGCCTCATAAACAGCCAGCCGTTCTTGTTGGATCCGCCGCATTAAACAGTGCTTTTACGACTGCCGTTTTCTTCAGTGAGTGCGCAACCTGGACTATCCTTCACAAATTTGCTGACCATAGTTTGCTTGATTCTAACAGGCTGTCGTGAATTTCTTATCACACCCTTGCTCGTCTACACGGCACCTTGGGAACAATTTGCTCGGAGAAGGCAAGAACTTGGAATTGAGGTTTCTACGGACGGAACCTTTGCATATTATCCACCAGTGACTTGGTCTGACATACGCAGAAGTAAACTGCTAGACAGTGGTCTCAGTGGTGCTCTGACGGGTGGCCTCATAAGAGGGATCACTTGTATGTCTGTTCTTTGTTCCCAAAACAGTTATCGTCCTCACTACATCCTCTTCAGCCGGTCGACGAGCAGCTTTCTCTGGTTCCCTCGGTGCGGGAGTATTTTGTACACTGCTCCAATACGGATACAATGAAGCGGCTGTCGCACGTCTGCGATATATTTCCCAATTGAAAGAAGAAGGCAGATCTGCTGTCGAAAGACCTGCGTTCGTCCCCAGGAGTGGTCCTCAATCGCAGGAACCTGCGCCACCTGTGTCTATGGGGCAATCCTTGCTTCGATCGCTCGGTTTAGTGCCCGTGTCGGACGAAGAATACCTTGACAAGTTGAAGAAAACGCGGGAGGTATATCTAAGGCGAATAGAAAAGTTGGAGCGCCAGATCGAGGAGGAAAAGATCTTGGAGATCACTGATGTAGAATCGTGACCAGCAGGCTCATAGATAACTGTTACATACTGACTATCTAATGATAATGGAAGCACTCTACTCAGACGTCTTTGGTGCCTCAACGATATTTGCTGTTGACGCATTTTGCTTCCAGACCTCGATAGCCCCTTGCCCATCTTTTGCAAAACCACCTACGATGACCCTTTTTTCGTCTGCAATCAAAGCATTGACCTTCTCCAGTCCTGGGCTCTCCTTTTGCCACACCTGTTGCAGCACCACGCTGCCTGCATCCTCCTCGTAGATGAGATTGTACTGAGTCAAAACGCCCATCAACGTGGACACGGTCAACGTTCGAGACTCAGAGAAAGCCCTGAGGATGGTCAGTATCTACTTATGTCAATCCAATGACATGCAACCTCACATTGCCACAATGGGACCTTCCGCAACTTTAATCAGCAGAGTCTCATCCTCGTCCAATCCTTCGTATTTCTTGGCTTTCTTTTTCAGTCCTTTGGTAGGCGTGAAATTCCTTTCGCCTCCAAAACCTATGAAGAGTCGGCCATCAGCAGTACCCGCTGCAATCACACCGCTGCAGGACATGGCCATAGACATAACAAAAGGAGGGGAGAGTGCCATTCCTCCTTCAACGCTGTATGGATCTGGGGTCTTGTTTAGAAACTTTGGAGCCGAGAAAAATAAACAAGACAGACCCATTTGGCGACGTGATAGGACTTTGCCTTGAAAAAAGTCGAAGTGAAGGAGAACTGTGTCGTATCCGCCACTGACTAGTTCTCGGGGTCTGTCTGGGACGAACTTCACAGAGCCGCATACCTTTCCAAGCATGGCTTAATATTTTGAAAGCCTATGTCCTTCCAATAAATGTGTGGCTTACGCTCTCGTGCTTGGTTTCCATTCTCGTGACGGCGTTCGTCGACAAGTCGATGACTCCAACATATCCAGAATCAAGGGTGAACGCTAGATGGCTCTTGTTCATATTCAGAGCAAGCTTACTGATTCAAATCAGTGCATGTCCATGACAAGATCAGGTAATGTGCACCAACCTCATTCAAAACATCGACATCGGTCTCAGCCACGTCAATCGTAACGAGGGCGTCTTCAGGATTCTGGATCATCTTTGGAGATTCCAATCGAAATTTAGATATCTGCGAAAAGAAGAGGTCAACTGAGAGGTGCAAGGAACGATGAATGATTAAATCAACCTGTCGACCATGCGCAACCCAAGCATCTCGCATTTCTGAACCTGCCCGCTTTACACATACGATGGACGAGACTTCGGAGGCAAGGCCACGAACTGCCTTCAGAACCTTGAAGGACGATAAATCGTAGATGCGGAGGGATCCATCGTCTGTGCACGAAAGAATCAGGGGAAAGGGGGAAAGAAGACCATATGAAAATGAAAGCATACCAGAGCCCGCAAATAGGTGCCCTGCATGTCCGAAAGCCAAGGAGGCGATGTGCGCGGGGGTACTTAGTGATTTTAGAAGAGTGTAGCGTTCCGGAGGCGCCTCCACTTCTGTCATGATTTGATAATGCTCAGGATGCCTGAATAGTTGGTGAAGAAGCGGCTTTCCCTCCAGGACCGGGGCAGGAGGATCTCAGACGTACGAAATTAACATTCCACTTGGGGCGAAAGTTTGCGTCGCGTGACGTTATCTGGCACGTGACGTGACTAGCGCGCCTCATTAGGGGCCATTAGCAGGGACGTGTCAGGCCCTTGTCCTCAAGGTTCAGAAAAAAACAGGTGTAATCAGAATAAGGTCATTTAACATAATTGAAATCAGCACTACGCAGTATTGTATGTACAACAACAACAAGACATTATATTCGAGTGAGTCGAGCTCAGATATTTCACAAGTCAAAGATAGAAAAAAGCCAAATCCAACCAGCATCTGTTGGAGAAAACAGATGTAAAACAATCAAGGACTTTATTCAGTATTCAGTCTTGAAGCAAAGCAACTTGTGGGGCACCTGAGAATCAGTCCAGTGACTCTTTTGGTGTTCTGGAGAGCACTAGAGAGTTGCCATCATGAAGTTCTTGATTGTGAGCTGTTTCGTCGCATAGGGAAAGTGTAAACTCACATAGTGTACAGTCTGGCACCTGAGAGTAAGTGCTGCTTCATCAGCTAATACCACCGCCGAACATAAATCATAATACGCACTTGCTGCATACTTTCAAGTTCGACGTCTTCATGCATCCAGGTTTTCCGCAAGCATTTCAATTCTTGAGCATCCGACGAATTTGTTGCTCGTCGTCCTTCAACTGAGACTCCAGTTGGCCCTGCACCCGATTGCAGACCATACCCAGAAATTTGTGGCAATGGCGTTGTTCCCATTTCTTCAACCACGGAATCAAAGCACATTTGACCTGAGGGGTTACCCGCATGGGGGAGTTGGCAGGTTCTTTGACAAATGCTGCAAGTAGGGTGCTCAGCATCTGGATGGACATTCCGGTGGCACTTTCATAATACCCAGGCTCCCTGTCTAGGGGCGTGTTCAACATCTTTCTATCCCATGTCGGTGCGAGGTCCACGAGGTGTTGCACAATGGCCTTCATCAACTCTTTCCCTGGTGCTGCCTTTGGTTGCTGTGAACAAAGGAGCTTGGTGAAGTATGGGCTGTGTGACACGGCTGCCATCATCTCCATGTACGTGTTGTTGAGTCTGAACTCTTTGACGAGATCCTGTGCCAAGCCAGCAGGCAGATGTGGGCACTGGAGGAACCGGTTGACTAGTAGGTGAAGATACGACACGCAGAATTTGTTGTAGACAACGTCTTGTTGCAGTTCATTCAATTTTGAACGCAATTTGCGAAGCTAATGCCCTCTGTCATGCAGTCCTCAGAGAAGAATGATCAATGGCCACTCACAAGGTGGCAACTGGCGATGAGTTTTGCGATCTCATCCAGATGTAAATCTATCCTACAGGGTAGGTAGCAAACACTCACATCAAACGGTAGAATGAGACCAGCGTGTATATGTCGAGTAGAGAACAGAGAGGTACAAGATCAGAGAGTACTCTATCTAAAAGGAATGTCCGTCGCGTGAATAAATAGGGCACAGTCAATCAGTAAATATGCATCAATAGCACGTGTCAGCATCACGTGTGATCCATCAGGATTACACCCTCCCCTCCTCTGAAACACCAACCATAATAAAAACTAAAAGTTTCAACCCAAAATGTAGCAACAGGGCTGTGGCGCTGCCCATGCGAGAAATCTATCAACAAGACCAGGCACGGGTGCATCAAAACAACCCCGTAGGGAAAAAAAGCTACCGGCCGGCGGGAGGAAGGGGAAAACGTACTACATTCAAACATCCGACCTCCTCTTCGCTAACCAAACGTCCAGCACTTCGGTGTCTTCCAGTTCTTGTCTTGGTAGCCACGTCTTGTCTTCTGGTGCATAGCCTTCCCAGCGGACTTTGTATTGCCAACCGCGTCTGCGCCATCGTTCGTCGATTATGTCTCGGATGTAATATTCTTCACCATTCTCGGTAACGATTGGTGGAGGCTTTTCGAACTCCCGAGATGGGAACAGTGTGGCATTGTTTTCCATAAAAGGTTTGACTTGAGATGTATGGAATACCGGGAACATATTTGGTGAGTTTGGGAGGTCGAGTGTCACGGTTGAATGGTCCTCGTCGACGTCCGTAATCCTGTATGGTCCGTCGTAACGAGGCATAAATTTTGCTACGCGTTTCTTCCCTGGTGCTTTGTATTCCTGCCGGCGGTGCACCGTTGAAAGCACGACTCTATCTCCGACCTTAAAAGGGAAGGTCAGTTGACGGTTTTTGTTTGCAAAAAATGACTGGGAGATCTTAGCCTTCAGGAGGTTGTCCTGGGCTTCCCAAGTGTCTGTTTCCAGCTTTCGGATTAGATCCCAGGCGTTCTTCTCCTTGGCTGAAGCATCTGCAGGTTCCTGTTTAGTCAGTAGTGAGGGTATCAATCTAGGGCTTCTGCCCAAGCGAAGCTGAAATGGCGAGAACCCGGTTGAGGTGTTTACCATGTTCATGATGTCGAATCGTATCTTTGGTAAGGCTTTTGCCCAGCCTTTCTGGTTTCGGTCGACGATGAAGCGACAGGCTTGGTTAACGGTCTTGTTCGTTCGTTCACTGGCTCCATCCGTTTCCGGGTGATACAACGTCGACAACCTTAGTTTGATGCCAGTCAGTGTATGTAGCACCTTCCAGAACTTTGATACGAAAAGTTTGTCGCGGTCTGATACGATGTCCAGGGGTAAGCCGTTTTCGCAGAACCAGTTGTTGAAAAAGAGGGTCGCCAAGTCTTCGGCAGTGGTGTCCGTGCGTGCAGCTACCAGCCTCACATCCGACCCTAGTCTATCAGTAAAGGAGATAATACAGTTTTTACCGTCATCTTCAGGCAGGGGTCCAATGAAGTCGATGGCCACCGAATCTCCATGGGCGTCCGGGATGGGTAGGGGGTGCAGAGGGCCAATCGGTTTCTTTGTCGTGTTCTTGTTGTGTTGGCAGTCGGCACAACCAGGTATGTATGCCTCCTCCAGGTCTTTTCACATGTTCGGCCAGTAATAAGATCCCCGGAGGGAGCCGTATGTTTTGTCAAAACCGAAATGGCCTAGTGCATCGTGTGCCAGCTGGAACAAAACCTCGCACATGTTACCCACTCTCGGAACGACCAAATGGCCACTTACAAACCACAAGCCGTCTTTTTCTGCGATCCCGTTCATTCCGTCCTTCGCGGAGCGTAGTTTTTCGGTCCACGGGTCCAGCTTGTATCCGCTACGGATGGCATCGAGTAAGTCCTTGTCTGCATTGATCGCGAGCTTTGTTGCGCATATCAAACTTGTCCCGCACAGTCCTTCGCATGGCGAGGTCAGCGGTCGTTCCATAACGATACACAGTTCGTCTTCTGGGTCCACGTCCCAAGGGCCCAGTGCTTCTCGTTCCGCTCGTGTGCTGCTCTTGGTCGATTCTGTAGGTAGCCTTGACAGCGCGTCTGCAACGGAGTTGGCCTTGCCTTGTACATAGATTATCTTGAAGTCATATTGGGACATGAATTCCATCCACCTCGCTTGACGGCGGGATAAGTCCTTCTGTCGTTGAAAGTTCTCCAAGGTTCTGTGGTCAGAATATACGAGAAATGGAACACCCAATAAATCTGACCGCCACTTCTTCAAGGCACGGATAATGGCCAGTAGTTCTTTTTCGTGGACAGGGTAGTTGAGCTCTGCGCCCTTGAAGGTCATCGAGTTGAAGGCAACTGGGCGAGCGGTCTCCCATGACTTCCCGAAGGAGAGCACTGCCCCCGACCGTGTTTCACTGGCGTCCGTCGTCACGAAGATTTTGTTGTCTGGCATCTTTGCATAGTCAATTGAGGTAAGGCAGTCGCGACTCACAACAATCACTTTTATTGCGTCGAAGGCGGCCTGTTCTTTTTCGGTCCACGGCGGGAAGTCTTTGTCGCAGTCTTTCATGGTCATCTTGTTCAGGATGAAGGTATGTTCTGCCAGATTAGGGAGGAAGGCGGACAGGTAACGTACCAGTCCAAGGAATGCTCGGACCTCTGTGGCAGATTTTGGGGTCGGCCAGTTGGCAATTTTGTCGGCCTTCTTGCCGTTGGCCTCGATTCCTGCAGCGGAGATTTTGTGTCCCAAGAAGTTAATTTCCGTGCAGAATAGATGGGATTTCTTCTTGTTGATGTAAAGCTTGGCCGCTCGTAAGGCTGACAGGACTTCCTGTACGTTGCGGACATGTTCTTCGAGGGTCTGGGACCATATGACGATGTCGTCAAGGTAGATGTGGCAGATCCTGCCGATGCATTCCCGGAGTGCATGGGTGACTCGGCGTTGGTGGATTGCAGGTGCGTTACGAAGTCCCATGGGCATCACTGTCCATTTGTACAATCCGAAGGGGGTCGTTACTGCAGTCAGGTGTATGTGGTCCGGGTGCATGGGCGTCTGGAAGAACGAGTTTGTCATGTCGATCTGCGCGAAGAACACACCTTTCAAGCAATCTGCCAAGATGTCATCCTGGCGCGGAATAGGATGGCTGTCTTCGACGGTGTTCGCATTGAGGTCACGGTAGTCGTTTACCCAACGAGGGAGCGCGGTTGGATCTGCCTTGGGGATAATAAAGGCAGGGGATGCATAGCGTGAGGAAGAGGGTCTGATGCGGCCCGCGTCTAAGTGTTGTTTAATCAAGGTTTGCCACGATCCCTTGTATTTTCTAGGGCAGGCGTACGTCCGACTTTTG